CCAGACGCAATTGCGAAGATGGTGGGACCGAGAGCAGGGCCCCTCCAGAAGATCTTAACAACCTTGATGGTTAGTAGGGGAGAATCCCTCCAGACAGGTAAACTGGGCCGGAGCTGTTTAGGGATTTATAGGTCAACACCAGCACTTTGAATTGTGCTCAGAAGCTAATTGGCAGCCAGTGGAGCTGACGCAACAGAGGAGTAGTATGCTCCCTGTACCCTGCTCTTGTTAGTAGTCTGGCTGCCGCTTGTTGGACTAGTTGTAGCTTCCGGGCAGTCTTCAGAGGCAGCCCCACATAGAGAGCGTTGCAGTAGCTGGGGTTGCTGGGACTTAAAAATCCATCATCACCGGAAGGCCATAAGTTACCCTGGTTTAGGTTAAGATGACAAAATGTAATGGAGTCTAGGGATTACTTTACTGTCCTGAGATTCTTTGGGACCTGGCCGTCCAAAAATGGCACCTCGCATGCCAAAAAGTTCAGAAGTCTGTTTCTTGAGGTTATAAACAATAGATACTTTAAAATGTCAGATAGTGCTGAGGTGTGTGTTTCTGCAGCCTATTCAACAGGACAAATACTTTTTTTTTGGTTGTGTCAGGAGCGACTTGAAAAACTGCAAGTCACTTCTGGTGTGAGAGAATTGGCCGTCTGCAAGGACGTTGCCCAGGGGATTCCCGGATGTTTTTGATGCTTTATCATCCTTGTGGGAGCTTCTCTCATGTTACCTGCATGAGGAGCTGGAGCTGACAGAGGGAGCTCCTCTGCGTTCACCCCGGATTCAAACCTGCGACCTGTCGGTCTTCAGTCCTGCTGGCACAGGAGTTTAACCCACTGCATCTCCAGGGGTTCCTGTCTTCGAGGTAATAATAAATAATAATAAAACTTTATTTTTACCCCGCCACCATCTCCCCAAGGGGACTCGGGGCGGCTTACATGAGGCCAAGCCCTGCAATTACAACAATGCAAATATACAACATAAAAATACAGCAATAAAATATAATAAAAATAAAATACAAAAAACAATATGAAGTAAACACACAGTGCAATATAAAATCACAATAATTGTACACAGTGGGCAAGGCCAGTTGCAAATATTAAAAAGTTTAAAAACACTGGGTGAGATGAGCAATGTAGTGCAACTGGGAGGAGGATCAGGTGGGACAAAACAATGGGGTTTAATTTTACTAGAGCAATGGTTCTCAACCTGTGGGTCCCCAAGTGTTTCGGCCTACAACTCCCAGAAATCCCAGCCGGTTTACCAGCTGTTAGGACTTCTGGGAAATGAAGGCCAAAACATCTGGGGACCCACAGGTTGAGAACCACTGCACTAGAGAATAAGATAAAGTGCATCTGAGGACGTTTTATGCAAGGTTGGGGAATTGTTGTTCAGACATTGAAGGCACACTGGAACAGCCAAGTTTTTAGGCTCTTCCTTAAGACTGCCAGGATGGGCACTTGCCTAATTTCTCCAGGGAATGAGTTCCAGAGCCGAGGGGCCGTCACAGAGAAGGCCCTCTTCCTCGTCCGCACAAGCCACACTTGCAACGGGGGTGAGAGCGAGAAAAGGGCCTCTCTGGAGAGGCAATTCACTCCTTTATTTAGGCCAGATAAAAAGATAGTCCAGGGAGTTTGGTCCAGACTAGGACCCGAAAAGGAGTTTTGGGAGTCCTCATCCACCCCCATGTTTCCTACAACTATTTTAAGCACAATTGATAAACTCAAGCAGCATTCATTGAAAAAGCTGGGACATCTCTGGGAACCGCTGTGGCACAAAGGGTCAAACCCTTGTGCCAGCTGAACTGCTGACCTGAATCCGTGAGATGGGGTGAGCTCCCATCTGTCAGCTCCAGCTTCCCATGTGGAGACACGAGAGAACCTTCCCACAGGATGATAAAAGATTTGGATGCCCCCTGGGCAATGTCCTGCAAACAGCCAATTCTCTCATACCAGAAATGACTTGTTTCTCATGCTGTTTCTGACTCACACACACATACACAAAAACTCTGAGAAATCGTTAGAGACTTTAAGCACACCAAGTTTGGTGTGACAGTACAACCCCAAACAGTATTTTGCAAGAAGGAACACTATTTGGAGGAACAGAAAAGGAGTGTGTTGTGTACTTCAGAGGGGAAAAGCCCCAGGGTTTTCTCTGTCTTGTGTTTGTTGTCAGAGTTGTTATTCCTTCAAGAGGCTGCAGCGGAAAACTTGGTACTCAATGGTGCTGTTCATTCCTAGAAGAAGGGAATTGAAATAACACAGAAGTGTGCTGGTTGAAGCAGCCATAGGTATATTGACGGGCAGCTTGTATTATGATACAATACAGTAAATATTCACACATTGCATTGTATCCCCATTGCCAGAATGGACTTCGATGAGATGCTCAAATATTATTGGGGGTGACAGCTTTAAGACAACACTTGTCATCACTGCTATAGTTCCCAAGTGAAAAAAGAGCTGAAAACAAACATTCATTTTGGCTAAAGGATCTACCAAGTCCCAGCAGTGTTTTCAGTCCAGCCTACTCACAGCACTTGTTGGGATACATGTACGAGGGTGGGTCAGAAAGTTTTGCTTCCTGTGTTATAAAAACATTATGAATCAACCTATAACAGCAGAAGTTGCTACAGATTATAGCCTGGACTGCCCTCTATGCAAAACTGCAGTTCAGCATAGTCACCATCAATTTGTACATGTTTGCGCCATCGTTGAACCCAGGCATCAAAACCATTTTGGAAAAATTCAGTGTTTTGCTTCCAGACCCATGACTTTAAATCTGTTTTAACGTTATTCAGGTCATTGAATGTGAAACCACAAAGGTTGCCTTTCAGAGATCCAAACAGGTCAAAGTCAGAAGAGGCCAAATCATAAACATTCTTCAAGCAACTATGGATTTCATAGAATCCTAGAGTTGGAAGAGACCTCATGGGCCATCCAGTCCAACCCCCCTGCGAAGAAGCAGGAAAATTACATTCAAAGCCCCCCTGACAGATGGCCATCCAGCCTCTGTTTAAAAGCTTCCAAAGAAGGAGCCTCCACCACACTCCGAGGCAGAGAGTTCCACTGCTGAACGGCTCTCACAGTCAGGAAGTTCTTCCTAATGTTCCTTAGGTGCACAGCCTTCTTTTGCCAGAAACGACTCTTCCTTTTAGCGTCATGGTTCCAATCAGTCAATCAGAAAAAGAAAAGACGATATCAGTAGAGTAAGGTGACCTCTATCATATTATGCATAGATAATCCAGTAGCTGTGAAAGAAATAAAAGTTAGAGCGATGGAGGCATTGCTTTTTGACCCACCCTCATATATTTCAAGCACCAATATTTTAGAGAACTTTGGCATTATGTAAATATAGGTATGTAGACAGATAGATATGGCGCTCCATGTAGTCATTCCAGCCACATGACCTTGGAGGTGTCTATGGACAACACCGGCTCTTTGGCTTAGAAATGGAGGTGAGCACCAATCTCCAGAGTTGGACACGACTGGACTTAATGTCACGGGAAAACTTTTACCTTTATTGACGCTATGTAAATATAGGTATGTAGATAGATAGCTACGGCACTTCATGCAGTCATGCCGGCCACATGACCTTGGTGGTGTCTATGGACAACTCCGGCTCTTCAGCTTAGAAATGGAGATGAGCACCAACCCCCAGAGTCAGACACAACTGGACTTAATGTCAGGGGAAAACCTTTACCTTTACTAGATAGATAGATACAAAGGAGCGCTGCAATTGGACTCCTTTGTTAGCTGTCTTGGGTCCTGGATTCATATTCCAACCTTGCTGCTTGCAGAGTTTCTAAGCTATCTCACTGGATAGAAAGAAGGGCATGTATGCTGCCTTGAGCTCTTTGTAGGAAGGGAGTGATCAGAAATGCAATTAATGGGGAGGAATCAGTGTGAGTAATCGTATCGAATGCCTGGGCGTGCAACAGCCGAGTTAAAATGCATTTCTCCGTGCATTTGATTTCAGTACTTCAGGCAGATCTAGGTCAATGTGGAATGACAGAGCACAGAGAGGGATGTTTAGATGCCTGTAAGTAATACGGAATTCTAGATGATGGGAGGATGGTCGAAGGAAAGGGAAGGCTGTGGAGGATTTTGCCATGGAAAAGGCAGACCGTTTGTGGTATTTCAGGAGGAAAGATATGCAACATAGGGGAATTGGTTGTCTATGTTTTTGTAAAGGGAAAGGCGTCCTGTGGCTCAGTGGTCACTATGCGTGGATTTCCTAGTTTCAGTGCAAAATGTTGTTGTTGTTTATGTGTTCAGCCAATCCCAACTCTTTGTGATGTCATGGACCAGCCCACGCCAGAGGTCCCAGTGGGCCGTGGCCACCCCCAGCTCGTTCAAGGTCAAGTCAGTCACTCCAAGGATACCATCCATCCATCTTGCCCTTGGTTGGCCCCTCTTCCTTTTTCCTTCCATTTTCCCCAGCATCATTCTCTTCTCTGAGCTTTCCTGTCTTCTTATGATGTGGCCAAAGAACTTCATCTTTGCCTCTAATATCCTTTCCTCCAGTGAGCAGTCAGACTTTATTTCCTGGAGTATCTTTAATCAGGATTGACAGATTGTGTTTCTGGGGCCAAACCAGATCTTTTGACCATTGATCTCTTCATACTTGCCCTTTCACTAGCCAAGAAGAAGCGAGGATTGCCTTACCTCGAGACCTCTATGTATGGTGACTCTTGCTTGAAATATGTTGCCTGACATGTTGGTTTGTGTGTTGTATCCAAGGGTGGAGTTAAAATTGCTGGAAGAAACATTAACAATCTTAGATATGCAGATGATACCACTTTGATGGCTGAAAGCGAGGAGGAACTGAGGAGCCTTCTAACCAAGGTGAAAGAAGAAAGTGTAGAAGCTGGGTGGCAGTTAAACATAAAAAAAACCCAGGATCATGGCAACCAGACTGATGGATAACTGACAAATAGAGGGAGAATAGGTGGAGGCAGTGACAGACTTTGTATTTCTAGGCACAAAGATTACTGCAGACACAGACTGCAGCCAGGAAATCAGAAGATGTCTACTTCATGGGAGGAGAGCAATGACCAATCTCAGTAAAATAGTGAAGAGTAGAGACATCACTGTGGCAACAAAGATCCGCATAGTTAAAGCAATGGTATTCCCCGTAGTAACCTACGGATGTGAGAGCTGGACCTTAAGGAAGAGTGAGTGAAGTGAGATAGATGCTTTTGAATTGTGGTGTTGGAGGAAAATCCTGAGAGTTCCTTGGATCGCGAGATGATTCAACCAGTCCATCCTCCTGGAAAGAAAGCCCGGCTGTTCACTGGAGGGAAGGATATGAGAGGCAAAGATGAAGTCCTTTGGCCACATCATGAGAAGACAGGAAAGCTTGGAGAAGACAATGATGCTGAGGAAAAGGGAAGAAAAAAGGAATAGGGGCCAACCTAGGGCAGGATGGATAGATGGCATCCTTGAAGTGACTGGCTTGACTCTGAAGGAGCTGGGGATGGTGATGGCTGACAGGGAGCTCTGGTGTGGGCTGTTCTAGGAGGTCACCAAGAGTCGAAAGCAACTGAATCAATAAACAACAACAATACGAATTGTGGTTCTTCCTTGAAATATGTTGTCTGACATGTTGGTTTGTGTGTTGGACTAGAAGCAGGGTTCAGATATTTCCTTGTGAATGGAAACCTACTGGGTGAATGTGGGGCAGGCAAACCCATCTTACCAAGAAAACCTCACAACAAAGCAGGAATGACATGAAGGCAAACACAACTAGGAACCCCTCCCTCACATTATTATTATTATTATTATTATTATTATTATTATTATTATTATTGTTGTTGTTGTTATTATCTTAAAGCTCCATTACTTGGTAGCCTTTTGGCATTTTAGGGAGCAGTTGGAATAGCTACCCGAAGAAATCAGCCCCCAGATTTGTCATTCACCCCAGAGTTAAATGAAATCAAGTAGCAGGTGGTGGAAAGATGCTCGTGAAGCTGCCTCCAGATGGAGCAAAGAAAATCTGGGCCCAGAATAATATAAATACAAATACGTTATTGATGGGAAAGCACCCTCTCCCTGCTACACTTTTTTTTGGGTGAAGCCAGCAAAAAGAGAAATCCCAAGGCATCATTACAACATTTGTGGCATTTCTTAATTGCTTGGATCGCGACCAGCAGTTGAGTGAGTATTGGCTTAGGCGGTCGTCCCAAAACCACTGTAATGCAAGCGATGCCGCTGAAATGATTGGATTCGCTTGGGGTTGGAGAGGTTAAGTGGTTCTTGGCAGACTTACAAGGGAGTGGGATATTTTTTTCCCTTAGTAATTCAGAAAAAGAGGTATATGCACACCTGTAAAAAAGACTTGATTGAATGTCGACACGTAAAACAGCTTGGTAGGAAAGTCTGTAAGTGCAGCTGTAGTAATAGGAATAACAGAGTAACCGGAATAAGGAATTCTTGTGACACAGCACAACTTTCTTGCAAACAGTTATAAATCTAGGATTCTGGAGTTCTAATGCTGGGGAAAATGTGGAATATAAATAGCTGAAATACCACTGTTCTGTCTTTGGGATTAAAGGGATGCTTATGGTTTGGATCTTTCCTTTTTTTGCAGCATCTTTTCGGTTCGCAGCAACAGACCTCCGTCCAGCTGTGGGTCTCCTTCAACCGCAAGCCGATGCAAGCAGCCCAGTTTGTGACCAAGCATCCTATTAAGGTATGAACCTATTGACAAGGGGAGGTTGGAATTTCATTTCGAAAGTTTCAAGAAATGTGATTGTGTCTTCCTGCGTGACCGAGTGGGGTTGGACTGCTTGGCCCTTGGGGATCATCAAGTCCACTTCTATCGTTTTTGTCTCGAAGGAATACTACATTGCGGACACATCCGAAGACCAGGTGTTTGTGTGTGTCAGTCACAGTAACAACAGCACCAACCTCTATATCTCAGAAGCAGAAGGCCTAAGATTTTCACTGACTTTGGAGAATATCCTCTATTACAGCCCGGGAGGAGTCGGAAGTGACACTTTGGTCAGGTATGGAGCCGCCCGTGATCCAGTCTAAGAGACAAATGGCCTCTGGGCTTTTCTTGGCTCAGAAAAGTCAGACTTAGCTGAGGTTCCCTTTGTCCTGGCACATTTTGTCAAATCACTTAAAATGGGAACAAATGATTCCTGCTTAGACAGCGTGTCCAGGAACAAACTAACTACTGGGCCAATTCTTAAATGGCTTCTTATACAGGTTCACCTTTCTTGCTAGCAGTTGGAAGTTTTTTTTTTTTTGGCACATTGTGTACAATTGTAGTGGGGAAACTTTTGGCTGCCTTGATGTGTTGGACTGGTGTTCCCATGATGCCCAACCATCACCATAATAATAATAATAATAATAATAATAATAATAATAATAATAATAATAATAATAGTCATCATCATCATCATTATCATCATCATCATGGAGCCCCCGGTGGTGCAGTGGGTTAAACCCCCGTGCTGGCAGGACTGAAGACCAACAGGTCGCAGGTTCAAATCCGGGGAGAGTGTGGATGAGCTCCACCTGACAGCTCCAGCTCTCCATGTGGGGACATGAGAGAAGCCTCTCAAAAAGGATGGTAAAACATCAAAAACATCTGGGCGTCCCCTGGGCAACATCCTTGCAGATGGCCAATTCTCTCACACCAGAAGCGACTTACAGTTTCTCAAGTCGCTCCTGACATGAAAAAAAAATCACCTGCACCATCACCATTATCATCATCACCATCATCATCATCATGATCATGATGTTTATTTGTGCTCCACTTTTTCTCTCCCCCAAAGAGACTCATTGTTATGCTGGCTGGGATTCTGGGAATTAAAGTCCAAGACACCAAGAAGGTTGAGTTCTCCCCTTGTGTTTTGCAGGATAGAGTTTTCTGACATGGAAGCCCTACCAGCTCCCCTTCACCATGTTATAACAGTAGAACTCAATAGATGTCCAGTTTGAAAGCATTGCTTTTGGGTTGGAAAGATTAACTATTTACAAGAAACATTGCCTAGGAGATGCCCGACTGTATATAATCAGTATTTGAGGAGGCTCATTCCATGTCCCCCAAACACTGCATGAACACTAACACAAAGTAGATGCACGCAATAACATCCTATTATTACTGGCAGTGCATGGGGTGCAAACCCAAAATTAATAAGAATATCACCTCTGGCCTTGTCTTACTTGATTACCCGATAGACAGATGGCGGAATAAAATGTCTCTCTGTGCTATTCAGCTCCTTCAAGCTTTCTTGTCAAAGTTGAAAGCTCCCATTTGGGACCATGGATCAGCCCCTCTTCTCATCATTATGAAACTTGGCATCTCATGACTCTGCCACCTTGGCCAATGTTGTGTTTGGGTTTCCTTTGGCAGATACTTTGCGAACGAGCCCTTTGCGGACTTCCACCGGGTCGAGGGGGTGCCGGGCGTCTATATCGCCACCTTGATCAACGGCTTGTTCAGCGAGGAGAACATGCGCTCCGTCATCACCTTCGACAAAGGTGGGACTTGGGAATTTCTCCAGCCTCCAGAGTTTACTCGCTACGGCGAAAAGATTAATTGTGAGGTAATGATGCCTACAAAGAAATCTCGTTGCCTCTCTTACAGATTGGGCCTTCTCTCCTTGTTCCCTGGTTCAGGTCAGAGAGGAAATGTGAACGTGCATTGATAGCAATATCATTGTTTAGAAAAGTTATGTTTATCGATACGGGGGGGCTTGTTATCCACTGGGGTTTTGTTCCAGGACTCCCTGCAGGTGCCATCATCCATAGATGATAGAGTCTCATATTAATGGCATAGTATCTAGGAAGCGGAGCCCCCGGTGACCGACAGGTTGCAGGTTCGAATTCCGGGAGAGGCGGATGAGCTTCCTCTATCAGCTCCAGCTCCTCATGCGGGGACATGAGAGAAGCCTCCCACAAGGATGATAAAACATCAAATCATCCGGGCGTCCCCTGGGCAACGTCCTAGCAGACGGCCAATTCTCTCACACCAGAAGCGACTTGCAGTTTCTCAGGTCGCTCCTGACACGACAATAAATAAATAAATCTAGGAATTCTTCGACATTGCCATATAATCCAGATTTTCAAAGCAGATAATCCACGTTCTGCTGCGAAGTGGATTATACGAGTCTACACTGCCACATAATCCACTTCAGAGCAGATAATCTGGATTTTATATAATAATAATAATGTGGATTTTATATAATAATAATAATAATAACAACAACAACAACAACAACAACACACATATATTAAAAGTAATCCTGCCTGTTCAAGGCAGTTAAAAATTTAAAAGGCTGGGCCATGGAAGTTGCAGTTTTACAAGTCTCTGGATCTCATAGCATCCATCCATTGTAGCTAAACTGCATTCATTCTACAATGTTATGAATCGTAATATAAATATCTGACATGCAGGATGTATTTTCATTCATTGGACCAAATTTGGCACAAATACCCGATACACCCAAATTTGAATATTGATGGGGCTGGGGGAGATTGATTTTTGTCATTTGAGAGTTGTTGTTTCTGGGATTTATAGTTCACCAAAATCAAAGAGTATTCTGTACTCCACCAATGATGGCATTGAACCAAACTTGGCACACAGAACTCTCATAACCAACAGAAAATATTGGAAGGGTTTGGTGAGCATTGGCCTTGAGTTTTGGAGTTGTAGTTCACCTACATCCGGAGAGCACTGTGGACTCAAACAATGATGGATCTGGACCAAATTTGGCACGAATACTCAGTATGCCCAAATATGAACACTGGTAAAGTTTGGGGAAAGTAGGCCTTGACATTTGGGAGTTGTTGTTGCTGGAATTTATAGTTCACCTAAATCAAAGAGTATTCTGAACGCCACCAATGATGGCACTGAACCAAACTTGGCACACAGAACTCTCATGAACAACAGAAAATACTGGAAGGGTTTGGTGAGCATTGACCTTGAGTTTTGAAGTTGTAGTTAACCCACATCCAGAGAGCACTTTGGACTCAAACAATGATGGATCTGGACCAAACTGCTAGGACTTTAAGATCATCTGGGGAGGCCCTGCTCTCGATCCCGCCTGCATCACAAACACGTTTGGTGGGGACAAGAGATAGGGCCTTCTCAGTGGTGGCCCCTAGGCTATGGAACACCCTTCCTGGGGACATTAGATCGCCCCCCTCCCTCTTAACATTTCGGAAAAGAGTCAAGACTTAGTTGTTTGAGCAAGCATTTGAAAATGCAAGGGGCATTGGCCTTCTCATTGAGCATTGGCCTCAGTGAGCATTGGCCTTGAGTTTTGAAGTTGTAGTTCGCCTACATCCAGAGAGCACTGTGGACTCAAACAATGATGGATCTAGACCAAACTTGGCATGGATACTCAATATGCCCAAATATGAACACTGGTAAAGTTTGGGGAAAATAGGCCTTGACATTTGGGAGTTGTAGTTGCTGGGATTTATAGTTCACCTACAATCAAAGAGCATTCTGAGCCCCACCAATGATAGAATTGGGCCAAACTTCCCACACAGAACCCCCATGACTAACAGAAAATACTGTGTTTTCTGATGGTCTTTGGCGACCTCTCTGACACCCCTTGCGACCCCCAGGTTGAGAAACACTGGCCTAAAGATTCATAGAGAGAACATACCAATAAAATCTGATAATAAACAATTCTACAAAAGGCAATCCTGCAAAAATGGAGGACTGACTGTGTTTGAAAGTCCAGTAAAGGAGCCCTTGCAGAACTGGGCTCTGTTTTGCTGCCCGAGGAAAGAGTTTTTGAGGATCACACTTCTACTGGGATTTTGAGAAAGCGGATACACAGAAGCTGGTTTCTGAAAAGGCTTGCCTAGAACTGAGTTGTGCTTTTTCTGATGTAGAAATTACATCTGGCTCACGCTGTTTTCTTTTGGTCTTGCTAACCACATTTAAGCTTACCCACTTGTTAGTGGTGGCCTCGCAAAGCTACCTCAAATTAGAATTTGGTCCTGAGCTGGAAGAAAATTAACCCAAACTCTTTGGCACAGATTTTCAGGTCTTGATGCCAATTTTGCAAATGGGCAAAGTGACCTCTTGAGCAATTAGATATAAAGAGCTTGAGCTCATTCAGGGGAAAGTGGCATATAGATGAAAACAAATGGAAAATGTTTTCTTTGGCCTTTGGAGCACCTGTGTAAAACGTCCCTTATTTCTACTAATCTTATTAATGGATGTACCAGCATAGAAGCACAATTAGCCTTCTGTTTGAAATGTTTTGTGCTGCTACTTACGTCTTTACCCAATTTGAAGGTGGATTTTTCCTTGAGTGTTTTGCTCTCCTGCTGTGCTTCTTAATTGTCTCTTTATATCCTCATTATTTACTGCCGTGTTTACTTTTTACATTCAATTTACAAGGATCCTTCAGGGTTTTTTTTTTTTAAAGGGAGCAGAAAAAGCATTAATCTGACAAAAAAATGAGCAACAATAAATTCACCAGAACTTTAAAAGAACTGCAGGGATGTATTATCGAAGGCTTTCATGGCCAGAATCACTGGGTTGTTATAGGTTTTTTTGGGCTATATGGCCATGGTCTAGAGGCATTCTTTCCTGACGTTTCATCTGCATCTATGGCAAGCATCCTCAGGGGTAGTGAGGATGCTTGCCATAGATGCAGGCGAAACGTCACCTCACTACAACTGAGGATGCTTGTCATAGATGCAGGCGAAACGTCAGGAGAGAATGCCTCAAGACCATGGCCATATAGCCCAAAAAAACCTACAACAACCCAACTGCAGGGATCTTATTTCTCCTCCATGAGTTTTTTCCTCTATTTTCTTCAGATATTATGTCAAATTAACTATTTGCATTCACAGTTGTGTTGTATGTTGGCCTGTTCAGCCTGTGATTGTGTCTGATGTTCATGATGGGAATGGTGTTCAAGTTGATGTTCATGATCAGAATGGAGATGGTGTTCCTGATGATGGGCCTGGGGATGATGGTTTGCTTGGGCCTGAGTTAAATTCAGAATAGAGGCCTGAGCTGTTTCAGGAAGAGTCAGAAGGCCACATTCCTGGGAGCGAACTTTCACTGCTTTTCTCAGAGCAACTGTCTGAAAATGATGCTGAGACTGATTTGCCAGGTGCAAGAGTTATTTGTGATTCAATGCCGAAACATACTAGACTATACACATACAGAAACATTAAGATCACTTATCTTGACGTTAATGAGGGAGAGGATAGTGAAACCTTGGACGGAAAGTAAAGTTTAGTAAACAGAGGCAGAGCTTTCAGAGACTGAGGCAATCACTTCATCTACAGCAAAAGAAAGATAACAAACTGTTATCTAGTGGGAAAGTCAAGAAAAACGCTTTCCTTTCAGTTTTGGGTTTTGGAAAAGGTTTATAATGATTCATGGGAATGAGTTGCCTCAATTGAGGCAACAGTGCTATTTTATCAGTCTTGCTTTCAAGTGCTCTGAGTTTCATGTACCAAGTTTTTGCCAAGCCTAAGTTTTGCCTATGGGATTTTCTTGCTGTTTTGTTTCATGGTTTCAAGTGCCTTGTTTCATGGATTTCTATGTACCGTATTTTCCGGCATATAAGACGACTGGGCATATAAGACGACCCCCAACTTTTCCAGTTAAAATATAGAGTTTGGGATATACTCGCCGTATAAGACTACCCCTCTTCCAACACACTCCAAATAAAATTTTTAAAAGCATTAGATTTGATTTCAATATGGTAATTTTCCTATTACTGTACCTCCTTCTCTGCCTATCAGATCTCGCACCTGCACCATTTCACTGCAGTCTTCAGGAGCGAGATCTGAGAGGCAGAGGAGTAGGTACGGTCATAAGATACAAGGGTGGCCAGACAGTAAAAGAGTTGTGTTTTTCTGGGCCCAGAGCTACTCTATCTCTTTTTTCCATACCCCCGGCACCCCGGACGCTTGCAGCTTGCTCCGTCCTTCACTTACACCTTCCCAGTGAGGCGCCCCTTCACCTCAACATCAGGATAGCATTAAGTCCATGAATCCCGATGAATGGATTTTCTTCTACCGTATTTGTACAGCGTCACCCTTAATGCTTTCATATAGTTGCTGCATATGGCAGGGACGTGGCCCCTGCCATTTTTGAGCTCCCCCCACCATATGCGACAACCACAGATTCTCCAATCCGGATTGGAAGTTTTAGCACCAGCTCTATAAGACAACTATCAGCGTATAAGATGACTCCTGATGTATAAGACGACCCTTTACTTTGAGAAGATTTTCTTGGGTTAAAAAGTAGTCTTATATGCCAGAAAATATGGTACTCCTGGATCTTGTTTCCCTTTAAAGCTTATAGACTATTTTGTATTTGGTATTTTTACTATTTTTCTATTTTTTTTTTACTGCTTGGCCTACATATATTCTACAGTAAACTGCTTGCTGATTTTACCAAGCTGGTGTGGTGTTTCAGGTCAGAGGTGTTCCTGCTCTGGTGTACAACAGTGCAGCACATTGAACATTCAGAAATGTATACAAGAAGGGAATTCTGTGCAGTCTTCCCAGAATTGCTGTTGCTAATGATGCAAGGCCTGGGAAAGTTGATTCTTTGGATTGCCATTGGTCAAATCAGCTGGGGAATTCTGGACTGGCAGTCCAACAAAATGAACTTTCATATAAGGCTCTGCATTCAGCAGTGCATGTGAACCATTCCGGGTTTTTAGGACAGGGCACTGAACTTTTGTCCTGCAGGGCGATTCAAGTGATGTTGGGATTGTTCCTCTCTCCTAGCTTTCCAAGGGCTGCTCCCTTCACTTGGCACAGCGGCTGAGTCAGCTCCTCAACTTCCAGTTGCGCCGGATGCCCATCTTGTCCAAAGAGTCTGCTCCGGGACTGATCATTGCAACAGGTATGTTTTGACTTCAGATTATGGAGCAAAAGGGAGCAAGCAACATCCCATAAGATGAATAAGACTCCAAGACTCTTTTTAAAAATTATCCCTAGAGGTCAAATGCCTTTACTGGCTCCACATGCCAGTTTGAGGGTGATTACCCTTGGAATTTGGGAGTTGTAGTTTGTCCATATTCAGAGAACTCAGCGGATGATGTAACCAGACCAAATTTGGCACACAGATCCAGCATGGCCAATTGTGCATACTGGCAGAGTTTGGAGATGATTGCCTAGGACAATCTGGGAGTTGTAGTTCACCCTTATCCAGAGAGCAATGAACCCAGCCATATATGGACCAAACTTGGCGCACAGATCCAACGTGGCCAACTGTGAATACTGGCAGGGTTTGGGGAGGATTGGCCCATGATTTTGGGAATTGTAGTTCACCCACATCCTTATGCATTTTCTAATGACAGCAACTCTAAAAAGTGTCCTTACCCGATTTGCCCAACCTGGTTTATTGCTTGCTCGCTTCTTTCCCTGCTCTGCTTCCAGTTAGGTGAGCTCATATTATGCTCATTGCAAACTCCATTTAAAATCATTAAGTTTCCATCTTGCTGTCATCCTCTTTACCCAAAAACTGTTTGGTACTACATCCCGAAATTGCATTGGATTAGGCTTTGGTGTGATCCCTTTAGACCCCTAATGCATTGCATAGCAGTAATGTGCATCTCATTGAAGCGTTGTACATTTAAAATAACAAGACAGAAACCTTGTACATGTGTCTGTTTTGTTCTTAAGGTTCTGTGGGGAAGAACATGGCGAGCAAAATGAGTGTGTACATCTCAAGCAGCGCCGGTGTCCGGTGGAAAGAGGTAAGACACATAGAATTCGGAAGCATTCTGCATGAAGTCTTCCTTTCGTGGTCAGCAGAAAGTGAGGATGTGTCTCTTCTTGTTGCCATGTTGAGAGTGATTACAGGAGAAAACAAGTATTTGGAAGTACTTTGGAGTTTTGTGAGATTGGGTAAGAGTATTTTGCACAGATTTCATGCATTTAGGGGATTTCTGAGTAATTGGGAGCTCCCAGTGGTGCAGTGGGTTAAAGCGTGAGCTGCTGAGCTTGTTGAGCGAAAGGTTGCAGGTTCAAATCCGGGGAGCGGCGTGAGCTTCTTCTGTTAGCCCCAGCTTCTGCCAATCTAGCAGTTCGAAAACACGCAAAAGTGAGTAGATCAATAGGTACTGCTCCAGCGGGAAGGAAACGGCGTTCCATGCAGTCATGCCAGCCACATGACCTTGGAGGTGTCTATGGACAGCGCCGGCTCTTCGGCTTAGAAATGGAGATGAGCACCACACCCAGAGTCAGACATGACTGGACTTAATGTCAGGGGAAAGCCTTTACTTTTACCTGAGTAATTTTAAGGCAAAGAGTGCTTGGAAAATGATGTGATTAAAACATGTTGGGTTGGGGAGATTTTAGGGGATTGGTGGTGGGCTTCATGGGTCACAAAGCTGGCAGCGAATGTGGTCCTAGTGGGTCCATTTTGCCCATTCTTGCTTTAGAGCAGTGGGTCCCCAGATGTTTTGCCCTTCAACTTCCAGAAATCATAATAGCTGGTAAACTGACTGGCATTTTAGGAAGTTGTAGGCCAAAGCAACTGGGGACCCACAGCTTGACAACCATTTCTTTCGAGAAACTGGCAAACTTAGGAAAGCAAGTTTAGCCATCTTTGGAAATCCTAAGGGCTAGATTTATGCAAAGTGCCTGAGATTTTCATTTTACTGCATCCAATAAATTATCTTGTACATATATATGTCAGTTGTCTTCAAGACGTTGCTGGTCTGCATCTCTTGTGATGCTTCGCCATTCATTGTGCCGGCTTGAGCCAATAAAAGTTGCAGTCGACAACTTTTGGATAACCACAGGTTTCCCACTTCAGATGTCAAGAGAAAATGTTCATTCAGTCAGAACTCTGTCATTCACAGTATCCCATAACATTCAGCCACAGCAGTTAAAGACTTAATGTCAGGGGAAACCTTTACCTTTACCTTTACCTTTATCTTCCCAAAGGGGACTCAAAGCAACTTGACATAAATACGATTTAAAATATAATAATAATAATAATAATAATAACAACAACAACAACAACAACAACAACAACAACAACAACAACACTTTACCATCTCCCCAGGGGATTCGGCGCGGCTTACTTGAGGCCGAGCCCAAAATACAACAATACAAGCAATATCAACAACAGTCCAAGCAATTTAAGCAACAAAACAATAAAACAATGACATAAGCATTATCAATAGGACAACGCACTTTAAAATCTATGGGTAGGCCAAATGTAGTTAAAACTGAAAATAATGCTGGACATAAGCGAAAAAGTGATGGGGCGGTTTGTGGAAACATACAAGCAGACCTAAAACAATATAAAGGGCTTTGGAGGACAAAGTGCTATGGGATCCTAAAGACTGCCAGAGTTGGGGCATGCCTGATGTCCTTAGGGAGTGAGTTCCAGAGTCGGGCCACCACCGAAAAGGCCCTCTCTCTTGTCCCCACCAATCGCGCTTGTGATGCAGGTGGGAGTGAGAGCAGGGCCTCTCCAGATGATCGAAGAGATCACGTGGGTTCGTATACAGAGATGCAGTCACAAAATTAAAACATTAAGCTAGAATTAAATGCAAGCATCACTAAAAAAAATTCAGTTCGAGCAAAAGTTGAAAACTTAGACCTTCTACCTCAATCTGGATCTTTGCATTGCTTGGTTTAGAAATTAAATACGTATCCTTTGGAATGAAAAGGCAGCATTGCTCACCAACGGGGCCTCCCCACAAAACCGTGGCTTTCAAACAAGAAGGCTGGTGGGTTTGATTTCATATCTTAAGTTTCCGATGTTATGTTTGGCAACCCTCCATGAAAAACATCACCACAGTATGGTGGGATTCTTTCTTCTTTGGCTGGGGGTTGGGCAGATGGAGGAAACGGATGCCTGTGTGAGCAGCTGAAGCATTTGTGTCCTCTTCCATCAGAGTAAGGACTTGGCCCAAATGTTATGCCTGCCTTTGGCTGGTTGGGTGGTCTGTTTTACCGTGGGTTTTGCGGTCGACTCCCTCTGACTGGTGTGAGTCTAAGGCTGTTGCGAACATCTGCAAAGTGTTTAAATACTGTGAATGGAGCCACCTCCTTCCCTCTCCAAGAGCGGTGTCGGTTTGGTTTGGCTGAGGCTGGGGGTAGGAGGAGAGCAGCTGCGGAAGAGTTTCTAAGCATGAGTCTTATGTATTTATACATTTGGGAGGAAAAATTGCTCACGAGAGTCACCAAAGCACTTGTTCATGTGTTGGAGGTGTCAAGAATACAGGTCCAGGACCCTCAAATTAATTCTGAAATGTGTCCAGAGGAGGGCGACTAAAATGATCAAGGATCTGGAGAACAAGCCCTATGAGGAGTGGTTTAAGGAGCTGAGAGGAGATATGATAGCCATGTATAAATATGTGAGAGGAAGCCACAGGGAGGAGGGAGCAAGCTTGTTTTCTGCTTCCTTGGAGACTAGGACACGGAACAATGGCTTCAAACTACAAGAAAGGAGATTCCATCTGAACATGAGGAAGAACTTCCTGACTGTGAGAGCCGTTCAGCAGTGGAACTCTCTGCCCCAGAGTGTGGTGGAGGCTCCTTCTTTGGAAGCTTTTAAACAGAGGCTGGATGGCCATCTGTCAGGGGTGATTTAAATGCAATATTCCTGCTTCTTGGCAGGGGGTTGGACTGGATGACCCATGAGGTCTCTTCCAACTCTTGGATTCTATGATTCTATACCACTAGAAACACGGATATCTAAAAGGTGGCACTTTGCTGATCTATTAGTTACTTTTGTAGAACCTGTTTGAACAAGTATGGATCTGGTTGGTTGGGTGGCTTGATAACTTATTCCAAATGTAACTCTTGGATTCAGCACATGCCATTTGCTTCCTCCTCCAGGTCTTGTCTGGACCCCACTATTATTCTTGGGCTGACCATGGCGGGATCATCATGGCAGTGACTCAAGGCACAGAGACAAACCAGCTCAAGTAAGTAAAAGAAGCTGGCAGATCTGTCTCAGCAAAGGGTTTTTCATTGGATTTGCTGTGGGGCATGTTCAGCAAATTGGCACGGTCTGTCTGTCTGTCCTGTGTGCATCCGTAGGTACAGCACAAATGAAGGAGAGACCTGGAAGACATTTACCTTCTCAGAGAAACCAGTCTTTGTTTATGGCCTTCTGACAGAACCTGGTGAAAAAAGCACAATTTTCACCATCTTTGGCTCCTACAAAGAGAATGGGCACAGCTGGCTTATCTTGCAGATCAATACCACTGATGTGCTGGGTGAGTGAAAGAGTTGGTTGTGAAAATATGTTTACTCAGATGTAATTCCTACTAGGCTCAGTAGTGTTTACTCCATCGCTTGTAAGTATGCTTACTACATCTTGTCTTGTATGGAATGTCCATCCTCTTTCTCTCCCTTCCTTCCTTCCTTCCTTCCTTCCTTCCTTCCTTCCTTCCTTCCTTCCTTCCTTCCTGCCTGCTTTCTTTCTTTCTTTCTTTCTTTCTTTCTTTCTTTCTTTCTTTCCTCCCTTCCCACCCCCTTTTGTTCTCTATTTCGTTTCTTCCTTCTTCTCCTTTTCTCTATGGTCTTTTTAACTTGGAGTGCCAAGTAGCAGCATGACCAAATGGTTTAAAGATAAGTACACAAGCCTATCTCATATTTTATTCTATGGCAAGGAAATCAGCCTGCCTGCCTGCCTGCCTGCCTGCCTGCCTGCCTGCCTGCCTCCTTCCTTCCTTCCTTCCTTCCTTCCTTCCTTCCTTCCTTCCTTCCTTTTTTCTTTCTTTTTTGGACATGTGCCTGTTTATTTTCAAGAGAATCTACATTTGAAAGACAATCCAGATTTGTTCTTCTCCTTCCTTTCCTTCCTCCTTCTCCTCTCCTGCCTGCCTTCCTTCTTCCTTCCTTCCTTCCTTCCTTTCCTTTCTTTCTTTCTTTCTTTCTTTCTTTCTTTCTTTCTTTCTTTCCTTCCTTTCTTCCTTCCTTCCTTCCTTCCTTTCCTTTCCTCCTTCCTTCCTTCCTTCCTCCTTCCTTCCTCTCCTTCCTTCCTTCTCTCCTTTCTTTTCCTTCCTTCTTCTTTTTTCTTTCTTTCTTTCTTTCTTCTTCCTTTCTTTCTTCTTTCTTTCTTCCCTTCTCTTTCTTTCTTTCTTTCTTTCTTTTTCTTTCTTTCTTTCTTTCTTTCTTCTTTCCTTCTCTTCCTTCTCTTCTTCTTCCTTTCTTTCTTTTCTTTCTTTTTTCTTTCTTTTTTCCTTTCTCTTCCTTTTTTTCCTTCCTTCCTTCCCTTCCCTCCCTCCCTCCCTTCCTTCCTTCCTTCCTTCCTTCCTTCCTTCCTTCCTTCCTTTCCTTTCCTTTCCTTTCCTTTCCTTTCCTTTCCTTTCCTTTCCTTTCCTCTCCTTCCTTTCCTCCCTCCTTCCCTTCTTTCTTTTCTTCTTTCTTTCTTTCTTTCTTTCTTTCTTTCTTTCTTTCTTTCTTCCTTTCTTTCTTTTCTTCCTTCCTTTCTTCCTTTCTTCCTTCTTCCTTCCTTCCTTCCTTCCTTCCTTCCTTCCCTTCCTCCTCCTCCCTTTCCTTCTTCCTTCCTTCCTTCCTTCCTTCCTTCCTTCCTTCCTCCTTCCTTCCTTCCTTCCTTCCTTCCTTTCCTTCCCCTTCCTTCCCTAAGTGGCAACACTGTTGATTTACAGGGGAGGGAGAATTCTCTTCCCTGGAAACGGCTCTACAAAATGTATTAGCGGTGATTAAAATGCTGTTGTGAAGCCACACATCCAGATCAGAGAGGCGTGCAAGTTTGGCAGAAGAATAAATCTGGATGGAGTGTATAACCAGTGTCTTCTAATGCTGCTTTATAAGTGGACCTTTTGGCAGCTGGAAAGCCTTTTAAAAATAATAAGATGCTCCAAGTCATTCTGTGATTGCTCTGCAGAACACCATATAGCAATGCGTAACACTTTTGTCTGCAGAATGCATTCATCTCCATGTAATACTGTTCTACATTGGGATGCTTATCCGGTAGCTGCATTGCTTTCATTGGGGCTGGGCTGAAGATTGTCATATCCAGGGAAGGCAGGAGATAGAAATCCCTGTAAGGTTGAGTCACTGTACAGCTTTCTCAAATGAGTTGAAACATGTCATCACTGAGCCGTTTCAGAGTTTGGCTCTTTTTTTAGGGCAAATGTTGAATATCTGCTTCCACAGCCATCCTCATCTCGCTCCTTGTCAAATCCTTGCACCTACTCATAAGAAAGAAATAGGTTTGTAGTGGGAGCAGGTAGTTTTGCAGGCCTTTAATGATCCATTCTATGCAATTGGTAGGTTGCGTTTGAAGGATTTAAAATAGTGCTGGATTCTTTTAATTAGGCTCATGTTCCTGCCTCCAAGTTTAAAGGATGCTTGCAAGGTGTAGGAGGAAACCAAGCTCTACATTTGTGCCTTTCCTTCCTAACCTATTTTTTTTAAGTGACATGTAACAATAGTACATGAAACATACCTGGTTGGGAAATTTTTAATATTAATGACCTTTTTAATAATCCCATTTTGCTATCCAGGAGTGCCTTGCACGGAAAACGATTACAAACTCTGGTCTCCGTCTGATGAACGAGGCAACGAATGCCTTTTGGGGCACAAAACGGTCTTCAAAAGACGAACTCCTCACGCAACATGTTTCAACGGGGAAGATTTTGATCGGCCGGTCATGGTCTCCAATTGTTCTTGCACCCGAGAAGACTATGAGTGGTGAGTTAGTAGAGCTACTCACAGCACAGACTTGTCATTTAAAGTGATTTCCAGCTTGCAATGCCCAAGTCTATAGATGGAAGATGACTATAGAGCATGCATGGGAAAACTTGGGCTCTCCAAGTGTTTTGGACTCCAACTCCCACAATTCCTAACAGCCAGTAGGCTGTTAGGAATTGTGGGAGTTGAAGTCCAAAATACCTGGAGGGCTCAAGTTGGCCCATGCCTTCTATAGAGGCATCTCCAGTGTACCTAGAGATTTGTGAGGAGAACATAGTAATCCAATTTATGAATTATCCATTGGCAAAACTAAAACCTGTAGATGTGGAAGAACGACTGTATTTAGCAATCCTTTCTTGAAAAATATAACACATTCTTAGATCACCTGATAGAAAGGGCTTGCTGTGAGTTACTTGAACTTTTCCAAAAAATATGGCCAACCGGATTTTACTGAATTCCTGATGTTTTGTATCTTTTAGAATTAGAAACTGTACTTAATAAAATGCCCTTACATTCATTTGCCCCTTCCTCTTTTCTTCCTGCTCAGCGATTTCGGCTTCAAGCTGAGCGAAGACCTGTCACTAGAGGTTTGTGTCCCAGATCCTGAATTTGCTGGCAAGCCTTATTCTCCTCCTGTGCCGTGTCCGGTTGGCTCGACTTACAAGAAGACTAAAGGGTAAGGAGAACAAGTCTAGCAAAGATTATGTGAGTGACATAGAATCATAGAATCCTAGAGTTGGAAGAGACCTCATGGGCCATCCAGTCCAACCCCCTGCCAAGAAGCAGGAATATTGCATTCAAATCACCCCTGACAGATGGCCATCCAGCCTCTGTTTAAAAGCTTCCAAAGAAGGACCCTCCACCACACTCCAGGGCAGAGAGTTCCACTGCTGAACGGCTCTCACAGTCAGGAAGTTCTTCCTCATGTTCAGATGGAATCTCCTTTCTTGTAGTTTGAAGCCATTGATAAGTAAATGTAAAAGACTGGTGCTAATAATGATGATGATGATGATGATGATGATGGGTTGTTGTAGGTTTTTTGGGCTATATGGCAAGCATCCTCACAACCTCTAAGGATGCTTGCCATAGATGCAGGCAAAATGTCAGGAGAGAATGCTTCTAGAACATGGCCATATAGACCGAAATACCTTCAACAACCCAGTGATTCCAGCCATGAAAGCCTTCAGCAACAACAACAACAACAACAACAACAACATTTTTTCAAGAGTAAATTAAATGGTGGAAATATGATCAAGGCTCTCAACACCTGGGCCATCCCCATCATTAGATACACTGCTGGAATTGTGAACTGGATGCAAGCAAAGCTGGATGATCTGGACAGAAAAACAAGAAAACTGATGACAATCCACTACGCGTAGTGATGTCAACAGACTTTACCTGCCCAGAAAATCAGGAGGCAGAGAGAGGGCTTCTGCAAGTGAAAGAAATGGTAGAAAAAGAGAAACACGCACTGGCAGATTATGTGAAAGGCAGTCAAGAACCAACATTGAGGGAAGTCAATAGTAGTAAACTGCTTAAAGTGCAAAAGACAAAGAGGGAATATCATAAAAACACAATCCAGAGCAGAAGAGAAAACTGGCAAAATAAGGCTCTCCATGGACAGTTCCTGGAAAAATTGAGAGTCAAATTGACAAAGAAAAAACATGGCTGTGGCTCACAAGTGGAACTCTGAAAAAGGAGACGAAGGGGGCCTGATTCTGGCAGCCCAAGAACAAGCCATTCGAACCAATGCCATCAAAGCCAGAATTGAAAAGTCGATGACAGATCCCAAATGTAGACTCTGCAAGGAAGCAGATGAAACAATAGATCACATCCTCAGCTGCTGCAAGAAGATCGCGCAGACAGACTACAAGCAGAGGCATAACACCGTTGCTCAGATGATTCATTGGAACTTGTGCCACAAATACCTTCTTCCTGTGACAAAGAACTGGTGGGATCACAAGCCGGAAAAAGTTACAGAGAATGAACACGTCAAGCTACTCTGGGACTGCCGGATTCAGACAGACAGAGTTTTGGAGCACAACACTCCTGACCTCATGATCATGTTAAAAAACAAAGTATGGATTGTTGATGTTGCAATCCCAGGTGACAGCAGGATTGAAGAGAAATAACTGGAAAAGCTAACATGATATGAGGATTTAAAGATCGAACTGCAAATTCTCTGGCACAAGCCAGTCAGGGTGGTCCCAGTGGTGATTGGCACACTGGGTGCAATGCTTAAAGACTTTGGACTGCAGTTAAATACAATCAGTGCTGACAAAATTACCATCTGCCAGCTGCAGAAGGCCACCTTACTAGAATCTGCACATATTATTCGCCGATACATCACACAGTCCTAGACACTTGGGAAGTGTCCAACGTGTGATCCAATACAACAGCCAGCAGAGTGTCTGCTGTGGACTCATCTTGTGGTGTTAATAATAATAATAATAATATACTTTATTTATATTATTCTTTATTTCCCTGAGAGGACTTGAAGAAGATTACAAAATACATAAATGGCAAACATTCAATGCTGTTATACATTTAACAACAAAGACAGACAGTACATAGATTCCCTCTTTTTCATCTCCGGCATCTGGAGACTGTGTTCAACTCAGCAACACCAGAGGCACTCCAAGTGGCCAGCTACTGGTCAAAGGACATTTAACAGAATGCCAAGTTTTCAAATTTTGTTTGTGTGTGTGTTTTTTAAAATACAATACAACTGTTTGGTTCACTCATGACACAATAAATAAATAGCCATGGCAATGTGCTGTTGTGCCATTTTTCCAGGCCAAGGAGCCTGTTGTCCATGGACACATTCTTGATTTAATTGCTGGCATGTTTTAAGGGGCACTTTTTACCTCCCCTCCAAAACGGTATCTATTTATCTACTCGCATTGTTGTTTCGAATGGTTAGGTAAGCAGAAGCTAGAGCTGATGGCGAGAGCTCATCCCAACCCACGGCTTGAACTGCCAACCTTGTAAAATTATATTGTAAGGTTGCATGATGTTAGGGTTGCTAGAATGAAAACCGGAGACGCAAACTGCGCCTTTCATGGTTGCATAGAAACACTGATTTCAGCAGGTGTTGCTTATCACATAACCAAATAACAACATTTGCTAAAGTCCCTACTTCTGCACAATCTTTCAACTACAAAGGACAACTCAACTTTTCAGTTTAGCGACTTTCATGTCCAGTTTTGGTCCAAACAAAATAAGAGGCCACACCAAAGTGTTTATGTATGCAATTGCATTCACACAGTGCCCTTGAAGAATGAGAATGTGCAAAACATTTTTGAGTTTGAAATGTCTGTTTCTCTCTCTTTCTCAAACCTGCTTAACAGGGCGCTGCCTTGTGTTTGTTAAACAGCAGCTGCATTGTCCTGGAGAACACACTTTCTTTGTCTTTGTTAGGTATCGCAAGGTATCTGGAGACACTTGCTCAGGGGGTGACATTGAGGCCCGACTGGAAGGGGAATCCGTCCCATGTCCTTTAGCAGGTAAGTGATGGGTCGGCTCAATGTACAGTTGACCCTCTGTATCAACGGATTCTTCTATTTTTAAAAATCCCCAAAGTAAACCTTGATTTTGCCATTTTGTATGAGGGACGACACTTTGTATGCCATTGTCCATATTGGGACTTGAGCAGCAATGGATTTTTGCTACCCAGAGGAGGAACAAGTCTCAGTAGATACTGAGATCTCACTGTAAAGAAGGGTTGAAGAGTGTCTTTTTGTGTTGAAAAATGAGTTGTTTATTATTTATTGGTTATGTTTGTACCCTGGCTTTCTTCCAGTGAGCTCCCAGCTTCATAAACAACGTATCCTCATAGTAACACTTGTAAGATAGGGCAGGCTGTCACAAAGTGACTAGCCCATAGTCGCAGCTGGGGCCCCTTCTACACAGCCATATAATCCAGATGATCAGTGTAGATAATCAACACTATCTGCTTTGAACTGGATTATCTGTGTCTACACTGCCTGGTCATGGAATGGAAACTGCTTTGGTCACCTTGGTGCATGACCTCCTCAGAGAGTGTGTCTCTGTTGGTTCCTTTGGTCATCTCAGTGATGTTAACATTGATCAGGGTATCCTCCTGGGCCAGCTCACCGAGATGAGAGTGGGAACACTGTTTTGCAGTGGCTCCGGTCCTTCTTGAAGAGCCGGTTCCAGAATGTAGTGCTGGGGGACTACTGCTTGAATCCTTGGCCTTTCTCCTGTGGGGTTCCTCACGGGTCTGTTCTATTCCCCATGCTCTTTAATAGCTACATGAAGTGGTTGGGTGAGATCATTTGGAGTTTTGGAGTGTGGTGTCACTTCTATGCAAATGACACCCAACTCTACTATTCTTTTCCACCCAATTCCAAGGAAGCCGCCCCAATCCTAAACCAGTGCCTGATGGCAGTAACGGACTGGATGAGGGCAAACAAAGTGAACAATTCTGATAAGACAGAGATTCTCCTGGTCAGTCGGAAGGCTGATCCAGGTATAGGGTTACAGCCTGAATTAGACAAGGTTACACTCAAGGTTCGCAGCTTGGACTCATCACTGACCTTGGAGGCCCATCTGTTGATGGTGGCCAGGGGAGCCTTTGCACAATTAAAACTTGTGCGCCACCTGTGCCGGTACCTTGAGAAGTCTGATCTAGCGATGGTGGTCCATGCCCTTGTCGCATCCAGACTAGATTACTGTAATGCGCTCTACATAGGGCTATCCTTGAAGACCATCTGGAAGGTCTGTGGCCAGGCTGCTCACTGGAGCGCTGTAAGGGGAACAATAAACTCCTCTGTTATGGCAGCTCCAATGGCTACCAGTTTGTTTCTGGGCACAATTCAAGGTGTTGGTTTTAACCTCTAAATCCCTGAATGGTTCAGGCCCAAGCTATCTATCTGACTGCATCTCTTGATATGAGTCACACCGAGCCCTATGATCTGCTGGAAAGGCCTTACTCTCAGTTCCACCTCCATCTCAGGTACGGCTGGTGGGAACGAGAGAGAGGGCCTTCTCGATGGTGGCCCCTTGGCTCTAGAACTCCTGAAGAACATCAGAATGGCTCCCTCCCTGCTGTCCTTCAGAAAGCAAAGAAAAACTTTGCTTTGGAAGGAAGCTTTCAACAATGAGTGTTGCTGTTCATTTGTTCAGTCGTTTCCGACTCTTCGTGACTTCATGGACCAGTCCACACTAGAGTTCCCTGTCGGCTGTCACCACCCCCAGCTCCTTCAAGGTCAATCCGGTCACTTCAAGGATACCATCCATCCATCTTGCCCTTGGTTGGCCTCTCTTCGTTTTTCCTTCTATTTTCCCCAGCATCATACTCTTCTCTAAGCTTTCCCTTCTTCTCATGATGTGGCCAAAGTACTTCATCTTGGCCTCTACTATTCTTCCCTCCAATGAGCAGTCAGGCTTTATTTCTTGAAATAAGACAACGAGTAATCATGTTAAATGGCAATGGACTTTGACTATGGCAATGAGATAGAGCAGGTTTTTAATATAACTTTTTTAAAAATATAGCTGGTTTTTTAATATAGCTGGTTTTAATATTGTTTTTATCATATGTTGTTTTTAGGAGTTGTTAGAAATGCTTTGTCTTGCTATATGACATGTATTTGAGTTTGCATTGTCCTAGGTTTGAATGGCATCAAATTGTCAACTGTGAGCCACTCTTAGTCCCTCAATAAGGGAGAGAGGGCGCAGTATAAATCAAAATAAATAATTATAATCCACTTCAGAGCAGATAATCTGGATTTTATATGGCAGTGTAGAAGGACCTGAGCTCATGGAGGACCTGAACTTGGTTCTGCCAGATTCGTTTTTCTAATGCTCTGACATTACACTGAAAACTCTAATATCTATTGAATGTCTGAACTACAAGTCTGCCCTTCCCAACCAAGCTGAGAAAGCCTAATGTTATCTAAAGTTGTACGACTTGATTTCAAGAGAAAGACAGGGACATGTCACCTTGCTGTGATTTTGTCTCTTGTGCAAATATAGCCTTCATGTTCACCACCCCTTGTCATTTTAGTTACATCTCAACTGATTCCCGGTCATGCACTCCTTTTGGTTGCCCAAAATGTTCCTTCATCAGTCCTTTCCTTTTGCCTCTAGAGGAGAACGAATTCATTCTCTACACCACACGGTACTCCATCCATCGCTATGACCTGTCCTCTGGTATCAGCGAAGAGTTGCCTTTGACGGGGTTGCGTGGAGCCATGGCCCTTGACTTTGACTATGAGCACAATTGCTTGTATTGGGCAGATGTGACGCTGGACATCATTCAGGTGAGCTTGACCTCAGGACTTTCTCTGTGCAAGATAGGACTTTTTTGGCATTGGATCGAAAGAAAGAGTGGGCTGATAGCACCCCGCAGGGGTGTTCAGGGAGGAAGTTTATGCATATATATCACTGAAAGAGCAAAACCCTCAGGACTGTCTTCCGTAGCAGGATATTTTTAGGACACCAGGAAGCAGTGGAGATGGAGCAGGAGAAAAACAAAAGAATATACAGTGGGTCCTCTGGTCCATTATTTACAGCAATTGTGAATATTAGTAGATGGCAGCAGTGGGCATGGAAACATATGTATTCATATAACTGTTGCTGTTGTAGGTTTTTCGGATGTAATTAGGAGACGCATATGGTGTGACCATCTCCTCCCTTACGAGCCCACACGGTCCTTAAGATCTTCTGGGGATGCCCTTTTCTTACTCCCGCCACCATCTTAGGCGCGGTTGGTGGGGACGAGACAGAGGGCATTCTCGGTGGTGGCCCCCTGTCTCTGGAACTCCCTCCCCAGGGGAGATTAGGCTGGCACCCTCCCTAGCCACGTTCCGTAAGGAATTAAAGACGTGGATGTTTCGTCGTGTTTTCGATTGACGACTCCTATGAGAAATGGCGTATATCATGACGTGAATTGTCATTCAGTCTGATGTCCTATATTATATTAACTGATCCTGTTAATTTGCTCTGTTTCCATGATTTCTCCTATGCCATTATGCATTGTCATCTACCTAACTAAATCACTTTATCCTTTAACTAGTTCATGTAGTGGTTTTCCTCCCCCCCTCCAAAATTAGTCTGCTGTTGTTGTTGCTAGCTATTTTTGTTATGTTGTTTTATGCTGTTTTTATGCTGTTTTAATTGTTATTGCTTTATTTTAATTGTATTCTGCCTGGGCTTGGGCCCCATGCAAGCTGCCCCGAGTCCCTTCAGGGAGATGGAGGCAGGGTAGAAAAATAAAAAGTTCTATATTTTTATTACTTTTGTTGGGTTTTATACTATGTATTAATGTTTTCAATGTTTATGATGTTATTGGGCATCAAATCTTTGCCTCTGTAAACTGCCCTGAGTCACCTGAGGGCTGAGAAGGGCGGTATACAAATATAGTAAATAAATAAATAAATAAATATGGCCATGTTATAGAAACATTCTCTCCTAATATTTCGCCTGCATCTATGGCAAGCATCCTCAGAGGTTGTGAGGTCCGGCCCTAGATGCAGGAGAGAATGCTTCTAGAACATGGCCTTATAGCCTGAAAACCCTACAACAACCCAGTGATTCCAGCCATAAAAGCCTTCAACAATACATATAACTGTCAATTAATTGTATGGGGCATAATTGCTTTTTTTGTATTCACAACAGATCCTTAGATACAATGGGCTCACTGTCTTGAAAAAGAAACTGTTTATTTTATTAGCAATGGTCTCAATCAGATAGGGTTCTAGCCTAAGTAGAAGTAGATGCAAAGCCATTTTAATGTACTTAGTCATGGGTGATATTTTGACCAAAGTTATTGTTTGTTGCCTTCTTGACTTCCAGCTTGGGACTGGTTTTGTTCAACATCTTTATTAATGACCTAGATGAAAGGTTAGAAGTTTGCAGACAACACCAAATTGGGAGGGAGAGCCAATATCCCAAAAGACAGGAGCAGAATTCAAAACCATCTTATCAGATCAGAGAGATGACTGGCCAAAACTAACACAATGAATGGGTTGTTGGAGGTTTTTCTGGGCTATATGGCCATGTTCTGGAACATGGCCATATAGCCCAGAAAAACCTACAACAACCCATGGATTCCAGCCATGAAAGCCTTCGACAATACATTAACACAATGAAGTTCAACAGGGACAAGTGCAAGATACTCCATTTAGGCAGAAAAAATGAAATGCAAAGATACAGAATGGGGGACGATGCCTGGCTCGACAGTAGGACGTGTGGAAAGATCTTGGAGTCCTTGTGGACAGCAAGTTAAATATGAGCCAACAATGTGATGCGGCGGCTAAAAAACCCTATGGGATTTTGTCCTGCATCAATAGGAGCATAATGTCTAGATCCAGGGAAGTCATGTTACCCTTCTATTCTGCCTTGGTCAAACCACACCTGGGAAAAGTCATAGGGAGGAGGGAACAGGCATGTTTTCTGCTGCTCTGGAGACTAGGGCGCAATGGAACAATGGCTTCAAACTACAGGAAATTAGATTCCACCTGAACATGAAGAACTTCCTGAGTGTGCTAGAAAGCTGTTCAGCAGTGGAACTCTCTGCCACAGCGTGTGGTGAAGGCTCCTTCTTTGGAGGTTTTAAACAGAGGATAGATGGCTATCAGTCTGGGGTGCTTTGAATGCAATTTTTATGCTTCTTGGCTCAATGGGGTTGGACTGGATGGCCCACAAGGTCTCTTTCAACTCCATGATTCTGTGATTCTATGACTTCACGTTCACTTTTGGGACTCACTCTAGCTCCATAATAATGATATTTTGGCCCTAACCCAAGAGTATAACTTCTCTCATCTTCAAGAGTGTCTCTTTTGTGCGATTCTTTACTTAGATATTAATTGAAGTTGGTGATGCTCTGTGTCTCTTGGGTTTATTTTCAGCGTTTGTGTCTAAATGGAAGTTCTGGGCAGGAAATTCTCATCAGCACAGGACTGGAGACAGTCGAAGCATTGGCTTTTGAACCTATCAGTCAACTACTTTACTGGGTGAATGCTGGCATTCCTAAAATTGAGGTAAGTCGGTCTATACAATTTGGACACACTTTTTGTTGTCTCAGTGCTCAGAGCTGCACCTTTGCCATCCTTTGAGCAGGAACTGGGAGCTGAACCAAAGCTGGGTTCCAAGCAGAGAACCAATAAAGTCAGTTCCAAATTGCTCTGATTCTTGTCTGGTCCTGAACAAGAAGCCTTAATTGGCCATGTCAGACTGAAATAGAACTTACTTACTTAGGCAAGGGCTCGTAGTCCGAGGATGATGGTACTCCAAGAGTGGTAACCTGGCGGTGGGTCCGTAGGTGACTGTGGAGCCCTATTCTTGACCTGCATCTTCTCCCACAATGAGGGCATTGGTTTCCAGGTGGAAGGCAGTCCCAGTCGTGGTTGGCTTGACATGCTTTCCTCTTGGCACATTTCTCTCTTTTGCCCTCCATTCGTGCCTCTTCAAATTCTGCAGCACTGCTGGTCACAGCTGATCTCCAACTGGAGCGCTCAAGGGCCAGGGCTTCCCAGTTCTCAGTGTCTATTACAGAGTTTTTAAGCTTGCCTTTAAGCCCACCTTTAAATCTCTTTTCCTGCCCACAAACATTCCAGTTTCCATTCTTGAGTTCGGAGTAGAGCAACCGCTTTGGGAGACGGTAGTCGGGCATCCGGACAATGTGGCCAGTCCAGCGGAGTTGATGGCGGAGGACCATTGCTTCAATGCTGGTGGTCTTTGTTTCTTCCAGGACGCTGACATTTGTCCACCTGTCTTCCCAAGAGATTTTCCGGAGGCAGCGCTGATGGAATCGTTCTAGGAGTTGCATGTGATGTCTGTAGACAGTCCATGTCTTGCAGGCGTAACGCAGGGTTGGGAGGACAATAGCTTTATAAACAAGCACCTTGGTATCCCTACGGTTGTCCCAGTCCTCAAACACTCTCTGCTTCATTCGGAAAAAATGCTGCACTCACAGAGCTCAGGCGGTGTTGTATTTCGGTGTCAATGTTGACTTTGGTGGAGAGGGGGCTGCCAAAGTAGCGGAAATTGTCAACATTTTCTAATGTTACACCATTAAGCTGTATCTCTGGCATTGGAGAGGAATTGGCTGGTGACTGCTGGAAGAGCACTTTGGTTTTCTCGATGTTCAATGAGAGGCCGAGCTTTTGTTGTCTCAATGCTCAGAGAAGCACCTTTGCCATTTTTTGAGCAGGAACTGGGAACTGAACCAAAGCTGGGTTCCAAGCAGGGAACCAATAAAGTCCGCCCCAAATTGCTCTGATTCTTGTCCGGTCCTGAACAAGAAGCCTTAATTGGCCATGTCAGACCGAAATAGAAACTCCCTATATGAATATAGCCTACTTGTCATGGCTAACTACTTAGAAGAGGCATTCCTGGCCAAATTTGAAACTCTCACAGACATTCAAAGCTGGCTTCTGGGATGCACCTTAAGCTGTTCCGACAGAGCAATTAAATGCTCCTCTTTTCCCGGCCAAATGTGTGCGAATGGATTTTGTTGTCAACCTGGAAAGCACAATTGATTCAGGTGTGGAGCAGAAACAATCCTAGAAATCTATTATCCTTTGTAGGAGACAATTGACTCTGACACATTTGCAGACTGTTTCCTGAGCTGATGACTGGTCTGCGTAGAAGCAAGCTGCTACTTCTTTTTAAACAAAGCTCCATTTGCTCCCATCAGGAGTGGTGCGGGGGTGTCTGGCAAACTGAATAAGTGAACAGATTTATCAGAGTTGCCTGAAGGAAGCAATTGACTCAGCTTCACAGAGTGCGCCTGGGCTTTGTTTTGCTTTATAGAGAGCAATGAGGTTAACAGCTCCACATCTTGTTGTTGTGTGGCTTCAAGTTGTTTCCCACATATTGTGACCCTAATGCAAATCTACCATTGAGGTTTGATTGCAAAAATGTTCAGAGAAGAATTTACTATAGCTTTCTTCTGATCCGAGATTGTTCCCATGGACAACTTTTTCTTTACGTGTCAGGAGCAATTTGAAAAACTGCAAGTTGCTTCTGGTGTGAGAGAATTGGTCATCTGCAAGGATGTTGCCCAGGGGACGCTCGGATATTTCATGTTTTTTACCAGCCGGAGCCCTCGGTGATGCAGTGGATTAAACCCTTGTGTCTGCAGGACTGAAGACCAACAGGTCAGAGGTTCAAATTTTGGGAGAGCACGGATGAGCTCCCTCTGTCAGCTCCAGCTCCCCATCCAGGGACATGAGAGAAGCCTCCCACAAGGATGATAAAACATCAAAACATCCGGGAACCCCCTGGGCAACGTCCTTGTAGATGGCCAATTCTCTCACATCAGAAGCAACTTGTGTCTCAAGTCTTACTTGCTTACTTACTTAGGCGATCCCTCATTGGCTGAGTAGGATAGTCTTCCAGGATCAGTGTTCTGGTGGGTTCGTAGGTGACTGTGGAGTCCTATTCTTGATCTGCATCTTCTCCTGCAGTGAGGGCATTTTTTCCAGGTGGAAGGCGGTCTCGATCGGGGTTGGCTTGCTGCGCCTTCCTCTTGGCACGTTTCTCTCTTTCGCCCTCCATTCGTGCTTCTTCAAATTGTACAGCACTGCTGGTCACAGCTGACCTCTAACTGGAGTGCTCAAGGGGCAGGGCTTCCCAGTTCTCAGTGTCTATGCCAGTCACTCCTGACTCCTTGTGGGAGGCTTCTCTCATGTCCCTGCATAGGAAGCTGGAGCTGACAGCAGGAGCTCAACCCACTCTCCCCGTATTCGAACCCCTGACCTGCTGGTCAGCAGTCCTGCCGGCACAAGGGTTTAACCCATTGCTCCACCAGAGGCTCCATACCCATGGACAGCTAATGGGTTTCCATGGCTGAGCAGGGATTCAAACCCTAGTCTCTAATCCAATATCCAAACCACAACACCAAGATGCCTTTCTTGTTGTCATTATTGTGTTTCTCCAAGTCATTCTTGATTTACAGTGCCGCCATTACATTACAGCACGGTAAAAGGACTTTGTAGGATGAAAGAATTCTTGATTATTTTTTCTTTAACTAGGTGCAAAGGAAGCCAGTACATTTGAGCTTGTTGTTAGCTCTCTGGATGAATAAATATAGTTTGGCAAGAGGTTCTGATTCCTTTTGTAGCAGTACTTACAATAACAAAAAAGTCACCTCTTTCCTTATTAGTGGTGAGCAGCCGGTGGCACTCCATGTATTGTTGGATTGTATCTCCCATGATCTCTCACCTTCTGACCTGAGAGTGATGGGATGTGTAGTCCAATAGTTGCCTGGAGGGTTGCAGTCTACAAGGGTTGAATGAAAAGTAACTCCTCAACAGATGGCAGTATTGGTATATGGTAGGTACTGGCTTGTTCAGTAGACTCTCTTCTACAGTTCCATTTTGGTATGAAGCCTTAGCATTGAACGGTTGTGTTATTAAAGTGTGAAGTATGGAACCCTGAACAGACGGTCAGTCAATGCAACTTAAGCAACGTGCAGTCATTGAATTCTTGACAGCAGAAGGTGTCACCACAAAGGAGATTCATCAGAGAATGCAAGTTGTTTATGATTGATTGTGTTGATGTGAGTACTGTGTGTCATTGGGCAAGTAAGTTTAAAAATGTTGAGGTGGAAACATCTAACTTGCATGACACAAAGAGCATGTGGACAATTTCAACAGAAAGGAGGAAACCATGAAAATGAACAAAATCTGGCTACCAGTATTAAAAAAACTCTAAAATTACAACAGCACAACAACAGAGAGGAACCAAACAAAGACATCTAATCACCTCTCAACAAAAGTTTGCTCTAGGCACTGTCAGGCCATTATATGCTAATCAAGGTGGTCAGTTGAAACATTCACACCTAGCTCCAGCAGACAAGAGTCCTTTGTCTCACCCTGGTCATTCCACAGATATATAAACCCTTTTTCCTATTTCCAATAGACCTCACTACCTCTGAGGATGCTTGCCATAGATGCAGGCGAAACGTCAGGAGAGAATGCCTCTAGAACATGGCCATATAGCCCGAAAAAACCTACAACAACCAATGATTCCGACCATGAAAGCCTTCGACAATACATGACACAAAGAGTTGGATGTCCTGTGACAGCAACCACCGAGTTTCACAAACAAAAGGTTGACAGATTGATTCAGGACGATCGTCATATCATTCAGAGAGAAATTTGAAGCATAATTAGCATTTTACAAGAACGTGTGGATCACATTATTGCTTTGCTTGACTATCGGTCAATCTGTGCACAATGGGTACACAACAGAACTTCAGAGAGTGGATCTCACCACCTTACGGCATCTTCCATACAGTCCGGATTTAGCACCATCTGATTTCCATCTGTTCCCGATAATGAAAGAAGATCTGTGGGGACATCATTATGCTTCTGATGAAAACGTTGAGAGAACTGTGAGACACTGGTTGCGGAAACAGAGTGTTGACTTCTTCCATGACAGCTTCAGAAAACTTGTTCATCATTGTCAGAAATGTATCCAATTGTCTGGTGATTATGTGGAAAAGTGAATAGTGGTAGTTAAAGAGCACATTCTAAGGATTATTTCTGTGTTTAGTTTATTAAAATATTCCCATCCAAACCCAAGTTACGAAGGTGGAGGCATTACTTTTCATTCAACCCTCGTAGAAGGAAGAACCAGAAATGAGAAACTGACCATGAATTTCAGGTGTGATGAAGGCCAGGGTTTTGGACCTGATTGTAGTGGAACTATTTTGCTTGCAAGATTTTGAGCCAGTGGCACTGTTGCTGTTGGAAAAAGCAATTGGTCAGTTTTCCCCTCTGTTGTTTCTATCAGGTTGCCAACCCAGATGGAGACTTGAGACTTACGGTTTTGAATTCCTCTGTGCTCCAGCGGCCACGAGCCTTGACCCTGGTACCCAAAGAAGGGTAAGTAAGAAGATAGAAAATGGGGATTACGGATCAGTTGAAGACCACCTCAAATATAATTAAATGCATTCTGCTTAGTGTAACACTATGGATTTGTGGCTTAGGTTTTGATTTCAGTGATTATAAAAAGCAGTTGATGAACCAGTTACTTCTGTTCCTGGGTTTTGCTTTCTCAGGCTGATGTTTTGGACCGACTGGGGAGATTCCAAGCCTGGCATTTACCGCAGCGAAATGGATGGCTCTTCTCCGACTTGCATCGTCTCCGAAGGAGTGAGGTGGCCCAATGGCATTTCTGTGGACGACCGATGGATCTACTGGACAGAGGCGTACATGGACAGGATCGAGCGCGTTGACTTCAGTGGCATGCAGAGATCGGTTATCCTGGATAGTCTGCCCCATCCTTACGCTATTGCTGTTTTTAAGGTACTTGGGTGACTGCTCTTCTCGTTGGGTGCCTTATTTATTTATTCATTTATTTATTTACTATATTTATATACTGCCAAGTTGTTTCTTGTGTATAGTGACCCTTATTTATTTATTTATCATGTCAGGAGCAATCAGACAGTTGTATTACATTTTTAACAAAGCAAACAGACAAAACATAAAGTTTGCAAGCTTGGTAGTTGATTAAATGTCCTTTGAGCAGTATCTGGTGTTGCCGCAAGAAGGTCCTCCATTGTGGATGTGGCAGGGCTCAGGTTGCATTGCAGCAGGTGGTCAGTGGTTAGGTGGTATGGTGACCCTAAGGCGTATCTGTTATGGGATTTTCTTGGAAATATTAATATTTTTTTTGGTGTCAGAAGCAACTTGAGAAACTGCAAGTCACTTATGGTGTGAGAATTGGCCGTCTGCAAGGACGTTGCCCAGGGGATGCCCAGATGTTTTAGATGTTTTATCATCCTTGTGGGAAGCTTTTCTCATGTCCCCACATAAGGAGCTGGAGCTGATGGAGGGAGCTCATCTGCGCTCTCCTCGGATTCGAACCTGCGACCTGTCAGTCTTCAGTCCTCCTGGCCACTGCGCCACTGTGGGCTCCTATTAATTGATAGGGTTTTTTTTCCATTCCTTTCTCCTGAAACTGGCCTAAGTCTCCAGTGAGTTTATGTGGCTCAGGCTGGATCTGAATTCTTATCTCCAAGATTGCAATTGAACATTCAAACCATTGCATCATGTTGGCTTTTGTAACTGCCCTACTTAAAAATTAACTTCTCCAGATTCCTTCTTGTAAACTAGTCCACTTTGAAAGAAATATATATATAGTATATAATATAGTGTAATATATATATTACATTATATTATATACATTCTAATATTATAAATAATATGTGTATATATAATATATTATACTAGCCGTCCCCTGCCACGCATTGCTGTGGCCCACATGGGGGTTCTGTGTGGGAGGTTTGGCCCAATTCTATCGTTGGAGGGGTTCAGAATGCTCTGTGATTGTAGGTGAACTATAAATCCCAGCAACTACAACTCCCAAATGTCAAGATTCTATTTCCTCCCAAACTCCACCAGTGTTCACATCTGGGCATATTGGGTATTTGTGTAGAGATTGGTCCTGATCCATCATTCTTTGAGTCAACAGTGATCTCTGGATGTAGGTGAACTACAACTCCAAAACCAAAGGACACTGCCCACCAAACCCTTCCATCGTTGGTGGGTTCAGAATGCTCTTTGATTGTAGATGAACTATAAATCCCAGCAACTACAACTCCCAAATGACAAAATCATATTTTTTTTTTAGTGAAGGGCATACATTGGGTTGTTAGGTGTATTGTGTCCAAATTTGGTGTCAATTCCTCCAGTGGTTTTTGAGTTCTGTTAATCCCACAAACGAACATTACATTTTTATTTATATAGATTACATTATATAATATTATATAATGTAATATAATATATTGTATATACATATAATATTTATAATATTAGAATGTAATGCAATATAATACTAATAACAATAAGATGATATTATAATTATATATTTTTATTACATGTAATCTTACAATATAGTAATATATAATACTGATATTGTGCTATGCTAATAATATATTTTATGTATATGTATCTTGTAAGCCACTCTGAATCCCCTTTGGGGTGAGAAAGGCGGCATATAAATGTCGTAAATAAATAAATTTTAGGTCCATCACACTCATTTCTGTCATGAATTGTGAGAGCCATTCAGCAGTGGAACTCTCTGCCCCGGCGTGTGGTGGAGGCTCCTTCTTTGGAAGCTTTTAAACAGAGGCTGGATGGCCATCTGTCAGGGGTGATTTGAATGCAATATTCCTGCTTCTTAGCAGGGGGTTGGACTGGATGGCCCATGAGGTCTCTTCCAACTCTTTGATTCTATGATTCTATGAATTCATGAATTACAATCCAGTAAAGGACTTGGTGGGTGTCAGTGAACATCTCCGGATGTGATAGTAGTGAAACTACACCCACAGCTTGGAAATAAACAATTGCTAAAAATGATGGAAATATTTGGGCTTGTTGCAACAGAGGAAAGGTGATTTAGGGTTGGCTCCCATTCACCGTGCATTTCCCCATCCATGCTCTAACATTGTTTCTAAGGATGGCAACTCGTTTGAGAATCCTAAAGCTGTTGCTGAAATCAGGGCAAACAAATTTATCTCATGCAGGAGGGCTGTCGTGTTTTGTGTGCCTTTCATAAAGGCTCTATTCCAGTCTCCAATTCCCCTTTGGCTGCTTACATCTAAATCCAGGTTACCAAGTTGCCCCTGGCAACCTGCGAAGGAAACTATGTCCTCCGGTACAGGATGTCCTTGCAAAGAGAATGAGGAATCGAACAACTGGCTTTTGGTTCTGGGGATTCTCAAGTTTATTTCTTTAATTGGATTTTTGGAATGTTTTATTGAGTTTTTTTTTCAGCGGAGCTGGTTTAAATTAAAGCATCATATTCCGGATGTCCTTTCATTAGGAGAAACTGTCTCGAATGACCAGGGCCAGGCAAAATTCAGTTAATCTTTGGCCTGTATCAATAGAAGTATAGTGTCTAGATCCAGGGAAGTCATGCTACCCATGCTCTATTCTGCCTTGGTTAGACCACATCTGGAATATTGTGTCCAATTCTGGGCACCACAATTGAAGAGAGATATTGACAAGCTGGAATGTGTCCAGAGGAGGGCGACTCAAATGATCAAGGGTCTGGAGAACAAGCCCTATGAGGAGCGGCTTAAAGAGCTGGGCATGTTTAGCCTGAAGAGGAGGAGGCTGAGAGGAGGCATGATAGCCATGTATAAATATGTGAGGAAGTCATAGGGAGGAGGGATCAAGCTTGTTTTCTGCTTCCCTGGAGACTAAGATGTGGAGCAATGGCTTCAAACTACAAGAAAGGAGATTTCATCTGAACATTAGGAAGAACTTCCTGACTGTGAGAGCTGTTCAGCAATGGAACTCTCTGCCCCGGAGTGTGGTGGAGGCTCCTTCTTTTAAACAGAGGCTGGATGGCCATCTGTCGGGGGTGCTTTGAATGCAATTTTCCTGCTTCTTGACAGGGAGTTGGACTGGATGGCCCATGAGGTCTCTTCCTACTTAAATGTATACCATGTTTGGAACATGGTATACATTTAGAGGCATTTCCTATTGATTTCCCCCCACTTCTTGGTTTGATTCTATGATTCTAATACAGTGGTTCTCAACCTTTTTGTGACCAGGGACCACTTGACCATGGACCACTTTGACCAACATTAGTATCAAAAGGGTTACAAATCAGTTTTTGCTCAACTTTAGATTTGGTTTGGTTATTTGGGGTGCAGATTCAGAATTTGGGGTCCCTTTTGTGGGTCATCAGCCTCTCCCCTCCCAAGGTCTCCATTGCCTTGTCACTGTAAGAGGATTTTGCGAGACCAGTAGCTCTCATTACAACGGTGCAGTAACGGTGAGGCCATAGACCATGTTTTAGTTCTTGGGAACCACTGGTGGTCCATGAACCACAGGTTGGGAACCACTGTTCTAATAATACAGGAGTTGTAGTCCAGCATCTTGAGAGCTACATTAAATGACATGATAGGCTAGATATATCCTGTGGGCATTGAGTTTGACATATGCCTTAGGGATTCTGTATGTTGGAAATGATGTGGAAGCACACAAAAGTAACGTACACACAGAGAAATTGGTAGTTTTTGCATGTATTTGTGCACCAGATGTTTAAAAACAGAAGTGTTTCCTCTTTTTTTGCAGAATGAAATCTATTGGAATGACTGGTCCCAGCTGAGCATTTTCCGAGCCTCAAAGCACAGTGGTTCCAGAATGGAGACGTTGGTTGACCATCTCAATGGTGTGATGGATATGAAGATCTTCTATCGTGGAAAGACATCAGGTATTTCTGCATTTTCTTTGATTCTATTTCTGAATCTGTTCTGAATGCTAAGGTCATTCTTGTGTGTCTCCAAGATAAAGCTCCCATCTGGTGTCCCAAAAGCCAAACCTATCACAGAGATGCCCAAATTGCCTTCCTTTGAGAGAGGGTGAGTTGCCCAAGATTTCCACGGCCAAGCAAAGATTTGAGCCCTGGTCTCCAGAGTTGGAGGGCAGCTCTCAAACATCTACACCATTCTGACTTTTAATGTTAAGGTAGAGAAAGAGAAATATTCTGCATTCTACATTTCAAGTGTAAACACTGCTCCCACTTTGGAGTGGAAAGGGAAGGATGGAAAGATGTAAAATGCATTAATTGCCATAGTTTTGGATAGGTAAAGGTTAAGTTTGTCCCCTGACATTAAGTCCAGTCATGACCAACTGTGGGGTGGGGTGCTCATCTCCATTTCTAAGCCAAAGAGTCGGCATTGTCCGTAGGCATCTCCAAGTTCATGTGGTCAGCATGACTGCATGGAGCACCATTACCTTCCTGTCCGAGCGGTACCTATTGATCTACTCACATTTGCATGTTTTCAAACAGCTAGGTTGGCAGAAGCTGGGGCTGAGAGTAGAAGCTCATGCTGCTCCCCTGATTCGAACCTGCAACCTTTTGGTCAACAAGTTTAAAATTGTGGGCTCTAAGGTGGTAAAATTGTAGGCTCTAAGGTGGTAGTTTCCACTGTTACTTCCTGGCTAAACAGTGTAATTTCTCCAGTGATGTAGGGCGCTGACACTCCGTGATAATGCGGCATGTCTCATTAAGAGCCACATCCACTGTTTTAGCATGGTGAGATGTGTTCCACACTGGGCATGCGTACTCAGCAGCAGAGTAGCACAGCGCAAGGGCAGATGTCTTCACTGTATCTGGTTGTGATCCCCAGGTTGTGCCAGTCAGCTTTCATATGATATTGTTTCTAGCGTCCACTTTTTGCTTGATGTTCAGGCAGTGCTTCTTGTAGGTCAGAGCACGGTCCAAAGTGACTCCCAGGTATTTGGGTGCGCTGCTATGCTCCAGTGGGGTTCCTTCCCAAGTGATCTTCAGAGCTCGGGATGCTTCTCTGTTCTTGAGATAAAAGGCACATGTCTGTGTTTTAGATGGGTTGGGGATCAGCTGGTTTTCCCTGTAATAGGCAGTAAGGGCACCTAGAGCTTCGGAGAGCTTCTGTTCAACCATCTCAAAGCTCGACTTCACTGATGTGTGTTTCCAAATTGAGATGACTCCCATGTTAATTATCAAGGAATCCAGTCCTAGTTTTAGTCTGAACCTGAAAGGAGCTATTCCAAGATGCAGAATCATAACAACCCCTCAAAAGCTTCAGCTCCTTTCAAGGTTCCAGAAGGAAGGTTTCTTGAGCCATAGCATTTACAAGATGTTCTTCCATCTTCTCTTCTTTCTCTGGGTCATACGGACAGGGCAGAACGCGTGTGTGGCCAAGCCCTGCAGCCTCCTCTGCCTTCCAAAACTGAACAACAGCCGAAGCTGCAAGTGTCCTGAAGGCGTCTCCAGCCATGTTCTCTCATCAGGAGAGGTGAAGTGTGATTGCCCACCAGGATATCTCTTGAAGAATAGTACCTGCGTAAAAGAAGGTAGGATGCACAACCTACCATTCAGTGTTGCTGGAGTACTACTGCAACACACTCTATGTGGGGTTGCCTTTGAAGACTGCTCGGAAGCTTCAACTAGTCCAACTAGTCCAACGAGAGGCAGCGAGGTTAATAACTGGGGTGGCATACAGGGATGGATTCTTTTCAGTTTGTGAAACCCGAGGATGTGGACAAGATACTTGGAGGACTGAGGCCCACCACGTCCATCCTAGACCCCTGCCCATCCTGGCTTCTGAAGGAGGCCAGAGGGGGATTGGCTGAGTGGGTAACGGTGGTGGTTAATGCCTCCCTTCGGGAAGGCAAGATTCCAGCATGCTTAAAACAAGCTATTATAAAACCGCTGTTGAAGAAACCATCATTGGACCCCACTAAATTTGGCAACTTTCGGCCTGTTTCCAATCTCCCCTTTTTGGGCAAAGTCATGGAAAGCGTGGTGGCCTCACAACTCCAGGTATTCTTGAGAGACACGGATATTCTGGATCCGGCACAGTCTGGTTTCAGACCGGGGCATGGTACCGAGACGGTCTTGGTCGCCTTAGTGGATGATCTGCGCCGGGAGCTAGACAGGGGGAGTGTGTCCCTGTTGGTGCTCCTGGACCTCTCAGCGGCCTTCGATACCGTCGACCACGGTATCCTTCTGGGGCGCCTTGCGGAAATGGGTCTTGGGGGCACTGCTCTGCAGTGGCTCCAGTCATTTCTGGAGGGTCGTACCCAGAAGGTGTTATTGGGGGACTCTTGTTCAACACCACAGCCTTTGACCTGTGGGGTTCCACAGGGTTCTATACTGTCCCCCATGCTGTTTAATATCTACATGAAGCCGCTGGGTGAGATCATCCGGAGTTTCGGGGCGGTGTCATCTGTACGCAGATGATGTCCAACTCTGTCACTCCTTTCCACCTGCTACTAAGGAGGCTGTCGAGGTCCTGAACCGGTGCCTGGCCGCTGTGACGGTCTGGATGAGGGCGAACAAATTGAAATTAAATCCAGACAAGACAGAGGTACTCCTGGTCAGTCGCAAGGCCGAACAGGGTATAGGGTTACAGCCTGTGCTGGACGGGGTCGCACTCCCCTTGAAGGCGCAGGTTCGCAGCTTGGGTGTGACCCTGGATTCATCTTTGAGCCTGGATCCCCAGGTTTCAGGGGTGACCAGAGGAGCATTTGCACAGCTTAGGCTGGTGCGCCAGCTGCGCCCGTACCTTGGGAAGTCTGACTTGGCCACGGTGGTACATGCACTGGTCACATCCCGCCTTGACTACTGCAACGCTCTCTACGTGGGGCTGCCCTTGAAGACGGCCCGGAAGCTTCAGCTAGTTCAGCGCGCGGCAGCCATGTTACTAACGGGAGCGGGACGCAGGGAGCATACAACGCCCTTGTTGTCCCAGCTCCACTGGCTGCCGATCTGCTACCGGGCCCAATTTAAGGTGCTGGTGTTATCCTACAAAGCCCTAAACGGTTCCGGCCCAAAATACCTTTCGGACCGCATCTCGGCCTATGAGCCCACGAGGGCCTTGAGATCGTCTGGGGAGGCCCTTCTCTCGATCCCGCCTGCCTCACAGGCACGTCTGGCGGGGACGAGAGAGAGGGCCTTCTCGGTGGTGGCCCCCCGGCTGTGGAACACCCTCCCTGTTGACATCCGACAGGCGCCCTCTCTTATGGCTTTCCGTAAGAGCCTAAAGACCTGGCTCTTCGAGAGGGCATTTAACTAAGTGCCAGGCTAACTGATAATGACAATCGGAATGAAATATGGATTATGAGACTGGTAGGTCCCTATGTTGTGACGGTGCAGATTAGTTAGTATAATTTAGATTAATGTGTAATTATGGCTTGTTGATGTACTGTGTGTTTTTGTAAACTGTTTTTATATGTTGTACACCGCCGCGAGTCGCCCTAGGGCTGAGAGCGGCGGTCAACAAATGCATTAAATAAATAAATAAATAAATATGTTACGTCAGCTCCACTGGCTGCCAGTTTGCTACCGGGTACAATTCAAAACTTTCTTTAACTGAATTTTTGGAATCCTTCAGCAATCAAGGTTTGCAGAATTGTTCAGAAATCCCCCAAATTCTGTGTCTCCCAGAATCTCCCAGATAATATGATAGTGGCTTTGCTAGCTGAACAATTCTTGGGGCTCCACTTTTGCAAGGATAAAGATGCCAAACCCCTCGATAGAACATATTAATCAAATTGACATGTAATCAGATCTGCAAAACTGAAATCCACAAATGCAGAAGGTTGACTGTCATCCAAAAAAGTGTGTTTTGTAAGCTGTATACCAGATCATGATACACAGGATCTATTTGTGGTTATGTGGCTATAGGGAGAAGAGGGCTAAGTCCCTCACATAATCATTCTGCCTCTTCAGAACCCCCTGTGAAGATTCAATGATGCTCTATAAGTGCTTGGAAATGCTATTTATGTCTTTAGGCAGGTCCTACATTGTTCGTTTTGTTTTCCCCTTTTTAAAAAGTCTGTCCTGCTTCTCTTCCCTCTCCCTGGCTTTGCATTAGACAACACCTGCCTCCCCAGCCAGTACAGGTGCTCCAATGGGAATTGCATCAACAGCATTTGGCAGTGTGACAACGACAACGACTGTGGGGACATGAGCGATGAGAAGAACTGCCGTAAGTTAACATTGAAATCTGTTCTTTACATCTTTATTTTGCCCTGAAATATTGATGGTAGCACTAACACATCACTCTGCTGAATATTTAAGACTGATGTTATCATTATTTCAGTTAATTACATTGTCCCAAAGTGGCTTTAATTTTGTACATTGCACCCAAAAAGATGACTTGCTTTTTAAAATTCGAGATTGTGCATGGAGACTATTTTTATAGGACACCAGTGCCATCTATGCACTGTTTTATATTTTTGTATGGCATTATTTTCTAATTTTTGTTTCATTCCCATAAACTCATTTCTCTCCATGAACTTTCAATATTTGGATATCATTTCGCTCTTGATATATTTTTGACACTTTCAATTCATTGTTTTTATTATTCCATATCTTTACCGGGTTGTTGTTTACCACAGTGGTTCAATATCCACATAATAATAATAATAATAATAATAATAATAATAATAATAATAATAATAATAATAATAGAAAAATGTTACAGAGAATGAACACGTCAAGCTACTCTGGGACTTCCGATTTCAGACACACAGAGTTTTGGAGTACAATACTCCTGACCTCACAATCGTGTAAAAAACAAAGTATGGATCGTCGATGTCGCAATCCCAGGTGACAGCAGGATTGAAGAGAAACAACTGGAAAAGCTGACACGATATGAGGATTTAAAGATTGAACAGCAAAGACTCTGGCACAAACCAGTCAAGGTGATCCCAGTGGTGATTGGCACACTGGGTGCAGTGCCTAAAGATCCTGGCTTGCACTTAAACACAATCAGGGCTGACAAAATCACCATCTGCCATCTGCAGAAGGTCACCCTACTGGGATCTTCATGCATTATTTGCCGATACATCGCACAGTCCTAGACACTTGGGAAGTGTCCGATGTTTGATCCAATGCAACAGACAGCAGAGTGATCTTGTTTGCTGTGGACACATCTTGTTGTGTTTCTAATAATAATAATAATAATGAACAAACTATGGATCATCAATGTTGCAATCCCAGGTGACAGCAGGATTGAAGAGAAACTACTAGAAAAGCTGACATGATATGAGGATTTAAAAATCGAACTGCAAAGACTCTGGCACAAGCCAGTCAAGGTGGTCCCAGTGGTGATCAGTACACTGGGTGCAGCGCCGAAAGACTTTGGCCTGCACTTAAACACAATCGACTCTGACAAAATTGCCATCTGCCAGCCTCAAAAGGCCACCTTACTGGGATCTGCACGCATTATTCACCAATACATCACACAGTCCTAGACACTTGAGAAGTGTCCGATGTGTGATCCGATACAACAGCCAGCAGACTGTCTGCTTTGGACTCATCTTGTTGTGTTTCAAATAATAATAATAATAATAATAATAATAATAATAATAATGATAATAATAATTTATTTATTTTATCAGTCATATGACCATTTCAAAGTATAACATGAATAAAAGACAAAGCAAAAAGGAGAGGACAGCAGTATCCACATAATAATCCACTTATGGGTCAAATACCCACCTAACCCACTAGTTGGTAAGGTTACTTTTTTGGAGTGTAATTCCCACAATCCCTCCACTGCTATGTCATACTGGCTCAGCATTTCCGGGAGCTTCGGCCCTGGAAAGGGGCCTTCTACACACTTTAATGCAATGCATAACCAAGATGGGTCAAACTGATATAACACACACTGATATACTGCATGTCTTTTCCATCCTGGTGTCCTCCTGGTCTTTTGGACTGTGGCTCCCATAAACTACAGATGACATTGTCAATGGGCAAGTATAGTAGAAAATGTAGTCTAAAAACATCTAGAGGTTGTCAAGTTTGCAAGGAGTAGTAAAAGAGAGGCCTTTCCTTTCCTTATCTGTCTGTATGTCTGTCTCTTTCTTTCCTTCTGAATTCTCGAGGTCTTATTCCGACATTTTTGAGGATTCCTCCATGAAAATCTTCTCATTGCCCTGCAGGACAAGGGAGTCTATGGGTTAATTTAAATGCAGGTGTCACGTGAGTTCTTTGTGGCTTTAGAATCCTTCCTTTCCTTCCCTTCCAACAGCAACAACCATGTGTGATGCTGACACTCAGTTCCGTTGCCACGAGTCGGGGACTTGTGTCCCGTTGTCTTACAAGTGTGACTTGGAGGATGACTGCGGGGACAACAGTGATGAGAGCCACTGTGGTGAGTGTGGTGGCACCAAGGACATTGATGTCCGATTACATGTATTGCTTGCGTTTGAATTCCTGCACACTTTCCCCTGGGCGTCTTGCTATTTGGCCTTTTGTTTTCAGAGGCGCACCAGTGCCGAAGCGATGAGTTCAGCTGCAACTCAGGGATGTGTGTTCGCCTTTCCTGGAAGTGCGATGGCGATAATGATTGCAGGGATTGGTCAGATGAAGCCAACTGCACAGGTGAGCATGTTCTTTTTACGCAAGAGGAGCTCAGTAAACTCATGCCATTGTGATGGTTTGAACTGTGGGTTTAAATCCCGGCTCAGACATGGAAACTCTCTAGTCAGTCTTGGAAGAAGGAAATGGAGGAGCCACCTCTTGGCAGCAAATCCCAGGATAAGGTTGATAAAAGTTGGAGTTGACTTGAAGGCAGAAAAACACTTTTTTATCATGTTTAGCAGGTCACTTCTAGTATGAGAGAATTGGCATTGCCCAGGGGATGCCCGGATGTGTTACCATCCTGCTGGGAGTCTTCTCCCATGTCCTCACAAGCTAGAGCTGACAGACAAGAGCTCACCCTGTCTCGCAGATTCGAACCGGTAACCTTCAGGTCAGCAACCCAACTTTCAGGTCAGCAGTTCAGCTGGCACAAAATTGGAACTCTCCGCCCCGGAGTGTGGTGGAGGCTCCTTCTTTGGAAGCTTTTAAACAGAGGCTGGATGGCCATCTGTCAGGGGTGCTTTGAATGCAATATTCCTGCTTCTTGGCAGGGGGTTGGACTGGATGGCCCATGAGGTCTCTTCCAACTCTTTGATTCTATGATTCTATGATTCACCCATTCCGCCACCGTGGCTCCTTTAGAAAGACGCTGAAGACCTTGTAAAACTACAACTCCCAGGATCCTATAGCATTGAGCCCTGGCAGTTAAAGCTGTGCCAAACTGCATCCATTCAACAGTGTATATTATCCAGTCCAAAACAACCTGGAAGACCATATATTTGTGTTTTCCTACATTGGACTCCAACTCCCAGAAGCCTCAGCTGCCTTGGCCAAGCATCAGGGATTCTGGGAGATGAAGTCCAACATGCCTAGAAGATTATTTTGGGAAACTCATGATGCCAGATGATTCCAGAAAAACACTAGGATAAGGCTATAAATGTTGGAGTTGAATCGAAGGCAGAAAAACACTACTTTTTTATCATGTCAGAAGTGATTTGAGGCAAGTCGCTTCTAGTATGAGAGAATTGGCCATCTACAGAGAAGTTGCCCAGGGGACGCCCAGATGTGTTACCATCCTGCTGGGAGGCTTCTTTCATGTCCCCGCAAGCTAGAGCTGACAGACGGGAACTCACCCTGTCTTGCAAATTCGAATCAGTAACCTTCAGGTCAGCAACCCAACTTTCAGGTCAGCAGTTCAGCCGGCACAAAAGTTTCACCCATTGCGCCACCGTGGCTCCTGGAGAAAAAGGCTGAAGAACTTGTAAAACTACAACTCCCAAGATCCCATAGCATTAAGCCCTTGCAGTTAAAGCTGTGCCAAACTGCATTCATTCTATAGTATATATTATCCAGTCCTAAGCAACCTGGAAGACCATATATTTGGAAACATTATATCAGTGTTTTCATATTTTGGACTCCAGAAGCCTCCTCTGCCTTGGCCAAGGATCAGGGATTCTGGGAGATGAAGTCCAACATACCTAGAAGACTAGTTTGGGAAACTTGGGCTGCTAGATGATTCCAGAAAAACACCAGGATATGGTTATAAAAGTTGGAGTTGAATTGAAGGCACACAACAGTAGAATTTGGGTAGACTGATTTGCTTTATTTCTAATGTGAGTTTTTGAGAGCTGATGATTATACGATAGGAGTCTCCTCTGGAAAGCCTCTGAAAAGGTTTCCTTTTGTTCTGAAATAGAATTCAATCAAGTGATCTGAGGATACCAATTATTTCAGAAACTGTTCACCTGGCAGCTCTGCAGACGGAATGCGTGCCTCTTATCGAAAATAATTACATTTCACAGTGAATACTTAATAGAATATTATGGCTGGGAAAATATAGCGGCTTAGAATACCAAGAAGCATGTCATGTTGGCAATAAGCAGCATGCAGTTTGGGTGAATTGAACGTGTATTGCTTGATATTATTATTGAAGTAATAATAAAATAAAGATTCCTCAAAATGAGAGATACATAACCTGATTTGACATTCAAGGCAAGTGATTTTTTGCACCTGAGACAGGTAGACTTCAGCCTTATAGAATCATATAATCATAGAGTTGGAGGAGACCTCATGGGCCATCAAGTCCAACCCCCTACCAAGAAGCAGGAAAATTGCATTGAAAGCACACCCGACAGATGGCCATCTAGCCTTTGTTTAAAAGCCTCCAAAGAAGGAGCCTCCACCACATTCTGGAGCAGATAGTTCCACTGTTGAACAGCTCTTACGGTCAGGAAGTTCTTTCTAATGTTCAGGTGGAATCTCCTTTCTTGTAGTTTGAAGCCATTGTTCCATAGCATCCTAGTCTCCGGGGCAGCAGAAAACAAGCTTGCTCCCCCCTCCCTATGAGTTCCCCTTATGTATTTATACATGGCTATCATTTCTCCTCTCAGCCTTCTCTTCTTCAGGCTAAACATGTCCAGCTCTTTAAGCTGCTCCCCATAGGGCTTGTTCTCCAGACCCTTGATCATTTTAGTCACCCTCCTCTGGACACATTCCAGCTTAGAGTAACATCTCCCTTCAACAGCAGTGCCCAGAACTGGACACAGTATTCCAGGTGTGGTTTGACCAAAGTGGAATAGAAGTGTAGCATGATTTTCCTGGATCTAGACACTATGTTCCTATTGATGCAGGCCAAAATTCCATTGGCTTTTTTTTGCCACCGCATCACGTTGTTGACTCATGTTTAACTTGTTGTCCACAAGGACTCCAAGATCTTTTCCACACGTCCTACTGTCGAGCCAGGCATCGTCCCCCATTCTGTATCTTTGCATTTCATTTTTTCTGCCTAAGTGATTCTCTTGCATTTGTCCCTGTTTAACTTCATTTTGTTCAGATGGAATCTCCTCTCTTGTAGTTTGAAGCCATTGTTTCCTTGCGTCCTAGTCTCCAGGGAAGCAGAAAACAAGCTTGCTCCCTCCTCCCTGTGGCTTCCTCTCACATATTGATACATGGCTATCATGTCTCCTCTCAGCCTTCTCTTCTTCAGGCTAAACATGCCCAGCTCTTTAAGCCGCTCCCCATAGGGCTTGTTCTCCAGACCTTTGATCATTTTCGTCACCCTCCTCTGGACACATTCCCGCCTTTCTCTTCTGAATTCTCCAATGGCAATATGGAATCCTTAAAATACTGTAACCCATTTTCTTCACCTCTACAAAGAAGGGAAAAGTGTTTCTGAGAACATGGGTTCAGATTCACTTCCTAGTAGTTGTTCCTTCTGATTTATGGTAGCCCTAGGTCATTGGTTCCCAGCAAGTGGTCCATGGATCACCAGCAGTCCCCAAGACCAAAACAATGATCCCTGAAACATTTTTTAAACCTGTAGTGAGTGGCTCCCAACCTGTGGTCCATGGACCACCAATGGTCCACAGACCTGAAATATGGTCCGTTGCCTCACAGTTACTACACCATTGCAATAAGAGCTATTGGTTTCACAAAACCCTCTTAGAGTGCCAAGGCAACAGGGATATGTCATAAGGGGAGAAGCTGACTACCTACAAAAGGCACAATAGCAAGCCTCCTGACTGCTGCTTCTCCTCCTTCTTCCCCCTGTCTGGAGCCATTCCATGAGGCACCTGGAAGTGGGGCTGCCTTGGTGACTTCGTTATTTGGGGTGCTGTTTCAGAAAATTGCATTGGAGAGACCACATCAACTTTAGATTATTAAATATGGTTTTCTGTAGGCGAGCAGATGGCGACTACTGGATGGCATATGTTCTGTATCAGAAACTAGAGCTGATGTGGTCCATCCAATGCATTTTTCTGAATCAGCACCCCAAATAACCAAACTTAATCTAAACTGATTCATAACCCTTTTGGTACTGATGTTGGAGAGTGATCCCTGGTCAAGTGGTCACTGATCAAAAAAAAGGTTGGGAACCACTACTATAGGTGAAGCTATCACTGGGTTTTCTTGGCAGGATTTGCTGAGAAGAGCTTTGGCTTTGCCTTCGTCTGAGGCTGAGATAGTGTGACTTGCCCAAGATCACCGACTGAGTTTCTGTGAATATTATTATTATTATTATTATTATTATTAAAAACATTTATACCCCATCCTTCTCGACCTCCTGCCTAGCTTCCAAATAGGCAACAATTTAATGCCAAACATAATATGAAACACGTAATAAATACATCCATACAAAATAATTATAAATATATGTTAAAACCAGCTTGCCAGAAAAAAATAGCCAGAATTAAAATCGTCGTCCAAATCACTCCAAGTACAGTCCAATAAAATCTGGTCTTTCCCAGTAAAACGAACTATTTTGTGAACGCTTGATCCCATAACCAGGATTTAAGTTTCTTCCAGAAAGGTCAGGAGGGAGGGGCAGATCTAACCTAATTGGGGAGGGAGTTCCACAGCCGAGGGCGCCACCACAGAGAAGGCCCTGTCTCTCATCCCCACCAAACATGACTGCGATGGCAGTGGGACCGAGAGCAGAGCCTCCCCGGATGATCTTAAGGTCCTAGATGGTTCATAGAGGGAAATACGTTCGGGCAGGTAAACTTTGAATTAGAAGACTTGAACCCTGGATCCTCATAGTCCTAGCAGTCCAAACTCAAATCATTGCACAATCTTGGCTCATAAGACTACCTGTAAATAGGACTCCCTTAAAAGTGTGCTAGTAATATTGTTTGATACCACTCTGGCTCATTTCCTTATCCCTGCTTTAATCTTTGAGGTCTTCAATCTACCCAGTATGTTAAGCAAGGAATCCTTGCTTTCACTTCATTGGAAACAAGGATGTTTCCCCAAAGCTGATCTCTCATTTCTTGACTCTTCATCCAATCAATGGGTTGTTGTAGGTTTTTCGGGCTATATGGCTATGTTCTAGAAGCATTCTCTCCTGACATTTCGCTTGCATCTATAGCAAGCATCCTCAGAGGTTGTGAGGTGATGCAGGTGAAACGTCAGGAGAGAATGCTTCTAGAACATATCCATATAGCCTGAAAAACCTACAACAACCCAGTGATTCCAGACATGAAAGCCTTCAACAATACATTGTCCTACTACTTCCTGTCTGTGGATGCTTCTCCATCTGCCTTTTGGTCCCCTCTTCAGCAATCCTTCTCTCTGCTTCCTTTTAGCAGTATACCACACCTGTGAAACCTCCAGTTTCCAGTGTCACAATGGGCACTGCATCCCCCAGAGATGGGCATGTGATGGAGACGCTGACTGCCAGGATGGATCAGATGAGGATCCCACCAACTGTGGTATGGAAGCAAAGGGCCAAAGAATATTAATGTATCTCTAATGGGAGTGTGTTGAGCATGTTGACCTCCTCGTTCTGTGTTTTCATCATTATTTACATATCTGTTCTCATTGACTTGAATTCTAGAGACAAAGTGCAATGGCTTCCAGTGCCCAAATGGTACATGCATCCCTTCCAGCAAGCGATGTAATGGTGCCCATGACTGTTCTGATGGCTCTGATGAACAGCATTGTGGTAAGTACACCTGTGGGATGTTGCATAGGAGTGACGAGAATGTGAAATGGAGAGATTGATGTCTTTCAGCAGAGTTTCTCTACTGTGCTCTTTCAGATGTTTTGGACTTCAGCTCCCACAATTCCTAACAGCTGGTAAACTGGCTGGGATTTCTGGGAGCTGAAGTCCAAAACACCTGGAGGAGCAGAGTTTGAGAAACACTGCTCTACCAACCTGTGGGTCCCCAGGTGTTTTGGCCTACAACTCCCAGAAATCCTAGACAGTTTACCAGCTGTTAGGATTTCTGGGAGTTGAAGGCCAAAACATCTGGGGACCCACAGGCTGAGAACCACTGCCTTATAGGGATGTTATTCCAGATTTCCACTGGCTTGTTTTAATGTATCCATCCACAGCAGTGCTATTTGAAGTCCATAAACTCGTGGCAATGTAGGGCCATCGGCTACTAGTCCACAGGAAATCTCCAGAAAAAAGAAAACCACACTATAGACAGTGGGTACAAATATGGTCTCCATCTCTGGCACAATAGGGAAAAAACATAGACAGCCCGTCACGTTGGCAGACCTTTTACAGCAAATAATTATAGCATTATTATTACAGATTGCTTATTGTACCATCCTGTGAAATCCTAGGATTTAGATCTCTCAGCTGGATCGCTCTGGTGCAGTTTCTCAGCCTGGGGGGGTCGGGACTCCTGGGAGGGTCATGAGGGAGGTTTCATAGGAGTCACTAAAGACCATCAGAAACATATTTCTGGTGGTCTTAGGAACCTCTTTGGCAGAGAAGGCTGAAGATCTCTCCGCCTGTCCTTCTCTTCCTTTTTGGAAACAGATGGAAAATCATCCCACCAGAAGTTCTCCTCCTGATCTCTGGATTAAGGCAGACTAACACTCCAAAACTCAAAGTCAATGCCCACCAAACCCATCCTGTATTTTCTGTTGGTCATGGGAGTTCTGTGTGCCAAAACTGGTCCATCATTGGTGCAGTTCAGAATGCTCTTTGGTTGTAGGTAGACTATAAATCCCATCAATTCCAACTCTCAAATGTCAAGGTCTATTTTTGCCAAACTCTACTAGTGTTCACATTTGATCATACTGAGTATTTGTGCCAAGTTTGGTCCAGACCCATCATTTTTTGAATCTGTTGTGCTCTCTGGATGTAGGCGTGTGCCAAATTTGGTCCAGTGAATGAAAATACATCCTGAATACCAGATATTGACATTATGATTCCTAACAGTAGCAAAATTATAGTTATGAAGTAGCAACGAAAAGAATGTTATGTTTGGGGGTCACCACAACTTGAAGAACTGCATTAAGGGGTCACGGCATTAGGAAAGTTGAGAAACAGTGCTCTAGTACATTCCCAAACTATAATGGGAAAGAGCCACAGGGAAGTGCCAATGTGTGGATTAAAAATATGTGCATCTCTTTCTGTCTCTTGTGTGTAATATATATATATATATATATATATATATATATATATATATACACACACACACACACACACACACACACACACACACGCGCGCGCGCGCGCGCACATTTATACAATAATAAACAGAAGAAGAAGAATTTAAACCAGAAGAGACACTGTGGTGATGGATTCACCATGAATGGGGGTCTCCTCTTTTAATAGTAGTAATAATAATAATAATAATAATAATAATAATTATTATTATTATTATTATTATTATTATAAGAATAAATTATTTATACCCTGCTCCATCTCTCCCAGGGGGACTCGGTGTGGCTTACATGAGGCCACGCCCATCAGTACAGTACACACAATATAACACAAAAGCATAACACAACCAGAAAATAATAATAATAATAATAATAATAATAATAATAATAATAATAAATTATTATACCCCGCTCCATCTCTCCCAGGGGGACTTGGTGTGGCTTACATGAGGCCACGCCCATCAGTACAGTACACACAATATAACACAAAAGCATAACACAACCAGAAAATAATAATAATAAATAATAATAATAATAATAATAATAATAATAAATTATTTATCCCCCGCTCCATCTTCCCCAGGGGGACTAGGTGTGGCTTATATGAGACCACGCCCATCAGTACAGTACACACAATATAACACAAAAGCATAACACAACCAGAAAATAAAATACATAAAATGCAAAACCAATATAATAAGCGACACAACAATATAAAATCAAACATTAAATCACAAAAGATTTCACTGGGCAGGGCCAAATTTAAAGATAAAATTTTCAAACACTGGGAGATAAGGCAATGTAAATTATCAGGGAAGGGGATCCGGGGATGAGGAAGGATTTAGTTGCACAAACCATAAAATAAAGTGCTTCTGAGGTCATTTTGTGCAAAGTTTGGTCAGGGAGTATCTTACATTCAATCATTGAAGGCACATTGGAACCTGCACTTTTCCAACCATCTTTATCCTCCCCTTTTCCATTCACTGTTCCATAGAGCCCCTCTGTACCCGCTACATGGATTTCGTGTGTAAGAACCGGCAACAGTGTTTGCTGCGGTCCATGGTGTGTGATGGCACTGTGCATTGTCGAGATGGCTCAGACGAAGACCCTTCCTACGCCGGGTGCTGTAAGCATAGCGGCCGAGAGCATCTTCCTGAAAACGTGATTCCCTCAAGCAGGGCAGGGATGAGGTAGAGGGGAGGTTAGCAGTCGGCCACAACAGCACATCTTGCTGCCGATTGTCTGGCTCTTTTGCCCCTTTATGCTTCCTTACGTTCTAATCCCACCTAGATAAGTCTGAGTCAGGTATTCTGGGCAAGGTTTAATCAGTGATGACTCCTATATAAGTGGGTGGTGAGTCTTCAGTGAATTTCAGTCTGAATCTTGTAGGAGCTGTCCAAGGTGCTGAAATGGAGATCATCCTTTTAGATAGCTCCCGAGCTTGGATTATGTTCCAAAACCCCCAAATGAATCTACTCCATGCACTCTCTCTCAATTGTAGCTCAAGACCCTGAGTTCCACCACACCTGCGACCAGTTTAGCTTCCAGTGTCAAAACGGCGTGTGCATCAGTTTGGTGTGGAAATGTGATGGCATGGATGACTGCGGGGACTACTCGGATGAGGCAAACTGTGGTGAGTCAGAAGGAGAAAGGACTGTACTGGTTTGACTATGATGGGAATTGTCATCCAGCACATCTGGTGGGTCTTCACTTGGGGATGTACCATATGTTCCCATCACTGAAGCTTTTCCTCAAAGATGTGAGATGGAAAGTTTTCTGCAGATTAAAAAAGTTCCATGCTTGGTGTATCTTGGGGTCATAAACTGGAAAAGATTTGAAGGCACACAACACTAAGTGACTCATAATAATAATGTTTTCCTTTGGATAGAGAACCCAACCGAGGCTCCAAACTGCTCTCGATACTACCAGTTCCAGTGTGACAATGGACATTGCATCCCCAACCGGTGGAAATGCGATGAAGAGAATGACTGTGGCGACTGGTCAGACGAGAAGGTGTGTGGAGGTAAGAGCTGAGAATATGGGGATAGTTTTCCCAAATAGTGGGATAACTTGGGAAAATACAGCAGGAGAGAGTGTGTAGGAACCCTCCTTAGTGTCACCTGTCCACTGGATTTTCTGGACTTTGAAATGTGATTGATGTGTTTTTTCATAATCCCTACACACACACACACACACACACACACACACAATTGATTGTTTTACCTCACAGAAGGTTTCTCAGGGGAATTTATTTATATATTTTATTTATGTATGGCATTTATATGCCGCCCTTCTCACGCCAAAGGGAACTCAGAGCGGCTTACAAGATATATATACATACAATATATTATATTATTAGCATAGTACAATATAATAATAAAATAATAATAAACTTTATTTATAGCCCGCCACCATCTCCCTAATGGGGATTCGGAGTATTATATATTACTATATTGTACTATACCATTATATTGTAATTTTTCAGGGTTTTTTTAAACTACTCATAATAATAAAACTTTATATATATCCTGCCACCATCTCCCCAAAGGGACTCGGGACAGCTTACAAAGCACATATAACATACAACTTATCCTGTATAATTTCTGCTATGTAAATCGCCTGGAGCATCTTGGATGGAGGGCGATTAATAATTAATTAAAGATGATGATGAGATGAACTTTGTACTCATCTATTTAAGTGTCACCTCTGTTTTTTGAAAACGACTGTCATGGACTGAAATGGCCCAGAAATGGGGCCCTTGTACTCCCTGGGGAGACTGTTATATTAAAAGTAGTAACAATAATAATAATGTTGTTTGCTGTGTACTAATCTTGTTGTGTTTATAATAATAATAATAATAATAATAATAATAATAATAATAATAATAATAATAAGTAGGATCACAAGCCTGAAAAAGTTACAAAAAATGAACATGTCAAGCTACTATAGGACTTCCGAATTCAGACAGACAGAGTTTTGGAGCGCAAGACTCCTGACCTCACAATTGTGTCAAAAAACGAAGTATAGATCATTGATGTTGCAATCCCAGGTGACAGCAGGATTGAAGAGAAACAACTGGAAAAGATGACACGATATGAGGATTTAAAGATCGAACTGCAAAGACTCTGGCACAAACCAGTAAAGGTGGTCCCAGTGGCACACTGCGTGCAGTGCCTAAAGACCTTGGCCTGCACTTAAACACAATCAGTGCTGACAAAATTATGATCTGCCAGTTGCAGAAGGCCACCTTACTGGGATCTGTACACATTATTCGCCAATACATCACACAGTCCTAGACACTTGGGAAGTGTCCGACATGTGATCCAATACAACAGGCAGCAGAGTGTCTGCTGTGGACTCATCTTGTTGTGTTTCAAATAATAATAGTAATAATAACAATTTTTCACAAAACCTGCGAGTGGTGCAAACACAACCCTGGAGACCACATGTAACCCATGGGGCCATACCCTTTCCTATCTCCTCTGTGAGAAATAGATCTGCTCCAAGTCTATTCTGCTGGTCTGAAATCTGATGAAAGTCCTAAACCTGTACATTTGGCCACTAGCATCAATGCTTACAACAACTAGGCAAATTGAGCTCTCTCTGGCTCTGTGCAGGGACAATAAATGGAAACTCTGTATTGGGTTAGATCAGTGATTCCCTTTTTTTTTTTTTTTTGACCAGGGACCACTTTGGTTATTTGGGGTGCTGATTCAGAAAATTGCATTGGATAGACCACACCCATTCTAGTTTATGATACAGAACATATACCATCCAGTAATAGCCATCTGCTCGCCCACAGAAAACCATATTTTATAAGCCTCGGCTCTATAATAGGGTCTTGCGAGACAAGTTGCTCTCTTTGTAACAGTGTAGTAACGGTGAGACTGCGGACCATATTTTAGTTCTTGCAGACCACTGCTGATCCACAGACCACAGCTTGTGAACCACTGGGTTAGATGCAACATACAATCATGTTGGGAGCTGTTCTGTAGTTCTTAATACATCCCTGTCTTGCTGGTCTAATGTTCAGGTTCAGCTCTTGTTCCAGTCACCACGCCAGCCCCAGCCACATGTTCCCCCAACCACTTCCGATGTAATAGCGGCATTTGCATCACAAACAGCTGGGTGTGTGATGGATACCAGGATTGTGCCGATGGCTCCGATGAGGATGCGTGTCCTACCGCTCGTAAGTGTCCTCTGCAAATGTTTGCTTTTATTATATTGTCAGAGAATCTTGCATTCAGTCCCATCCAGAGGACTTATGTGCTGTATAAGGCAGTGGCAGCTGGTGACTTTAATGTCAGTGGGGCTGTGAGGTGCTCTAAATTTTAGACTAAAGTAGCTGTCCCCTACCACGCGTTGCTGTGGCCCACATGGGGGTTCTGTGTGGGAGGTTTGGCCCAATTCTATCTTTGGTGGGGTTCAGAATGCCCTGTGTTTGTAGGTGAACTATAAATCCCAGCAACTACAACTCTCAAATGTCAAGATTCTATTTCCCCCCAAACTCCACCAGTGTTCACATTTGGGCATATGGAGTATTCTTGTAGAGTTTGGTCCAGATCCATCAATATTTGAGTCCACAGTCATCTCTGGATGTAGGTGATCTACAACTCCAAAATCAAAGGACATTGTCCACCAAACCCTTCCAGTATTTTCTGTTGGCCATGGGAGAACTGTGTGCCAAGTTTGGTACAATTCTATCTTTGGTGGAGTTGAGAATGTTCTTTGATTGTAGGTGAACTATAAATCCCAGCAACTACAACTCTCAAATGACAAAATCAAATTTTTTTGAGTGAAGGACATCCATTGGTTTGTTAGGTGTCTTGTGTCCAAATTTGGTGTCAATTCGTCCAGTGGTTTTTGAGTTCTGTTAATCCCACAGACAAACATTACATTTTTATTTATATAGATATGAAAGGTGATATCCAAGGCACTGAACCTCCTTTGGGGATAGGGTTCAGAACCTTCTGGTTAGGCCTTTAAAGTTCAGACTAAAACTAGGAGTGTGTGAAATGGCAGAAATCTGTGCTGTTTTCATTTTGAATTTCAGGTGCACTTCCATTCTGTTTTTGTGAAGATTCAAGGTGATTAGTAGGAGAGCCATTCAAATTCGTAATTCGGCACCTGGAGTTCTGTTTCTGTTTTGGGAAGAACCTTCCCAAAAACTGAATCGGGAAAATGGGGGCACCCAAAATTCGAAACAAAAACAGAACAGATTTCTGCCATTTCATATACCCATAAACCGGGGATTAATATTGTAAATAGTTCTTGCCAAACTCAAGATATTTTAAAGGTCAGGGTGAGACTTGTGTGCTCTTTCTGTAGACTGCAATTCTCAGCACTGCTGACCTGAGTTGCTAAGAGTTGTTGTTGGAGAGCTACACAGTTCTAACCTGATGTTCATTCAGGGGTGTTTTTGTTAACACCTTCAGCAGGTTTACACCTTTAACTGCTTCTTAGAGTCACATAAAGATTATTATTTGCCAAAGAGGAAATTTCTTGAAGGGAGAGAAGTTTGGCAACCATTAAGTTACCTTGCTTGCAACAGAGGCAGAACTCCATTGGAGTAGCCAGGCCAGAGTCTCTCTCTTGTGCCTTTTATTACTAAATCACATTCAGAGGAGAGAGAGAAAAAGGACTCCTTCTGGGTTGTTGTAGGTTTTTTCAGGCTATATGGCCATGTTCTAGAGGCATTTTCTCCTGATGTTTCACCTGCATCTATGGCAAGCATCCTCAGAGGTAGTGAGGCTCACTCACTACCTCTGAGGATGCTTGCCATAGATGCAGGCCAAACGTCAGGAGAGAATGCCTCTAGAACATGGCCATATAGCCCGAAAAAACCTACAACAACCCAGTGATTCTGGCCATGAAAACCTTCGACAATACATAGGACTCCTTCTGTTTTTTAAATAATTCTGTGAATTTCATCAGCTAATCACCTCCCAACAAAGGATTTCCCCAGGCAGTAAGAAGTCACACCTTGAAACTGCTAGGCCATTAAATGCTAATCAAGGTGGCCAATTGAAACACCTACCTCCAAAAAGGAAAGAGTTCTTTCTCCAATCCTGGACTGATATATAAACCCCACTTGCCTAGTTTTCAACAGACCCCACAACCTCTGAGGATGCCTGCCATAGATGCAGGCAAAACATCAGGAGAGAATGCTTCTGGAACATGGCCATACAACCCGAAAAACTTACAACAACCCAATGATTCCGGACATGAAAGCCTTCGACAATACAATTTCATCATCCTTTAACCAGGCCAAGGCTGCCACCTGGTGGTCCTGGAGGCAAGCGAACATAGTTTCCAGATTAGAACCATTGAATAATAAAGTTGGAAGAGACAACATGGGCCATCTAGTCCAACCCCCTGCCATGCAGGAAAAGCACAATCAAAGCACTCCTGACAGATGACCATAAAAGCCAAAGTGTGTATGTAGAACCAATATCCAGCTATGCAGTTCATAAGGATACTGAGAAATGCTCTTTGTTATCCCCCCCCCAGCGGTTGGTGCAACATCCCCATCGGCTGGCTCCCCTGGACGCTGCAGTCGGTTTGAGTTTGAGTGCCCGTCGATGAAGAAATGCATCCCAAACTGGAAGCGCTGTGATGGCTTGAAGGACTGCCAGGACGGCACGGATGAGCTCAACTGCCGTGAGTCCTTGTTGGGATTGGGACAGGAACTGGGGCAGGACATTTGCCAAATACCTTCTGCGTGTTTTTGATGTTGTAGAACTCCTCCTCCCAAAAAAAGTTGCTGTGCTTTTAAGAGAAATTAAGCTAAATTATATATGGGAGTCATTTAGGGTAAGTGGTTTGAGCATTGGACTATGCCTCCAAAGATCAGAGTTCGATTTTCCTCTTGACATGGGAAGCCCAGTGGGTGACCTTGGGAAGAGAAGGGAATGTATTGTATATAGTAGTGTATACGTCTAGAAAAGATAACCCAAAAAATCAATCAAAAGACCCCTGGGTCAAAGTATCTATGGGTCAATATAAGTGAGTAGAGTGGTGACAAGAGAGAGTTTAGTCTGTCCCGTCTCCTTCTTTTGAGTTTAAATCAATCAATGGAGTTGCCATTTGGTTAGGGAATCAACAGGGACCCAGACAAACAATTATATTCTTTTAATGAGATATATGTATGTAATTTTGTGTGTTGGCTATCTCTTGTGGCTATTGTCTTTGTCATAGTGCTGCTGCCTGTATTAAATTGTCCTGACATTGAATATGGACATGAGATTAACTTCACAATTCAGCAGCAGATCAGTTGCACAACTTCAGCACTTTCCAGTAGCTTCTTCCTGCACAGTATTTTCAGCCTGCAGTCACGCTGGAACCTTTTACAGACACTTGACCACATGCCCAGCCATTGTCAGTTTTACCATTGTCTTTCCCCCAGTTTAGATGATATTACAAACTTACCACAGCATACAGTTATATCTTGTCTTAGCAGACAGGCTCTTTAATTACATATAGTCTTCGACGAACAACATCACAGCACAAGGAGAGATATACACTGTACACGACTTTCTTATATACAATTCTATACAATTACACATAGCAATCTCTGATTGGTTCCCAACCCATTAACTTAACTTAGACCCAGGATTACATCATTCACAATCACCTGGACTAGGCCAGAACACATTCCCCAAATGATTCCCTATATACAGTTAATGCATGACTCTGCATTTCCAATAGAAGCCCATTAGCAGTGCATGACTCATCTATATTACATTACAATACATTGTAAAACCTGACATGGCAACACTATGATGATGAAACACAGGCAAGGAATTTAGGTGGAGGCATATTGGATGCTGCAAAGCTTGACTTAAGTTTGGGCTTTCTGCTTTGAATAGGCATGAACCCATAGGATTGAGCTTCCAAATCAGAACCCCATTTTTAAGAACATGTTAAAAGGAGCTCATCACCAGAAGAGTGTATGCATGCATCCTGTAGCTAGAGGATCTCACGTTCGCCTTCCAGAATGCACAGATTTGTAAAGATTCTCAGTTTGCAGGAAAGGTGAACCTTGAAACGAGGCCCCTGTCGCAACATTACTGTAATGAATGGGCCAATAGTTTGGTTTGCAATGAGAAAGGAACTTAGTATTAGAGTTGTGCATGGAATTCGTTTCTCTTGTTTCCTTCATGTATTTGTTTCTTTGGGAGCACGGAAGAGGTACAAAAATCTGGTCGACACAAAAGTAGACTCCTGGCCTGTTTTTTGGCATCACAGAGTAAGAGGCGCTTGGCTGCAGGCACTGATGGGCAGGTGCTCTGGGTCCACACACCACACACACACTCTTTCCAAGGAGAGAGCGAGTGTGTGTGTATGGCATGCAGGAATGTCCACACCTGCCAGGGCCCACAGCTTAGCGCCTTTTACAGAAGAGTAAGAGGTACTTGGCTGTGGGCACTGGCAGTCGTGGGCACTCCTGCACACCACACATACATGCACCCTCCTTGGAAAGAGTGCTTGTAGTGTTCAGGCTCTGAATGCCTATGCTGATAGTGCCTGCAACCGAGCGCTTCTTACTCTAGAGAAGGAGGAGCTTGACTTCAGGCACTGGTGGGTGCAGGCGGTCCTAGAATCATAGAATCATAGAGTTGGAAGAGACCTCATGGGCCATCCAGTCCAACCCCCTGTGAAGAAGTAGGAATATTGCATTCAAAGCACCCCCGACAGATGGCCATCCAGCCTCTATTTAAAAGCTTCCAAAGAAGGAGCCTCCACCACACTCTGGGGCAGAGAGTTCCACTGCTGAATGGCTCTCAAAGTCAGGAAGTTCTTCCTCATGTTCAGATAGAATCTGCTCTCTTGTAGTTTGAAGCCATTGTTCCACGTCCTAGTCTCCAGGGAAGCAGAAAACAAGCTTGCTCCCTCCTCCCTGTGACTTCCTCTAACATATTTATACATGGCTATCATATCTCCTCTCAGCCTTCTCTTCTTCAGGCTAAATATGCCCAGCTCTTTAAGCTGCTCTTCATAGGGCTTGTTCTTCAGACCCTTGATCATTTTAGTCACCCTCCTCTGGACACATTCCAGCTTAGAGTCAATATCTCTCTTAAATTGTGGTGCCCAGAATTGGACACAATATTCCAGGTGTGGTCTAACCAAGGCGGAATAGAGCATGGGTAGCGTGACTTCCCTAGATCTAGACACTATGCTCCTATTGATGCAAGCCAAAATCCCATTGGCTTTTTTTTGCCGCCACATCACATTGTTGGCTCATGTTTAACTTGTTGTCCACGAAGACCCCTACACACCAAACACACACACCCACTCCTTGGAAAGAGAGTGTGTGTGTGGCTTGCAGGCTAAGAAGTGCCTGCGCCTGCCAGTGCCTGCGGTTCAGTGCCTCCTCTAGAGTAGGAAACAGCAGCAGGTACGAAGCCTCCTTAAAGTACACACCGGGAAGGGAAACCTAGGTGGGAAGCCTCCATTATCCCTCCATAATGGGCTGATAGAAAATGGCTCTTTTGGCACCAAAGAGTGAAAACTGATATCTGCCTTGCTGATTCTGGGAGGCTCTCAAAAAAAATGAATGGGGGCCCGTACCAAAAGCCAGGACACGAAATAGGTCAAGGCTTACCCCGAATGCACAACCCTGCTTAGTATATTCTCTTTGCCTTCCAGCAACTCATAGTACTCTCTTATGCCCAAATGGATTTAAATGTGAAGATGGAGAAACTTGCATCATGATGTCCGAACGGTGCGATGGATTCTTGGATTGTTCGGATAGCAGCGATGAACGTAACTGTACCGGTAAGTCCTGGCATGCCATAGGAAGTGGTTTGTACCTTGTGAAGTCGGATTTGGCCACAGTGGTCCACACCTTAGTTACCTCTAGATTGGACTATTGCAATGTGCTCTATGTGGGGCTGCCCTTGAATTGGTCCAACATCCGGCAGTCAGATTATTGTTGTTGTTGTTGTTGTTGTTGTTGTTGTTGTTGTTATTATTATTATTATTATTAGTCGCGTCAGAAGACTTCTGGTGTGAGAGAATTGGCCGTCTGCAAGGACGTTGCCCAGGGGACGCCCGGATGTTTTTGATGTGGGAGGCTTCTCTCATGTCCCCGCATGAGGAGCTGGAGCTAATAGAGGGAGCTCATCCGTCTCTCCTCGGATTCGAACCTGTGACCTGTCGATCTTCAGTCCTGCTGGCACAGGGGTTTAACCCACTGCGCCACTGGGGGCTCCACAGCCACATTATTAACTGGTGTGTATTACAAAGAGCGGTCAACCCTCCTGTTTAAGGAGCTCCACTGGCTGCCGTTTATTTTCCTGGCCCAATTCAAGGTTCAGGTCTTGACCTACAAAGCCCTGAATGGTTTGGGACCCGCCTACCTGCACAACCTCATTTCCATCTACAAACCCACACGACCTCTTCGATCTTCCGGAGAGGCTCTTCTCTCTCTCCCACCCACATCGCAAGTGTGACTTGTGGGGACGAGAGAGAGGGCCTTCTCTGTGGTGGCCCCCCAGCTCTGGAATTCACTCCCCAGAGATATTAGGCAAGCCCCCATGCTGGCAATCTTCAGGAGGAACCTGAAAACCTGGTTATTACAATGTGTCTTCAATGACTGAATGTAAGATACTCCCTGACCAAACTTTGCATAACATGACCTCAGAAGCACTTTATTTTATGGTTTGTGCAATTAAATCTTTCCTCATCCTTGGACCCCCCTCCCCGATAATTTACATTGTCCTATCTCCCAGTGTTTTAAAATTCTTATGTTTGAATTTGGCCCTGCCCAGTGTAATCTTTTGTGTTTTAATGTTTGATTTTATATTGCTGTGTCACTTATTATATTGGTTTTGCATTTTATGTATTTTATGTTCTGGTTTTGTTATGCTTTTGTGTTATATTGTGTTTACTGTACTGATGGGCGTGGCTCCATGTAAGCCACCTCGAGGTGGGGTAGAAATACAGTTGGGTTCTTGTAGGTTTTTTCGGGCTATAGGGCCATGTTCTAGAGGCATTTTCTCCTGACGTTTCGCCTGCATCTATGGCAAGCATCCTCAGAGGTAGTGAGGTCTGTTGGAAGTAGGAAAATGGGTTTTATATATCTGTGGAATGACCAGGGTGGGACAAAGGACTCTTGTCTGCTGGAGCTAGGTGTGAATGTTTCAACTGACCACCTTAATTAGCATTTGATGGCTTGGCAGTGCCTGGGGGAATCTTTTGTTGAGAGGTGATTAGATGTGCCTGATTGTTTACTCTCTGTTGTTTTCCTGTTGTAATTTTAGAGTTTTTTTAATACTGGTAGCCAGATTTTGTTCATTTTCATGGTTTCCTCCTTTTTGTTGAAATTGTCCACATGCTTGTGGATTTCAATGGCTTCTCTGTGTAGTCTGACATGGTGGTTGTGAGAGTGGTCCAGCATTTCTGTGTTCTCAAATAATATGCTGTGTCCAGGTTGGTTCATCAGGTGCTCTGCTATGGCTGACTTCTCTGGTTGAAGTAGTCTGCAGTGCCTTTCATGTTCCTTGATTCGTGTTTGGGCAACGCTGCTGCGTTTGGTGGTCCCTCTGTAGACTTGTCCACAGCTGCATGGAATATGGTAGACTCCTGCAGACTCCTCTAAAATTACAACAGCAAAACAACAGACAGTAAACAATCAGACACATCTAATCACCTCTCAACAAAAGATTCCCCCAGAAACTACAAAGATTGCTGGGTTAGATACAAGCAAGTGGGAAAGGGAGAAAGGGAGGAAGAAGCACAAAAGTCCAACATTTGGCGATATGGGGACTGTGGCTAAACTCAGAATGGAGAGAGCAACCTTGTTGGGTGTTGCATGACCATTCATGGTGCTTTTTGGAATAAAGATACATCACTGGGCCCTGGTTCCTGTAGTTTCACGTATGCTGACAGCTGAAACCTCTGCTTCTTTGCCTTTGGTGAAACTCTTTGAGGTTTCTTATTTATTTATTTATCTATTTATTTATTATTTACAGTATTTGTATACCACTTTTCTCACCCCGAGAGGGACTCAAAGTAACGGCAAAATTCAATACCAGTACAAACAATTGCATAAGTAATGATAAAATTCAATGCCAGTACAAACAATTACAATTATACACTACAATTAGACATGAGTCAAGTTAAAAACAATACATCCACAAGTAATAAAACAATCATTAAAACAAAACAGTTTCAGCCGTCGAATCGCTGTTCCAGTCATTGTCTTTCTGAAATGCTGCATACATTTGCTTCTACTGCCCGATGTCCTGGTCCCAAAACCATGATTTTAATTTTTTTCTAAAAGCCAGGAGGGAGGGAGCGGATCTTACCTCATTTGGGAGTGTGCTGCATAGACGGGGGGCCACAGACGAGAAGGCCCTGTCTCTCGTCCCCACTAGACACATCTGTGCTGTTGACGGGAGCGAGACCAGGGCCTCCCCGGATGATCTTAGATTACGAGGTGGGATGTAGGGGTGGATGCGTTCAGACAGGTAAGCTGGGCCAGAACCGTATAGAGCTTTATAGGTCTTCAATGGCATACAACAGAATATCCCTCCAAACAAAACAAACCTATACCGTCTTTAAGTCAGCATAGCTGGTGATTGAATTCGGATATTACACATCCATTTTGCCCTCGGAGTACTAAATGGCATTTCGCTCCCTTAGACTGGAGACGAGGGAAACTGCAAAGAGAAACCGAGCAAATCAAGAAGATTGTCAGTAGCCCAGCTTTTTCCAAATTTTTCTTCTCAATGCGCACAGTCAATCGATGCTAGCATCATCTACCTATGTACTGAAGGAGTGGATAGTACTTCTTTCAGATAATCATCTCAAGATGCTTTCTTTCCTCGTTGTTCTCCCTCCCGTCTTGATTTGTGCCAGCTTTGCTGTTCCATCAGCAAAATTCTTGGTTTCCAATTCATTATGGCCGAGATAATGGTCACACTAATAGCAATCGATTGCTGTCTCTTTTCCCCTACCGTGCCTCTCCTCCCCGCTCCCTTGCCTTGAGAGTCAAGCATTTTCTCCTTCAACCACTGAGCATCAATCACATTTTAGCTCTTTAATTAAATATTGATTTGGAGAGACCTCCTGGGCGCTTGCTTACCCACTGGGCCGCGGAGACGAACATCCTGGCTAGAATATTAAGCAGAAGTGCACAGGCCTTTTTGCCTTGTCCTTGCAAACATCAGCGGCCTTGAAGAAATGTGGACACCTTCTCTTGGTGTGTCCAGCGAGTAGTACGTATGGCAGCGTTTCTCAACCCGGGGGTTGGGACCCCTGGAAGGGTTGCGAGAGGTTGTCAGAGGGGTCACCAAAGACCATCAGAACACAGTATTTTCTGTTGGTCATGGGGGTTCTGTGTGGGAAGTTTGGCCCAATTCTATCATTGGTGGGGCTCATAATTATTTTATTTATTTATTTATTAATTATTTTATTTACAACATTTCTACCCTGCCCTTCTCAACCCCCGGGGGGAGACTCAGAGCGGCTAACACTGGCAACAATTCGATGCCGCAAATCACAGTATAACAACAATATAAAACCATAAATGCACAATTAATCAAAGCAATAACATTAGTTAAACAATGGAGCCCTCGGTGGTGCAGTGGATTAAACCCCTGTGCCGGCAGGACTGAAGACCAACAGGTCACAGGTTCAAATCCGGGGAGAGGCAGATGAGCTCCCTCTATCAGCTCCAGCTCCACATGCGGGGACATGAGAGAAGCCTCCCACAAGCATGATAAAACATCAAATCATCTGGGTGTCCCCTGGGCAACGTCCTTGCAGACGGCCAATTCTCTCACACCAGAAGCGACTTGCAGTTTCTCAGGTCACTCCTGACATGACAACAAAAGTTAAGCAATCATAGAGAAGTTTCCATTATTATCACAATCATATGGTCCAGTTCAATGTCCAAAGTGCCGTTATGCCTGCTAGCCAAAGGTCTGGTTCCAAAACCACGATTTCTGTTTTTTCCTAATGGAAAGGAGGGAGGAAGCTGATCTAATCTTGCTGGGGAGTGAGTTCCACAAGCAAGGGGTCACCATCGAGAAGACCCTGTCCCTTGTCCCCATCAAACTCATTTGCTAGGTTGGTGGGACAGAGAGCAGGGCCTCCCCAGTGGATCTTAAACTACAAGGCGGAATGTAGAGGAAGATACATTTGGACAAGTAAGCTGGGCCAGAACCGTTTAGGGCTTTATAGGCCATGACCAGCACTTTGAATTGTACTTGGAAATGGACAGGTAACCAGTGAAGTTGACAAAATGCTCTTTGATTGTAGGTTAGCTATAAATCCCAAATGTCTAGGTCTATTTTCCCCAAACTCCACCAGCGTTCACATTTGGGCATATTGAGTATTCATGCAAAGTTTGGTCCAGATCCATCATTGTTTGAGTCCACAGTGCTCTCTGGATGTAGGTGAACTACAACTCCAAAACTCAAGGTCAATGCCCACCAAACCCTTCCAGTATTTTCTGTTGGTCATGGGAGTTCTGTGTGCCAAGTTTGGTTCAATTCCATCATTGGTGGAGTTCAGAATGCTCTTTGATTGTAGGTGAACTATAAATCCCATTAACTAGAACTCCTAATTGACAAAATTAATCTCCCCCCCCCCCACCCACCAGTATCAAACTGGGCATATTGGGTATTTGTGCCAAATTTGGTCCAGTGAATGAAAATCCATCCTGCATATCAGATATTTACATTACGATTCATAACAGTAGCAAAATTACAGTTATGAAGTAGCAATGAAAATAATGTTATGTTTGGGGGTCACCACAACATGAGGAACTGTATTAAGGGGTCAGGGCATTAGGAAGGTTGAGAACCACTAACCTATGGTTTCTCATTTCCAGTTCCATCCTAAAGAAAACATCTTTGCATTTCTCTCCCTTAGATGATACCCTTGTCTATAAAGTGCAGAACCTCCAGTGGACAGCTGATTTCTCAGGCAACATCTCTTTGACGTGGACTAGGCCCAAAAAGATGCCTCTTGCCTCCTGTGTCTACACTATTCATTACAGGTAACTTGGCCATGTTTGAGGATGCTTGTAAGGTGGGCTGTCATGGAGAGGTCCAAACCACCCTCCAGTTCCGCCACCTTTCTGCCCGATTTCAAAGCCGTGTTGTTGTTCTATGCCTTTGCCCCATTCAGGATGGTTGGAGAAAGCATCTGGAAGTCCTTAGAGACACACAGCAACAAAACCAACAGCATCTTGAAAGTGCTGAAGCCGGACTCCACCTATCAAGTCAAAGTTCAGGTCCAGTGTCTGAGCAAAGTGTACAACACCAATGACTTCATCACCTTGCGGACCCCAGAAGGACGTAAGTCAACCTGGTTGGGTGGTTTATTTATTTATTTATCGTGTCAGGAGCAAACCAAACAGTTGTATTGCATTTTTTAACAAACAGACAAACAAACAAAACACAAAGTTTGCAAGCTTGGTAGTTGATTAAATGTCCTTTGACCAGTAGCTGGCCACTTGGAGTGCCTCTGGTGTTGCCGCAAGAAGGTCCTCCATTGTGCATGTGGCAGGGCTCAGGTTGCATTGCAGCAGGTGGTCTGTGGTTTGCTCTTCTCCACACTCACATGTCGTGGGTTCCACTTTGTAGCCCCATTTCTTCTGGTTGGCTCTGCATCTCGTGGTGCTAGAGCACAGTCTGTTCAGCACCTTCCAAGTCGCCCAGTCTTCTGTGTGCCCAGGGGGGAGTCTCTCATTGGGTATCAGCCATTGATTGAGGTTCTGGGTTTGAGCCTGCCACTGTTGGACTCTCGCTTGCTGGGGTATTCCAGCAAGTGTCTCTGTAGATCTTAGAAAACTATATCTTGATTTAAGTCGATGACGTGCTGGCTGATACCCAAAGAAGGGATGAGCTGGAGATGTCACTGTCTTGGTCCTTTAACTATTGGCTGCTACTTCCCAGCAGATGTCAGGTGGTGCAATACCGGCTAAACAATGTAATTTCTCCAGTGGTGTAGGGTGCAGATGCATAATGCGGCATGTCTCATTAAGAGCCACATCTACTGTTTTAGCGTGGTGAGATGTGTTCCACACTGGGCATGCATACTCAGCAGTAGAGTAGCATAACACAAGGGCAGATGTCTTCACTGCATTTGGTTGTGATCCCCAGGTTGTGCCAGTCAGCTTTCATATGACCTTCCACAGATATATAAATCCAATTTTCCTAGTTTCCAGCAATCTCTGAAGATGCTTGCCACAGATGCAGGCAAAATGTCAGGAGAGAATGCTTCTAGAACATGGCCATATAGCCTGAAAAACCTATAACAGCCCAGTGATTCCAGCCATGAAATCATCACTTCAGCTACCATTGCTTAGTGCTGTGGAATCAGGGGAGTTGTAATATTAGCAGACCTTTAGCCTTCCCAAACTACAAATCCCAGGATTCTGTAATATTGCACCAGGGCAATGAAAGTGGTGCTGCTAGCAGACCATTCTCATGAAAACTAAGCTTTGGAACCATTTTAACTTGACAATTAATTTACAAAGAATCTCCCTTTAGACAAAGCAAACTGGAAGGCAGCTGGAGGAGTGTTTCATAAGGTTTTGCTATGAATCTGGTGAAGGCAGAAGGTGCTATAACACTTGCCAAGCAGGACATGTATAATAATAACCATCTAGTTTATTTTAAAACCATTTTCAAGGAGGTGGCAGCTGTTTTGAATAGCATGGCATGCAACCAGAAATATGGAAAAGCTGCTTTTGGGGAAGACAGTACTAGGGAGTTGGGGAGGGGGGAGTTACCAGCTAAAAAAGTAACTTTTCCAAGCTCTAAGCAAGGAAAGGTGATGTTAGTCAACCTAGTTCTCTTTTACAAAGGGTGGTGACTCTGGACTGTACTGTTGTTCCCTTAGGAGCCACAAATACACAAAGTGGAATCTGGATTATCCTCCTCCTTGTGTTTAATAGTTTTCCCATACTGACCCTTCCATCAAACTCTACCTGTCTTTGGTGCTGTAAGCAAATGTGATGCGTTACTGCTAAAGTTTTCTTCCTTGCCTTCGTTTTTTCCAGTACCAGACCCTCCACGCCATCTTCAGTTGACGTTGAAGAGAGAAGCTGAAGGTGTTGTGGCTTGCCAGTGGGCACCACCAACAAATGCCCATGGCCTGATAAGAGAATATGTTGTAAGTATGACTGGGGATCCTCCTCCTCTTCCTCCTCCTCCTCTTCCGCTTCCTCCTCTTCCTCCTTCTCTTCCTCCTCCATGTTCTTTCAGGTAGAAGTTTTGCACAAAGGTGGACAAAGGCATCGTATCAATTTCTAGTTTTACAAAGCATACAGTACGATCCCTGTATGTCCCTGGATTTTGTGTTGATATATGAATCCATTGATAATAGTGAATTAGTTATTTATTATATTTATTTATCATGTCAGAAACGAGTTTAGGATACAGTTATGATGTATTTAAAAACACAAACAAAATCAAAAACTTGGCATTATACTAAATGTCCTTTGACCAGAAACTGGACACTTGGAGTGCCTTTGGTGTCACTGCAAGCAGGTCTTCCATTGTGCAAGTGGCAAGGCTCAGGCTGCATTGTAGTAAGTGGTCTGTGGTTTGCTCTTTCTCCACAGTTGTATGTTGGAGACTCCACTTTGTAGGTTGGCTCTGCATCTTGTGGTGCTAGAGCACAGCCTGTTCAGTGCCTTCCAGGTCACCCAATCCCAAGGTAAAGCCTACAAATGGTGCAAAGGTGGCTTCCATTTTCAGGTGTCCAGACTGACTTCCATTAACTTAAGCATGGCACTGACCAACATTTCTTAAGATTGCCCCATTTCTTAAGCCCAATTTCTTAAGATTGCTCCATTTCTTAAGCCCCATTTCTTAAGATTGCCCCATTTCTTAAGCCCAATTTCTTAAGATTGCCCCATTTCTTAAGCCCAATTTCTTAAGATTGCCCCATTTCTTAAGCCCCATTTCTTAAGATTGCCCCATTTCTTAAGCCCCATTTCTTAAGATTGGCTCTGCATCTTATGGTGCCAGAGCGCAATCTGTTCAGTGCCAACCAAGGCGCCCAGTCTTCTGTGTGCCCGGAGGAGTCTCTCATCCAGTCTCTGCCACTGAGTAACGTGCTGGGTTTCAGCCTGCCACTTTTGGACTCTTGCTTGCTGATGTGTTCCTGTGAGTTTCTCTATAGATGTTAGGAAGGTGTTTCTTGATTTAAGACGTTGGCATGCTTGCTGATATACAAACAGAGGATGGGCTGGAGTTGTCACTGCCTTGGTCATTTTATGTACATGCGGCCCGCTCATTGTCATTATGTTTGGTTTACTGCTTTTTTTTAATGTTTTGGTATATTGTTTATATCCTTATATGTTTTATACTTTAATGTGTTGTCCTATTGATAATACTTATGTTATTGTTTTATTGTTTTGTTGTTTTTAAATTGCTTGTATTGTTGTATTTTGAGCTTGGCCTCATGTAAGCCGCACCGAGTCCCCTGGGGAGATGGTAGCGGGGTATAAATAAAGTGTTGTTGTTGTTGTTGTTATTATTATTATTATGTTATGTTGTTTATTTTATTGCAATTTGTATCTTATTGTATTGTACTTTGTTGTTTGGGCTTGACCTCATGTAAGCCGCTCTGAGTCCCCGTTGGGGAGATGGTGGCAGGGTATAAATAAAGTTTATTATTATTATTATTATTATTATTGGTCCTTTCATTATTGGCTGCCACTTCCCGGCAGATGTCAGGTGGTGCAATACTGGCTAAACAGTATATAATTTCTCTAGTGGTGTGGGGCATAGGCATCCTGTAATAATGCGGCATGCCTCATTAAGAACCACATCCATTGTTTTGACCTGGGGAGATGTGTTCCACACTGGACATGCATATTCAGCAGCAGAGTAGCAAAGCACAAGGTCAGATGTCTTCACTGTGTCTGGTTGTGATCCCCAGGTTGTGAACTAGTGAAATGAAGGCCTTCTGGACCCAGAATATTCTAGAATTGCACTGGAGGACTAAGAAAATGTTTGCTTGTGTCTCCTTCTAGGTGGAATACAGCAGGACTGGATCCAAGGAATGGTCCTCTGTGAGAGCCCCCAGCAATTACTCAGAAGTGGAGAGGTTGCAGGTCAACTCCTTATATACGTTCAGAGTGAGTATGATTGTCTTTTGCAAGCTGTTTCTAATACATTTCACAGTGCCTCCCCTTCTCCCATCCATAAAGCCATAGAGGAACCATAGGCCCAGTCACACTGTGGATTTATAATGATGTTATTCCACTTTAATTACCATCATATTGTCATCTGGAATCCTGGGATTGGCAGTTTTGGGGGAAGCATTTAGAGCCAGTGTGGTGTCGAGGTTTGAGCACTCGACTATTCCGGAGACCAGTTTTGAGTCTCCGTGCAGCTATAGAAACTCACTGGGTGAGCTTGGATAAATAACACTCTCTCAGCCTCAGAGGAAGGAAAAGGCATCGTACCGTTGAACAAGCCAAGAAAAGCACATGATAGGTTTGTTTAGGAGGCTACCATAGATAGATAGATAGATAGATAGATAGATAGGGTAAAGGTTTTCCCCTGACATTACGTCCAGTCGTGTCCGACTCTGTGGGTTGGTGCTCGTCTCCATTTCTAAGCCAAAGAGCCAACGTTGTCCATAGACACCTCCAAGGTTATGTGGCTGGCATAACTGCAAGGAGTGTCATTACCTTCCCACTGGAGCCTTCCCTCTTTCTCTCCTTCTTTCCTTTCCTTCACTCCCTCTTTCCTTCCTTCCTTTTCTTCTCTTCTTCCTTCCTTCCTTCCTTCCTTCCTTCCTTCCTCCCTCCTTCTTCCTTCTTCCTTCTGCTATCTCTTTTCTTCCTTCTCTCTTTCCTTCTTTCCTTCCCTCCCTCTTTCTCTACATCTTCCCCCCTCCTTCGCTCCCTCTTTCCTTCCTTCTTTCCCTTTTTTCTTTCCTTCTCTCCTTCCTTCTCTAACTTTCCTTCCTTCCCCTTTTTCTTTCCCTCCCTCTCCTTTCTTCCTTCTCTACCTCTTTCCTTCCTTCCTTCTCTCTTTGCTTCCATGCTTCCTTCTCCCTTTCCTTCTTTCTTTCCCTCTTTCTTTCTTTCTTTCTTTCTGTCTGTCTGTCTGTCTGTCTTTCTTTCTTTCTTCTGTCTGGCCTCACTCCCTCCTTTCTTCTCTCTTCTTTCTTTCCTTCCTTCCTTCCTTCCTTCCTTCCTTCCTTCTTTCCTTCCTTCTCTTCTTTTTTTCCTTCTCTTCCTGCCCTCTTTCTTTCCTTTTTTATGTATTGTCATTTAGCTTTTCATCATTTAGCTTTTTGGGGCTTTTACAGTCCCTTCTTCTGTGTTTTATGTGTTTCTGTGTTTTATGAGTGAAGGACATACATTGGGTTGCTAGGTGTATTGCGTCCAGATTTGCTGTCAATTCCCCAGTGGTTTTTGAGTTCTGTTAATCCCACAAACAAACATTACATTTTTATTTATATAGATATCTACATCTATATCTATATATATTTTCACTCTTACATATGAGAAGGAAATACAGTCAGCCCTGTGTATCCACAGGTTCTGCATCCATGGATTCAGCCAACCATGGGTCTGAAAATAGACTCCGGCAGTCATTAGAGTTGTTCTCCATTTTATATAAGGGGTGCCATTTTACTACGCCATTATATATAGTGGAACTTGAGCATCCATGTGTTTTATTTATTTATTTATTCAGAGCTTTTGTCTTCTCGACCTCCACAGAGGGACTCAGGCCGGTTCACAGCAACAACATCATAACAATGGTTAAAAACATCACATCACATAATGTACTAAAACATTAAAATACAATCATATCATTACATAAGGCCAAGTCGTCAGCATAAAATCACAATTCATCATCGTCCGTCCGTGCGGTCAGTAGTTATTAATTCACTCATCGAAAGCCAAGTTCCAAAGCCAGGTTTTCACCTGTCTTCTAAAAGTCAGGAGAGAAGGGGCAGTTCTAATATCCAGTGAGAGAGAGTTCCAGAGCCGAGGGGCCACCACCGAGAAGGCCCTGTCCCTCGTCCCCACCAGACGCGCTTGCGAAGATGGTGGGACTGAGAGCAGGGCCCCTCCAGAAGATCTTAACAATCTTGATGGTTCATAGGGGAGAATCCATTTGGACAGGTAAACTGGGCTGGAGTCGTTTAGGGATTTATAGGTCAACACCAGCACTTTGAATTGTGCTTGGAAGCTAATTGGCAGCCAGTGGAGCTGGCGCAACAGAGGAGTAGTATCTCCCTGTACCCCGCTCCTGTTAGTAATCTGGCTGCCGCTTGTTGTACTAATTGGAGCTTTCGAGCAGTCTTCAAAGGCAACCCCACGTAGAGAGCGTTGCAGTAGTCTAAACGGGATGTAACCAGAGCATGGACCACCGTGGCCAAGTCAGACTTTTGGTATTGACAGCAGATGCAGCATATTGTATACAAATATTTTGGGTACGGTGCCTACCCAAACTATTTCGCCACCTTTCTTCATTCTGGGCTCCTGACAGTGGTAATTTTGCAGCCCTCTGACCAGTTTTGGGATCAGACATGTCTTTGAAGCCGAAGCATCTCCGGGAGCCTTGTCCCTGGGTTTCCTTGTGAATCCAAGGCTCTGCCTCTGATCTGACATGGCTTCCCTGCAGAGTGACACTACATCTCACCCCGAGCTCTCTTTCCCTGTCAGCTTTGGAAATCTGCTCGGTTATCATTATTTTGTTTTTAAAAAGCAGCTTTTGCCAGCATGCCTTCTTGCATATTAATGAGCCTTTTGATTTGAAAAGGTTGCTGCGGTAACTAGCCGTGGAGTGGGAAACTGGAGCGATTCCAAATCCATACGGACCATAAAAGGAAAAGGTAAAGCAACATCCAGTAATGGAGGCTTTTCAAACCATTTTCCCTACTTGTTTTGTTTCGTTGCACCTGATGGCAGCAGAAGGGGAGCCGAGCTGTAAACCCATACATAAATCTCCGCTTTAATAATAGTCTTGCTTTCTTCTCACATGGTGTTTTTTTAATATTAATCTATTCCTTGGCAGCCTTGGGAGGTTCATTATGTTCTGCTTACTCTCTTCCCTTGGCTGTTCCCTGCAACAATTACAAAGCCAATTGGAGCTGGCTGAAGGCCTGGGCTTACTGTAAATATTAATCATTTGCTACATTAAGCAGCGAGGCTTTCATTCCCCAAACTGGTACCTCGTGATCTCTGTTCCAGACATCAACAATTTCTCAAGCGATAGAAGAGACTGCATGCATCCCTTGCACTATACTTCTCTTGCTTCTTCCCCAAAAAAGACTTTTCAAAATGGGCTTTTGCATTAGCTATACCATTGGTCTGAGTATTTTGTTAATAATAAAATAATAATAATAATAATAATAATAATAATAATAATAATGCAGTCAGTATTGCAGTGAGTATAGCGTACCTGGATTTCAGTAAGGCCTTCGACAAGGTCCCCCATGACCTTCTGGCAAGGAAACTAGTCCAATGTGGGCTAGGCAAAACTACGGTGAGGTGGATCTGTAATTGGTTTATTAAGTCTTTATTAATGACTTAGATGAAGGGCTAGAAGGCATGATCATCAAGTTTGCAGACGACACCAAATTGGGAGGGATAGCCAATACTCCAGAGGACAGGAGCAGAATTCAAAACGATCTTGACAGATTAGAGAGATGGGCCAAAACTAACAAAAGAAGTTCAACAGTGACAAATGCAAGATACTCCACTTTGGCAGAAAAAATGAAATGCAAAGATACAGAATGGGTGACGCCTGGCTCGAGAGCAGTACGTGTGAAAAAGATCTTGGAGTCCTCGTGGACGACAAGTTAAACATGAGCCAACAATGTGATGTGGCGGCAAAAAAAGCCAATGGGATTTTGGCCTGCATCAATAGGAGCATAGTGTCTAGATCTAGGGAAGTAATTCTACCCCTCTATTCTGCTTTGGTTAGACCACACCTGGAATATTGTGTCCAATTCTGGGCACCACAATTCAAGAGAGATATTGACAAGCTGGAATGTGTCCAGAGGAGGGCGACTAAAATGATCAAGGGTCTGGAGAACAAGCCCTATGAGGAGCGGCTTAAGGAGCTGGGCATGTTTATCCTGAAGAAGAGAAGGCTGAGAGGAGATATGATAGCCATGTATAAATATGTGAGAGGAAGCCACAGGGAGGAGGGAGCAAGCTTGTTTTCTGCTTCCTTGGAGACTAGTACGCGGAACAATGGCTTCAAACTACAAGAGAGGAGATTCCATCTGAACATTAGGAAGAACTTCCTGACTGTGAGAGCCGTTCAGCAGTGGAACTCTCTGCCCCGAGTGTGGTGGAGGCTCCTTCTTTGGAAGCTTTTAAGCAGAGGCTGGATGGCCATTTGTCAGGGGTGATTTGAATGCAATATTCCTGCTTCTTGGCAGAATGGGGTTGGACTGGATGGCCCATGAGGTCTCTTCCAACTCTTTGATTCTATGATTCTATGACTTTATCACACGATGCTGCTATTCTTTTTGCTGCTGATTTAGGCCAATAGACTATGATTATCTCTCAGAACTGATGTATCATAGAATCATTGAATCATAGAATCATGGAAGAGACCTCATGGGCCATCCAGTCCAACCCCCTGTCAAGAAGTAGGAATATTGCATTCAAATCACCCCTGAGAGATGGCCATCTAGCCCCTGGACACAATATTCCAGGTGTGGGCTAACCAAAGTGGAATAGAGGGGTAGCATGACTTCCCTAGATCTAGACACTATGCTCCTATTGATGCAGGCCAAAATCCCATTGGCTTTTTTTGCCGCCACATCACATTGTTGGCTCATGTTTAACTTGTTGTCCACGAGGACTCCAAGATCTTTTTCACACGTACTGCTCTCGAGCCAGGTGTCCCCCATTTTGTATCTTTGCATTTCGTTTTTCCTGCCAAAGTGGAGTATCTTGCATTTGTCACTGTTGAACTTCATTTTGTTAGTTTTGGCCCATCTCTCTAATCTGTCAAGATCGTTTTGAATTCTGCTCCTGTCCTCTGGAGTACTGGCTATCCCTCCCAATTTGGTGTCGTAAGCTTACGATACCCAATTTGGTATCGTAAGCTTAATAATTGTTTTGAATGCAATGATGCAATGTACTTGCAGGTGCAGGTCAGAATTTAGTACTTCAAGACCAGTGTGTATTGATGTGTTTGGTTTGCAAAATAAATGGACAAGACCAAGGGAATAATAATAACAATAATAATAATAATAATAATAATGATAATGATCTCAGCCAGCATTTGGAAACAATAAACATTGACAAAATCACAATCTGGTGACAGTCGCATTGAGGAAAAGCAACAGGAAAAACTCAGCCGCTATCAAGACCTCAAAATCGAACTGCAAAGGCTCTCGTATAAACCAGTACAGGTGGTCTCAGTGGTCACTGGAGCACTGGGTGCCGTGCCAAAAGATCTCAGTCCTAGACGCTTGGGAAGTGTTCGACTTGTGATTTTGTGATACGAAATCCAGCATATAGATCTCATTTTCTGTGACATACTGTGCTTTTGTGTCAATAATAATAATAATAATAATAATCTTTATTTATACCCCGCCACCATATCTGCAAAGGGAACTCGGGGCGGCTTACGTGAGACCAAGCCCAGTAGTGCATTACAACAAAATAAAATCAAGAACACAAAACAAACATCTCAGTAAAATGAATAAAACATAAGAATACAATAAAATAATGCAGAATACAGTAATAGATAAATCACAATCACAGTGAGCTGGCCACATGCACAAGGTACAATGATAAAAACTCGGGATAGAAATTAAATGCAAATAATTGTGAAGGAAAAACTCATTGGAAAAAGGAGTAATGGTGTAATGGAGACAGACCTTCAAACAGTTGTTATAAATGTTGTTATAAATGCTGATGGAATTGCAGTTGTCCTTCTAGTGTGTGGATGAAGCTCATTTGTTCTCTTTCATCTCCATTTTAGCTATCCCGCCACCTATCATCCATATTGATGGTTACACTGAGAACTCCATAAGCTTCACCCTTAAAATGGAAAGTAGCATTCAGGTAATGGCTCTCTTTTGCTTCATAACCCTTGTTAGGAAGCAGTATCCACATAATTACATGTACTATGCCTTTAAATCAGTGGTTCTCAGTCTTCCTAATGCCACGACCACTTAATAATGTTCCTCATGTTGTGGTGACCTCCAACCATTATTTTTGTTGCTACTTCATAACTAATTTTATACTGTTATGAATCGTCATGTAAATACCTGGTATTCAGGATGTATTTTCATTCACAGGACCAAATTTGGCAAAAATACCCAATATGCCCAAATTTGAATACTGGTGGGGGTTGATTTTTGTCATTTGGGAGTTGTAGTTGCTGYAATTTTATAGTTAATCTACAACCAAACAGCATTCTGAACTCTACCAACYATGGAATTGAACCAAACTTGGCACACAGAACTCCCATGGTCKACAGAAAATACTGGAAGGGTTTGGTGTGCATTGATCTTGAGTTTTGGAGTTGTAGTTCACCTACATCCAGAGAGCACTGTGGACTCAAACAATGATGGATCTGCACCAAACTTGGCATGAATACTCAATATGCCCAAATGTGAATGCTAGTAGGGTTGGTAGGAATTGATTTTTTCTTTGGGAGTTGTAGTTGCTGGGCTTTATAGTTCACCTACACCCAGAGAGCACTGTYAAACAGTAATGGATCTGGACCAAACTTGGCACAAATACTCATTTTACTGAAATGTGAACACTGGTGGAGTTTATGGGAAATCGACCTTGACATTTGGGAGTTGTAGTTACTGGGATTTATAGTTCACCTACAATCAAAGAGATTTCTGAACCCCACCAATGATAGAATTGAGTCAAACTTTCCACACAGAACCCCCATGACCAACAGGATAAATAAAAAGACTGTATTTTTGGATCGTCTTTGGCAACCCCTCTGACAACCCCCCTCATGATCCCCCCCCCAGAGGTCCTGACCCCCAGGTTGAGAAACGCTGCTTTAAATGCTATTGGGGGTGGTGTTGATTTCTTAAAATGATACTGCTGAGGATTTTGTGTATGGTTATATGTGTGCACACACACGCACTGGGGAACCAATCAAGTGTGAATGTCCAGTTCGTTATTTAAGATATTAATAGTGTATTTGCTATTCCTGGGCAAAGTGATTTTGAGTAAACAATAATACCTCTCTTAATTGTAAACCCATATCCACAATTTGACTCTGTACCTTGGGGAAAGTGGTCTATTTAGGATATTTGCTAAGCCATCTTGATTATTTTATGGTAGGCTTCTCAAAGAAGTTGCCATAGCCATGCTAGAGGACCTAGACATTTCCTAGAAAGGATACTTCTGTTGGAATCTTTAGGTCCTCCAACACAACTCTTTGGTAAGATGGGACTGGAAGGCAAATGTGCTTTCCCTTCTGCACAGAAATCCATAATTTTGGCCTTAAAACCTGGCCCTAACATGAAGTTCTCCTATACATGAGTATATATGATCAGTTTCCCCGTCCTTGAATTGTGACACAACCTCACATCTGTAAGAATTGTCTTTCAACATTTAGTTCTAATTTTTGTGCCGCTGGTTGACAGGTAAATGGATACGTTGTGAAAATCTTCTGGACTTTTGACGCACATAGACAAGAGAAACTGTCCTTGAACATTGATGGGGGGAAGTCGGCACAAACAGGTAACCCTTATTGCTGGAATTAGCATTTCATCTGAGCACAGCCTAAGAGAGGAGGTGGCCATGATTGACAACCAGAGACAGTACGGGTTGGATCCAATGTGTTTCTGGAATCAGAAAAGTATCTCAAAGGGACAGAAAGGATTGAGAAAGGGATTGTTTTGACAAAACCAGTATAGTGCCTCTTTTCTGTGTGCATTACAAAATTGCCAGAGATTAAAGTAGAAGGGAGAAAACAGTCCTAAAACTTTACCAGTCTATAAAAATATTGGGTGGGGGCTTGCTAGGGGCTCCAGAGACTGCCAAAGTGAGTCTCTGTATACTATGTATACTAGGTGTTTCTGTTCTTTAGCCCAGGGCTCCTCAAAGTTTTAAGGCGTGGAGCCTTTTTTGAAGGAAGAGTTTCTTGTGGAGCCTTTTGGACATTGCGACTGCATTGCATTTTAAAATTTGACAGATGGGCCAGGCCAGTGGCAGATGGATTGAGAATGTTTGTGTGAACTAATTGAAAAAACAAAAAACAAACATGAATTCCTATGTACATATCTTGTTTGTAGTGAAAAAGAAATAAAGAACAATACAATATTTAAAATGAAGAACAATTTTAACCAACATAAACTCAACAGTATTTCAGTCAAAGACCCCATGGGCCATCAAGTCCAACCCCCTTCTGCCATGCAGGAAAAGCACAGTCAAAGCACCCACACAAATGGCCATCCAGCATTTGCTTAATGATAAGTAGTAGTAGTAGTAGTAGTAGTAGTAGTAGTAACAACAACAACCACCACCATCATCCCAGGAGCCATCCAGTCCTATCCCATTCTGCCATGCAGGAAAAGCAGTCAAACCACCCCACAGATGGCCATCCAGTCTCTGCTTAATGATAAGTAGTAGTAGTAGTGATAACAACAACCACCACCCCCACCATCCCAGAGGCCCTCCAGTCCTATCCCATTCTGCCATGCAGGAAAAGCACAGTCAAAGCACGCCCACAGATGGCCATCCAGCATCTGCTTAATGATAAGTAGTAGTAGTAGTAGTAATAACAACAACCACCACCCCCACCATCCCAGAGGCCCTCCAGTCCTATCCCATTCTGCCATGCAGGAAAAGCACAGTCAAAGCACCCCCACAGATGGCCATCCAGTCTCTGCTTAATGATAAGTAGTAGTAGTAGTAGTAGTAGTAGTAGTGACAACAACAACAACACCACCRCCACCATCCCAGAGGCCCTCCAGTCCTATTCCATTCTGCCATGCAGGAAAAGCACAGTCAAAGCACCCCCACATATGGTCATCCAGTCTCTGCGTAATGATTAGTAGTAGTAGTAACAACAACAACAACCACCCCCACCATCCCAGGAGCCATCCTGTCTAACCCCCTTCTTCCATGCAGGAAAAGCACAAATCAAAGCACCCCCAGAGATGGCCGTCCAGTCTCTGCTTAATAATAATAATAATAAGTAGTAGTAGTGGTGGTAGTAACAACAACCACCTCTACAATCCCAGGGGCCATCCAGTCCAACCCCCTTCTGCCATGCAGGAAAAGCACAGTCAAAGCACCCCCACAGATGGCCATCCAGTCTCTGCTTAATGATAAGTGGTAGTAYTAGTAGTAGTAGTAGTAGTAGTAGTAACAACAACCACCACCACCACCATCCCAGGGGCTATTCAGTCCTATCCCATTCTGCCATGTAGGGAAAGCACAATCAAAGCACCCAACAGATTGTAATCCAGGCTTTGTAATAATAACAACAATAATAAGAACAATAAGGACCATCCTGTCCAGCCGCATTCTGCCATGCAAGAAAAGCACAATCAAAGCAACCACAACAATAATAAGTGTAACCCCAAGGGCTGTTCAGTGCTACCTCATTCTGCCATGCAACATCAGCGGCGTTTGTGCCTCTCCCCAGGCCATAAGTGTCATATGCAGGGGGAGCGGGGGGACTGCGGGATTCTCGCGGAGCTCCTGACTGCTTCACGGAGCCCTAAGGCCTCTGTGGAGTATTGTTTGAGAACCATTGCTTTAGCCCATATAAGGACACCTCCAGAGTGAATGACCACCAAACACTATAGCAATGCCTACCCTTAGACTTTGCAATTGAAGAGGGAGAAAAATATAGTTCTGTGTCAGACAGATGACTATGCTTTCAGGAGTTGCTTCTAGTTTGACAGTCAAGGAAAGTGAACCGATTTATCTTCCTTGGCTGCAGCTTGCTCTCATCTCCCAATCGTGCTGTGTCCTAGCAGTCAGGTGGCAAAATACTTCTCCAGGCTGCTTTGTAAGCCAACTCATGCTCCTCTTTTCCTCTCCAGTGAGTAACTTGACCGCTCAGACCCCGTACGAGATTTCCGCCTGGGCCAAGACAGAACTGGGCGACAGCCCTCTGTCCTTCGCGCATGTGGTGACCAGTGGTACAAAGCCATCCCCTCCCAGTTTGAAAGCCAAAGCGGTCAACCAGACTGTGGTCGAGTGCACCTGGACTGGCCCAAGGAATGTGGTAAGGATGAAAAGAGTCTGTTCACAGAATCGTCTTCCCTATTCGAAATGCCCATGTAAACAGCTACACATTATGTAGTGTAATATTCCATACGAAAGGTGAAGCTATTAAGACTATAACTTTTTTCTCCCAGAGAGGATACATTTATTGTTTTCAATTTATTTGTATTCATTTGGCTTCATAACTCGGTGATAACTTGCTCAGTGCCGTTGAAGAAATTTCAGAGCTGAGAGGGAATTTGAGCCTAGGTTTCCCATATTGTAAATGAACCTAATTATGGAGACTGGTCTGAATATGGGAATGAAAAAAATTCCTCTAGATGATATATTTTAAGAATCGGGGATAATACTCTCAAACTCAAAAGCTTTCATACAGAGTTGTTTCCTTTTCAGATCTCAAGCTCTCAGTTTAGTTTGCTAGACAGACTACCACATTTGAGTTGGTCAGTTGCTAAATGTTTGTTTGGGCTACAAAATTCTGCAAATTTGAAGTCCATAGAAGAAGGATACCAAGTTCTTCTCTCTTGATTCTTCTCTTCCTGTCTCCAACCAGGTATATGGCGTATTTTATGCCACATCGTTCCTTGAGCTCTACAGGAATCCTAATAATGCCACCACCACCCTGCACAACATCACAGTTATTGTCAACAGAGATGAGCAATATTTATTTCTGGTAAGATATTCTCCCTTAATCTAGTCCCTTAGGGGCACTGTTATCCAGTTCAGTCTCATGGCTCAACTCTAAGCTCAGGGTTAACTTTTGGAGGCATCTTGAGATGGTTTAAGGATGCTGCCAGTCTTTGATCTCCCATCTCTGACCTTCGGAAAAAAAGAGAGATTTCCGCTACTGTATCAGCAATGCTTCTGCTCCATGTCTAGAATAAAGATCAGTCAAATGACTGTGTTGAGTCAATGAGTTGTGTTCTTGTCTACTAAGACAGAATAGGGGAAGATACACACTGGATTCTTTAGGGTTGCACCAACCTTCTTTTTGATCCTCTGAAGGACTGTTGTATCTGCCATTTTGGTAGTGGCATCATATCATTTATTTATTTATTTATTTATTTATTTGAATCCGGGGAGAGCACAGGTTTGAATCTGGGGAGAGCACAGATGAGCTCCCTCTGTCAGCTCCAGCTCCTCATGCGGGGATATGAGAGAAGCCTCCCACAAGGATGGTAAAACATCAAAACATCTGGGCGTCCAATTCTCTCACACCAGAAGCGACTTAAAGTTTCTGACACGACCAAAAAAAAAGTGAAATTAGATCAGCCCTTTCTCTCCTAACCTTCATGAAAAAACTTAAGACGTGGCTTTGGGACCAAGCTTTTGACAAGTAATTGGAGCAGTGCAATAAGTGACTATGAAAAAATGTGATTGACAAATGGGACGGTCCTGGATTATGTTTTGGTTGGTGTGATTTTAATTATTGATTTTAATAATTCTGGTTTTAATTGTTTGCTTTTAATTGTAATTGTTTATTTGATACATGTATGTATGGCCTCAAATTGCTGCCTGTTGTAAGGCCACCTTGAGTCCCCTCCGGGGTGAGAAAGGCAGGATACACATATGTTAAATAAATAAATAAATAAATAGTTTTGAGATCTACCTAAATTTTTGAGGAATACAGAAACTTGGATGTGTTTGGGAAGACCTGACGTTGCACTATCCCTGTGGGTTGTACATGTTCAGCAGGACTCAAAATTCCCATATCTGAGATGGAGAGATACTATAATGTATAAATAACTAATTGCTACTGGCCTCCTTAAGGTCCGTGTGGTTTCTCCGTACCAAGGACCGCCTTCGGACTACATCGTGGTGAAGATGATTCCTGACAACCGTCTGCCCCCACGGCATCTACATGCGGTGCACCTGGCAAAAACATTTGCTGTCATTAAGTGGGAGTCACCATACGATTCGCCCGACCAAGATATGGTAAGGTAGCTGCATGGTTAGTTTTTGAACTTATCATGACCTTAAGGCAATCCTATCTTGGTGTTTTCTTGGCAACATGTGTTGTGTGGGTGGTATATTTGCCCTCTTCTGAGGCGGAGAAAGAATACCTTTAGCAAGGCTACCCAATGGGTTTCCATGTCCAGGTGGAGATTTGAACCTGATGTAACTGTCACAAACTCTGCCAAGAACTCACCTGATGCAACTTTTCACCCACATAGAACAGCTTCATCTGGTGTTTGGTATTTCTAATATTTAGTAAGGGAGGCATTCTCGATGTTCAGTGTGTATAATTCTTTTGTCTCTCAGTTATATGCTGTAGCCGTTAAGGATTTAGTAAGGAAGACAGACCGAACATACAAGGTGAAAACCCGCAACAGCACTGTGGAATACACCATCAAGAAGTTGGAGCCTGGTGGGAAGTATCATATCATTGTTCAATTGGGAAACATGAGCAAGGAAGCCAGCTTGAAAATCAATACAGGTAGGCCATGGCTTGTTTGATCATCTGTCTGGGTAAAACAGTTGGAATGAAACCAAGATGTTGAGTTTGTACAGCTCTCTTCCCACCAAAGGCTGCTTACCTGGGAGTAAACCCATTGATGCTAAACAGTAGGCATGTTTTGTGACCCAGCTGGAACCACAGACACAGACTGATAGTGTTGTGACTCAGATGGGGTCTCAGAGTGACTCTGATGAGGATGATGGGATTCAGGTTCACAATCAGGTTCAAAATGTTCCTATTGTAGACAATGAGGAACAGGGTGTGCAAGTTCAGTTTCCCACAGCAGGGAATGATGTTTTTGATACTGAAACTAGCCAGGTGCAAATTGACTCAGAAAAGGAGGACAGTTCTCAGCCTGATAGGAAGGCAACCAGGCCGACACTAACGAGCAACCTGACCCTGATGAAACGGGAATCTTAGATCAGGCTGACCGTTTGGAATTCAGAGTTCGAAGGAGTGTGAGAATAGCCAACAAGAAGGAGGTCAGAGGCCAAAGAAATGCTTTCATGTATTGCAAAGGGTATTAAGCAGTGTGTTTGAAAACAAACCTTTGTCAGAGCAACTTCTCGCTCAACCAAGCAGCTTGTGCTCGTTTTCCTGTGTCCGTGGTCTTGGGATTTTGTCATGTTCTCATGGGACTTTGTTTCATTGGTGCCATTTGGAATTCTGCTTTACAGTGCTATGTTTTATTGATCTTTGGAACACTACTTGCTTTTAAAACTTTTCATCTTTTATTTTTTAATAAACTACAAAGACTTCAGTCTGTGTGCAGTTCTGGTGATTTCAGCAAGATGAACCTATTCTGAGGTGCAACAGCACAGGAAATTTACGGTTCTAAGAGCCGCCGCAAACTAGCATCTTGCGAGAGCAAACTGTGCCAGCACGTCTGATGACGTAGAAGACTCCGCCTCTCTCTCCGCCTCTTTTTCCGCCTCTTTCTCTGTGCCAGCGTGGTTTTTCCTTTGCTAGGGCAGCGATGCCAGCGTACTCTCGTTGTTGAATTCTGCCAACAGCGAGAGTACGCTGGCATCGCTGCCCTAGCAAAGGAAAAACCACGCTGGCACGGAGAAAGAGGTAGAGAGAGAGGCGGAGTCTTCTACGTCATTGGACATGCTGGCACAGTTTGCTCTTGCAGGACGCTAGTTTGCGGCGGCTCTAAGGTACTTACAAAACTAGAGGGCACTGGTGCTTTGCTTCTAAAGTGTTGCTAAAGTTCTGGTGGTGAAAATTTCAAAACTCTAACAAAACTTTCAAAATGTCATTATTTTTTCATTATTGGTGATTTTTATGACAGAATCAGTTAAGAATTACCATTTATAATAAAATTTGGAAAGTTTTTTTAGAGTTCGGAAATTTTCACCAGCAGAACTTTAATAACACTTTAGAAGCAAAGCACAAGTGCCCTTAGTTTTGTAAGTAGTTTAAAACCATTTAGAACCATGGATTGCCCGTGCCTATTTAGCAGGGCTTATTTTCATAGTAGAGATGCGTAAGAGTTTCACTAAAGTTTTGAAAAACACTTCCAAGAATTTTTGATCAGATTACAAAGACATTTTCTTGATGGTTCATTTCCTCTTTATTTCTTTTGCAGTTTCCTTGGCTGCTCCCGATGCCTTAAAGATTATAGCAGAAAATGACCATATCTTGTTGTTTTGGAAGAGTTTAGCTTTAAAAGAAACTCACTTTAGTGAAAGTCGGGTAAGTTGAATTCACACCATAACACTTGAATTCATTGTATATATATTTCTCTTTATTCATGATCCATTGTATGCTCACACAGTACATATACACACGTAGAATTTGTGCTATACACATTGAGGGCAATCCATACTGATAAATTCAGTGCCAATAACTTTTCCGGGCTCAAAGTGTTTTGGTGTCTTTCTTCTCAGGGGTATGAGATACACTTGTTCGACAGTGTAACCAATAGCACGACATATCTGGGAAACACCACTGAGAATGTCTTCAAAGTTTCCAACCTGAAATCAGGCCATAATTACTCATTCACAGTGCAAGCCAGATGTCTCTACAGTGGGCAGATGTGTGGTGAGCCTGCAACACTCCTTTACAATGAGCTAGGAGCTGGTAAGTCAACGCTCGCTCTCTGATTTTGGGCATGTGTTCCTCTTGTTCCCAGCTGGTTATGTGAAACTGCAGATATGACTGAATGTTAATAAATTCAGGTTTCTGCATACCATGGGACCGAGATATTCTTAAAGAGCTGCCCTGTTGTTCTGTCGCGCGCTGGGCCTGTAAAGAATTTCTTTTAAGATAAGATGTGCAACCTTTGCCCAGCGGGAAGCCAGGGCCCCCCAAGAGAAGTTCTCAGAGGTTTTCCACCACAAATGGTCTTTAGATGGCTTGTGAAGTATAACAAAGTCCTTTATTAATGAACAATCAAACAGAAACTTCTCTTGTCTTCAGTAAAGTTAAACAAATGATTCCAGGCTTTTATGCAACTGGTGGCTTCCTAATCTTGTCCACAAAGGACAGGCAATTGTCTTCAGTAACTGTTACTTTACTTTAAGGAAAATCCCTTTTTAACTTCTCCCAGGCTGACTGTAATCTAATCCTTACTGATGTGGGCTCCGCTACCGGGTCGAACTGCTTCTCGAGCACCTAGTGGACCTACCAGTAAAGGCTTGGATATTCTCTAGCTGGAGTTCTTTGGTCTTCCAAACTGTTTACCCTCTGAAATTCCTCAAAGCTTTAGGGCTGCTTCCCTGGAAATCTTTGGATGCTCTTAAGACTGTTTTCCCCCGGAAAGTCTTAAGGGTTGAAGCTTTTGTACAGGGGAAGCTTGCACACGTCCTATACATTAGCTTTCCTTGCTGAGACTAACTAAAAATGGCTCCCTTCCCTTCCCAATTGCCCTGAGCAAGGGGCGGAACCAAAACTTAACGATGATGGACAGGTGACTTGCCCTACGACTGCAACCAAAGGAAGCCACCTATCTGCAGAGTCCCTGAAACTTTGAACTGCAAGCAAACGTTTAATACAAAGCAAATAAAGTTGGAGCTCCTGGTACAGCTGTACCAGCACACCTGTCTAGGAATTTGCTAGGTCCTCCAATGCAACTCTGGTAACGTCCAGAGAAATATACCATAGAATCAGCTGGAGGATCTAGCAAAGTTCTAGTGCAACCAGGCCAGTCCTCCAAATGTGGGTTCTGCAGTTATGGGAGTCTCGCTGTAAATCATAGAATCATAGGTTGGAAGAGACTCTATGGGCTATCCAGTCCAACCCCTGCCATGCAAAAAGACACCATCAAAACACTCCCAACAGTTGGCCATCCAACCTCTACTTTAAAAGCCTCCAGAAGAGGAGCTTCCACTACACTCTGAGACAGCATAACACTGCCAAACAGCTCTTATGGCCAGGAAGTTCTTTCAACTGTTCAGGTGGAATCTCCTTCCCTGTAATTTGAACTCATTGCTCTGAGTCCTGGTCTCCAGAGCAGAAGAAAACAAGCCTTCTCTCCCTTCTTTATGGCATCCTTTCCAATATTTAGACAATATCATGTCTTCTCGTAACCTTCTCTTCTGTCAGCAAAACATACCTAGTTCTCCTCAGAGGGATTTATGGTCTCCAGACCTTTGATAATTTTAGTTGCCTGTCCCTGAACATGCTCCAGCTTAGATTCAATGTCCCTCTTGAATTGTGGGGCCTGAAATTGGACACATGATTCCAGGTGGGCTCTGACCAAAGTGGAAGAGAGGGGCACCATGACTTCTCTTTTTTTTTTTTTGATGCAGTCCAAAATCCTATTGCCTTTTTTAGTTGCTGCATCCCATTGTTGACTCATGTCCAGCTTGTAACCCATCAGTTGAATTGATCTTTCCATATAGTTCCTGACTTCAAAACTTCATCAGGGCAGCCTGAGGCATCACCTCTTGTATTATTCTGACAGCACATGGATGTTTGGTATACATGAATCATTTTTAATATCTTGCCTGCATTATTTCTCTTGCTCTTCCTCCTGCAGATAAAGATCCTGCTGCATCAACAATGGGCAGTTCAACAGATGTTGCTGCCATCGTGGTCCCAATATTGTTCCTTTTGCTTGTGACTGTAGGGATAGGGTTTGTCGTTTTGTATATGAGGCACCGAAGACTTCAGAATAGCTTCACTGCTTTTGCCAACAGCCACTATAGTTCCCGGCTTGGCTCTGCCATATTCTCATCGGGTGACGATTTAGGTAAGTGGCACCACTTTGGTTGGGATCAAGAGAGGTCTTGAAATGGATGGAACTCATAAGGGGAATACTGTCAACTAGCTAAGCTGTAGAGCAGCGTTTCTCAACCTTGGGGTGGGCATCCCTGGGAGGGGGTCACAAGGGGGTTTCAGAGGGGTCACCAAAGACCATCAGAAAACATATATTTCTGATGGTCTTAGGAACCCCTTTGGCAGAGAAGGCTGAAGATCTCTCTGCCTGACCCTCTCTTCCTTTTTGGAAACAGACAGTGAATCCTCCCACCAAAAGCCCTTCTCTGCTGTGATTGGCTCGCCTCTCAGCCAAGAGTAGGGCTGTTTCTGAGACAAGTTTACTAGTTCTATCACCATTTTGGTACAGAGTGCTTTCTGAGTGTTGGTGAACTACAACTCCCAGAATTCAAAAACAGCCCTCCCCCCCAACCAGTATGCAATGTTGGCCATGTAGATAGTGTGCCAAGTTTGGTTCAATTCCATCATTGGTGTGGTTCAGAATGCTCTTTGATTGTAGGTGAACTATAAATCCCAGCAACTACAGCTCCCAAATGTCAATGTCTATTTCCTTCAAACTCCACCAGTATTTACATTTGGACATATTGAGTGTTCATGACAAGTTGGGTCCAGATCCATCATTGTTTGAGTCCATTGTGTTCTCTGGATGTAGGTGAACTACAACTACAAAACTCAAGGATAATGCCCACCAAATCCTTCCAGTATTTTCTGTTGGTCGTGGGAGTTATCTGTGCCAAGTTTGGTCCAACATCATCATTGGTGGAGTTCAGAATGCTCTTTGATTGTAGGTTAACTATAAATCCCAGCAACTACAACTTCCAAATGACAAAATCAATTCCCCCCAACCCCACCAGTATTCACATTTGGGCATATCGGACATTTGGGCATATCGGAATGGATATATGGACTCTGAACCCGAGCATGAGATTGTCTTAATATTTTATTATGCACTGATGTTTTAATTCTAATTGTTGAACTGCTTTTTTGTATTTTGTATTACTGTCAATTGTTTTAGGCATTTAATTGTGCCTCCTCTGTAAGCCGCCCTGAATCCCCCCCAGGGTGAGAAGGGCGGGGTATAAGTAAATGAAATAAATAAATAAATAAATAAATAAAATAAATTGTGCCAAATTAGGTCCAGTGAATGAAAATACATCCTGCATATCAGATACTTACATTACGATTCATAACACTAGCAAAATGAGAGTTATGAAGTAGGAACAAAAATAATTTTATGGTTGGGGTCACCACAACATGAGGAACTGTATTAAGGTGTCATGGCAAACACTGCTGTAGAGGTTGAGTTGATGCAGTTAATATGATTATGTCTTCACTAGTGTAAGTAAAGACTTACAATGTTGTTTCATATTAATGTCCTTATGTTTCTTTGTAGGGGACGAAGATGACGAAGCACCCATGATCACAGGTTTTTCAGACGACGTCCCCATGGTGATAGCATGAAGTGCGTTTCTGACCCCAGAAACCAAAATGGTGTAAATATTTTATTTGATAGAAAAAAACAAAACAGTCAACTGTTTATTTTAAAACAAAAAAAATGCACTTTTGAGTTGCAATACGTTATTTTTGTATGGGCTGAAAAAACTGATGAAGAAGAAATAATTATTACACTTTGTAGTATGCAGCTGTGAACTTTCAAACCAGGTTGATTTAGAAATGAATATATGTTCTTGTTGGGTTTTTAAAAAATATTTTGTTTGATTCCTTTTCAAACGTTTAATTTAGTCTTACAAGGCTGTGCTTGCTGGGCATGCTTTTAAGTCTGTGAGATACATATATGTCTTTTTCTGTTGACCAAAACTCTGATCCTTGGAGAACTTGTGAATGGTCAATGACGGTCCCGTTCATTATAATCGGATGGAACTAGATGCAACAAAAGACACAGAGCGGCCAATAAGACATTCTTATGGATCAGTGGTTCTCAACCTGTGAGTCTCCAGATGTTTTGGCCTTCAGCTCCCAGAAATCCTAACAGTTGGTAAACCAGCTGGAGTTTCTGGGAGTTGTAGGCCAAAACACCTGAGGATCCACAGGTTGAGAACCACTGTTGTGGATGGTCAAGGATAGTCCTGCTGATGTTGATTTTAGTTCATCATTGCCAAAAGAAACTAGATGTGACACAGAGTGGCCAATAAGACATCCTTATGGATGGTCAAAGGTAGTTCCATTGATGTTGATTCTAGTTCATACCATAACCAGATGAAAGTTGATGTGACAGAGGGCACAGTGACCATGAAGACATAGGCAAACCTTTGACCTTCCTCTAGTCATATCATAACCAGATGAAAGTAGATGTGACAGAAGCACAGTGACCATTAAGACATAGGCAAACATTTGACCTTCCTCTAGTCATATCATAACCAGATGAAAGTAGATGTGACAGAAGCACAGTGACCACTAAGACACAGGCAAACCTTTGACCTTCCTCTAGTCATACACAATGACAAGAGGTATAATGTTATCCTGTTTTTTGCGGTCCCACTATGCTGTTTTTTGGGGTCCCATTATGACACAGATGGGCAAGTTTTAGGAATGCAACAGAGTTGAGACAAATGGCTTCTATAGTGGTCAGTCCGTTCTGGAGTTTTGATCTGAACATGGTTATATGAGGTGTTGAACCTGTTTCAGGGACAAGCTTAAGCACTTGATAGCTCTTCCCAAAATTCAGACTAAAACACAGAGTGGATTAATCTCTGAACTGATGTGGGAGCTACCACTTGCTCCTGCATAGGATGGTCCAATTCCTTATTTCCACCATGCTTGCCATTCCAGGCCCAACCTTCTGAGCTCTGTGGCTAAGTCCTCACTGGTCAACGTTGTCCACAAGGGATGGTCCATATTCTCAGAGCTTGTTTCTCAGTCTAAGACTCATCCCTCTTGTGTGAGATCATGTGTGGGAAGTCCACCTCATGTGCCACATACAGCTTATAAACTCTACTCTTGCAGCTGTCTTAAATGCTGAAGTTTTTGGACTACCTGAAAGTAGTCCAAAAGCAAAGAAAACATGGTTGTTTAGCTGTCCCCAATGCTCTTGAAATGATGAGTTTGGGGCTAACAGTTGTCCCAAGATGATGACTGGATGTGATGTCACTTCTAATGTGCCCCAGTGTCAAAGACAACCTCTGTGTTCTCTGTTGCATCAAGGTCCACCCATGAAGAAGGCGAGATGAGGAGGAATGGGACAGTATGGAAGTCTTGACCATTGTTCTCCTGGGCAGACCTTTCCCTCAACCCCCAATTGATGCTGCTACAAACTTCTCTTCATTTTCTGGGGGTCTTCCTTAAATCCCTTTCATGAGTCCCACAACTAGGAGAACCTGCTTTCTTGGGATCAGAGTCTTAAATTAGTGATTTTTTTTTCTTCTTAAGAGAAATTTTATTTTGAAAAAAATATTCAGGAAATACAAATCTATATCTATATCTATATATCTATGAAGAGAGATAATAGTTCCTGAAGGTTTTACATTGACTTATTTGGATATTGTTTTATATGAGAGTTTTGTTTCTCTTTTATTGAGTTAGTAGGGAATCTGCTTTTGGTCAGAATTCCATAATTCTCAGTCATGTGCACACATACGATGTGGAGAAATGTGCCACTTTCATCTTCTGCAAAAATAGTCAGGTTGTTCCTTTGGGTTTTTAAAATTATTATTATTTTGTGGTGTTCCTGTGCTTGAATCAGGTATTAATGCCATAGTAAAACAAACACACAAAAACCCCACAACATTTTATTTTTCTCTTTGAATAAATTTCATGTGTTATGAGAATGCAAAACAAGGGGTGGTGTAGAGGGGTAGACTTAATGTTTTGTGAAATGGAGGGCCGAAATACTTTTTGCAAAGCACTTAGCATGCATTCACAAAAAAGAAAAAAAATCCCCAAAACAAGCGCACAAAATTTCATACGTTTGTTGGTTTGATTTTTTTTTAGTGGGTTGTTGTAGTTTGTTTGGATCCAAGGCATTCCTTCATCCCGTACCATTCTTCAGCACATATACAACAGTTCTTGAATGTATAGGTTTTCTGCTTCACTTAGATCAGGAGTTGTACTTCTGTGACCCAAGGCTGACCGTATAGTAGGTTCTCCTCTACTTCGAGGTCTACTAGATCTACTGTAATTCTGTGGCCAACTCCTTCTGAAAGTTGACAATAGAGTTGTGGTGGTGGCAGCTCTTTTCTCTAGGTCAGTGGTTCTCAACCTGGGGTCCCCAGATGTTTTTGGCCTACAATTCCCAGAAATCCTAACAGCTGGTAAATTGGCTGGGAATTCTGGGAGTTGTAGGCCAAAAACATCTGGGGACCCAAGGTTGAGAAGCACTGCTCTAGGTCCTGGACTATAAATCTGGTCAATGTCCAGCAGAAGTCGGCTGTAAAGTCTCATTGGCGGGCCTAGAAATACATAAAGAGAGACCATATCCATAAATGATCATATCTACAAAAGTTAAACCTGAAACTGTGGAAGACAGACTGTAATTCACTCGTGCAACCTCTGGAAATCAGAACTCAAAAATAAAAGTTTGTCTCCAGAATGGAGAACTAGAGCAAAACTCAAAAATTGGAAAAATAATGGAACTACAGTTTTCCATTTGAAGGCTATTTTTCTTGTTTTGTCTCTTTTTGGGAGGTTAAAATAACTTTACAACAGCAAGCAATTGTCTGTTCACATTTTGGAAAAATCATTAGGTACAATGTGCAGAGTTCTGGATCTCTCTGCAGTTGTCCACTTTTGAGTGGGATGCAAGAGACAGCAGCAGTGATACATTACTTTGTGGCCATAAAGCTGCACCCAGCTTCATTGGTGAAACTTCAGAAGCCTTCAAGGAACTGAATTGGGTCTAAGCCCTTCTCCTTTTACTGGTCCCTGGGGCCCAGGTGCTGTAACCCATTCTCTTTTTCTTCTGTTGGAGACTAGGTTGGGATTAAAATAGGTGGATCTAAAGAGCTTGAGGTAGGAGGTAACTTCAGTCATTTGCTGGAATAGTTGCCAAACCCTGTCCTAGCTGGGATCCAGAAGCACCAACTTAACTGAATTGAGCTGTCGACTGTCTGCTAGGGTTCTTCCCCACCCATGACTTGTGGCCCATCTTCAAGGATATGCAGACTCTTCCAATGATATGCAGTCTCTCACAGCAATGTATTGTCGAAGGCTTTCATGGCCGGAATCACTGGGTTGTTGTAGGTTTTTTCGGGCTATATGGCCATGTTCTAGAGGCATTTTCTCATGACGTTTCGCCTGCCATCTATGGCAAGCATCCTCAGAGGTAGTGAGGTACCTCAGAGGATGCTTGCCATAGATGCAGGCGAAACGTCAGGAGAAAATACCTCTAGAACATGGCCATATAGCCCGAAAAAACCTACAACAACCCAGTCTCACAGCAATGTTCTTCATACCTAGAGCCCCCCGAGATAGACTAAGGGCTCATAGACCCTACAAGCAAAATTGGAGAAGAAAGCCAAATCAACCCCCTCCCCCTGGCCATTAGGTCTCCATAATCAGTCACTTTAATTCACTTAAAATGCCATTAGTTTAATTGTGCTTTTGTGGGTATCTTTTGTTCAAAATGTCATTTTGATATTGATGGATTTTTTTTTTTTAGTGTACTTCCTCGATGATAAATCTTCAATAGTTTTTTTACTTCTTTTTAGAAAGAGCAACCTTACTATTACAAGCATTCCTCGGTGGTAGCTATGGATGTATCATTAATGTATTACATGTTTCCCAGTCAGTTATGGATGTAGCACAGCTATGCAGGGTTGGCTCTGAAGCTAAGCCTTCAGCAGTCAAGCAGTGTCTTTTGTCTTGTGTTTGTGTGAATGTGGATTCCACCATAGATCAGACAGTATGTGTAAGGGCTCATTTAGAAGTTAATCCTCCCTTCACAAGGCTGCTGAAAATGACTTTCCCATGGTGGGCATAACATTGAAGACTTCTTCTCCCAGGAACTGACTCAGATGTATGCAGTAGACTCTCTGGGCAAGTAATTAATATCTGCAGTTGATGGTTGACTAACTTCAAAAGAACATAAGAATGCAAGGACCATATTGGGTCAGACCAAAGCCCTCTCTAGTCCAACATTTTGTTCATGTAGCTAGAAGCCTATCAATGGAATATGATTTCCATCTTATGCTCCCTGTTGATTGATATACATGGTGTGTACTGCCTCTGATACCAGAGGTGACATACAGGCAGGTTGTCATCACCCTCTATAAATGTATCCAGGTTGATACTCATATCTACATCTTGTGGCACTGAATTCCATGATTTATCTCTGTGTTGTGAAGAGATTCAAGTTCCCACTCAACCATCAAACAAGTCACAAAGCTTTGCCTTAGGGTTACTATAAGTTGAAAACAAATCAGAGGCACACAACAACTATGGTCTCACTGATTACGTGAGTGGTCAAAGACTGACATTGGGAATGTGTCCCAAGTAATGAGTTATGCAAACATCCTGACCACCCATCTAAATATCGGAACCAGCCTGTGAAACAGAGTCAGGGAGCACTTGAAGAGAAGGGTCATGATGTCCCTGCCCAACCTTTCCTTGGAATGGATGATGGCAAAGTTTCCTGGTTTTTCAACAGAGGAGCCATTTTTCTTCTCCCTCATTCCCTCTGCCTCCACCTCACTTCTGCAATCACCAGTTGAATATTACATGAGCATTTCTGTTGTTCTTTTTTGCATTTCCTCTTGGGAAAGGATAGGACAACAGATAGGGCATACCGTACGTTCTCCAACTCTTTGTGAGGATTGGATTGGAGGCCTTCTTGGGCTAGTGGTCCATATCTCTACCACTAGGTCTGGCTGATGGGAGAAGAAACATCTAAAATGTTACATCTCAGAAGCTCTTTTCAGCAGCCAAGGTGAGGAGGGGTGATTGTAACATTTCATTCTGCTCTCTGTACTCATGGATCACATATTTCCCCACCCTTAATTCTGTATATGCAAGTCCAGTTGCTGTCCGTCAAAAAGTTCAATGCTTTGTGTTTGTCACGGATGCAAATATCTTTACTGACTTGAATCAAAAGCATTACTTTGAGGTGTAATGTAGTCTTCCTGCATTTGGAGGGAATATTAAACAGTCAAATATTTACTTTGTTAAGCAGTCTTAAACTATTCCTACCATTTCCCCAATAATGGATTAGTGTTTTCATTAAGAGTCCAAGGATGTTGCCCAGCCCATAATCCAACGTAAAGTCAATGTTAGCATGAAGGAGTTCCAATGGAGGGTGATAACTCATGGGATTTTCCATTGATATAGGCCATTGTTTTGTTGTTTTTAGCTATGGGACATTGTTTACATATTCTCTTCTCTACCAAGAAACACACAAAACTATGTGTCCCCTCATATGCTGCAGAGAAATTGTAGAACAGCATAGGGTTGCTAGTAAGTTGTATTTCCAGTTCAAGCAACATGGAGAACTACATGGAGAACTTCATGGAGAACTTCCCCACTCAAACAGGGCACTAACATCAGAAATTTCACCAGTGACATACTGAGATTGAGGTTCTTCCTAGCCTAAACTTAGATTTTGTCCTAGCATGTCTTGTTTGGCTGCCAGCATCTCTCCAGCATCTCAGGCTTTTTTTGTTTTTGTTTTGCCTCCAACGTTCTCCTTTTGACTTTGGCATTGATTCTGGGACCTTATCAACAAAGAGCAAGTTCTCTACCACTAAGCTATGAGCCAATTCCAGTTTTCATCCTCTTGGATTTCAATACAGGTAGGCACACTCAGTCCCCCAATTTACCCCACCCTCAACCACAACCCCAAACCCTGTTTTTGTTTTGCAAAAAACCACAACCACTGTGTGAAGACTCTTGACAGAGCTAGTGAATTTTATAGAAATCAATGAATCCTTTGCTTCAGATGTATGAACAGGGCAGATGTAGTGAAGAATAAATGTTTGAAGCACAAAAATGCAGAGGTGTTTATAAATATAAGAAAGTTGAGTTATCTGTTATATGTCAGTGGTTTGGAACATGGTATATACATCTAGAGGCATTTCCTACTGATCCCCCCCTTCTTGGTTTGATGGAATGCTTCATTTCTGAGGTTTCTACAAGTAGTAGAGGGCAGCTTGAATAAAATGCCTTATTCCTCTCATAACATCAGAGAAAAGAAGGTGACATAAGAAAGGGAAAGCAATGGTGGTTTCAGAAGTCAGGTTGACAGGAAGAAGGTCCTCCATTAGGCTTCGAAGACTTGTATACAACAGTAGGATTACTCACTGAGGACCTTCCATAATTCACATAGGACCTCATCACACTAGAGCACGGATCCACTTTAAATCCAGTTTCTGCCTCCTGAAGAATTCTGGGACTAGTAGTTTAGGGCGGGGGCTTTAAAATCCTCAGCCAGACAGGTTCCAGGCCTCACTGAACTACAAACCCCAGAATTCTGCAGGAGGCAGAAGTGGATCCATGCTGTAGTGCAGGCATGGACAAACTTCAGGCCCTCCAGGTGTTTTGGACTCCAACTTCCACAATTCCTAACAGCCTGAGGCCCTTTCCTTTTCTCTCTCAGCCTCAGCCATGTGATGAGACTGATAGACCATTGCTAAAGTGGTCCTTGGCCAATGGTAGGAATATAACCATTGTCCAAGGACCACTTTAGCTATGGTCTTCAAGAGAATTTGCAAATTGAGATGGTCCTCAAGAGAATTGGACCAGAAAAATGGGGTATAAAGATAGCCAATGGACTTTGGTATTTCTTAGTCTTAATACCAGTTTTGTGTAGTAGTTTGGACCCATCAAAATTATTTGAGGATTATTCTCTCCTGGGTAAAGTGGTACCAGTATGAAGTTTATTCTTGTGCAACATCTTGTGTCTCAAGCAGAATCCAGAGGCAAATGGAAATTAATATGGCATCCAGTTTTCGGGCCTTGTTTTTCAAAGACTGTT